GCTTCAAATCCGAACGAGCTTGTTGAAGTTGCCGAGCTAGACCTGAGTAAGGAAGAAGACAATGTCGCCAGTCTTGCAGTCGGCCAAACTCAAGGAGATACAACCTTAGTATTCGCAGGAGTTAATTCCAGTCCGGCGGACATAGCTAAAGGGACGAATGCGCACTTTCGAGTTATTGGAATAAGCCCAGTTTCAAAAGGAAAGGGAAAGGCTACAGAACCTGTTGCGATAACGAGCAAACTAACCGAGGTGTTGAGATGTCCATTGTTTACCAATGTCGAAAGGGATTTATATCAAAGGGTCATTCGATTATCAAGACCTTATGTAGGACACGCACAATGGGGTGCGATTGCGACTGGGTTTGCAAAGAATTCTGAAATAGTACTTTTCCAACCTGCGCAAAATGGACCACCTACTTCGAGGAGTGCTATAAGGTTGGCGAAGGAAGTTGTTGACATGGATTTCATACAAACTGGAAAAGATGATTTTCTTTTCGCGTACGCCGATGAGCAAGATATATATGTTAAAAAGCTTGGCTCAATAGATGATGGAGCAGAACCTGAGTGTGTATATATTACACCTGCTTCAAGAAGTGGGGAGCCAGTCACAATACCGTCTTTCAGATCGATGAGATGGCTAACAAAGGATTTCATCATCATGCTCACGAATATCCATAGCCAGGGAGGTGTAGTGCTGCAGATTCTCAGATTACCACCCAGTGGCAAAGGACAGTGCAGAATCGCGCAATCACACAGACTCCCATCCAGTATAAAGAAAGCTACTGGACTCGCAGTTGTCAACCTCACACCACCATCAACTCCCGATGGAGAGCAAGGCTACACTCAATTCGTGATTGCGGTCGCTGGCCACGATATTTCCATTTCCCTCTTCAAGGTTGATCTCCAACACGAAGCAAATAACTACCTCGTCACACCTATCAGACCTTTCCGAAAATTCAAGAATGTTCACCCTGGAGTGATTACAGGAATTACATTCTCAATCTTTACATCACCCACTCAATCTGTTACTGCAAGCACTCCTCCTCAGCACCTCAAACTCGCTAGTACAGGTATCAGTAATACCGTTATCGTCCACACCCTCCCACTATTCCCCGTTCCTCTATCTGTAAAAAGAGGCCAATCAAGCACACCTCGCTACGTCGTCGCTCTGCCTTCAAGCAAAGCAATTTACTCTTTTGGAATCATCTTCTCTATGCTCCTGGCGTTGTTAGCAGCAATCCTAACGCAAAGTGTATTGGAGATCAGGGGGGTTGTGGAACCTCATTTGGGCGCCGCAAAGTATCTACCAGTACCCTTACAGGAGGCAATTGGAAAACCATACACGTTTCCGTCTAATTATCACTCACTCAATACACACATCTCCACCGCTCCGATCTCCACAAGCCTGTCGGATAAACCCTCCGCCTCTACCCCGGACTTCTTCGCGTCCCTCCGCTCCCCCTCCCCTAATTCCGCTCCTTCTAAGCTCTACCTCCACCATGGACCTCCTGTTCCAGACGTTGAAAATCAAGACATATCCCCCGATATTACGTCGCCAGAACTTTCTTCATCTATAAAAGCAATTCTTCATGACGAGGAAAAACATGAAGGTAAATCATGGGATGAGTTGACGGCCCCGCAAAAAGAAAATTGGAAGAGAAAATTAAAAGATGCGGGACATTGGGCTGAAGAAATGGGAGAGGCGATTTTCAAGGGGGTCGTTTTTGGTGAATTGGGAGGTCTGGTAGGAGCGGCTATTGTGCAGGCCGCGAGATAGGTGAAGTCTTCAAGAACGGGCAGTGGCGAGAATTGGAAACTGAGAGAAGCAAAGGATGACGGATTGAGGATGATTCAGAACGGCGTTGTATGATAGTTCCGTGATATATTGGATGTTGGATGTTGGCTGGTGAAATTGTAAGCAATTTCTTACCTTTCTTCTTATTTACTCAATGCGGTTTGCGGTGTGTCGTGGCGCGATTACAGAGACGTTATGAGATACTGTAGATGGGATGGATGTAAACTACGAGACACATATATTTCATTTCTCTCATATTTAATAATAACGACATACGAAACCTTCCCGATTGAGATTGATCTAGGGAAACTATTTGAAACTGTTTTTTTAAGCCTGGCACCTCATTTTTCTTGTCAACTTTTCAATATGTTATGTTCAACTTATGCTCCTATTTGATGATTCAGAGTCGTAGATGGCAGAAGTGCTGCTATATGCAACTAGTTGATTGTGGATAGTGAAGAAGGGTTGATCTTAAGCGCGATATTTGGTGCCATCTATCTTGTAGACGTGCCTGTATTGATAAAAACAGTCCTTGTTTCCGAATAATCATACTGGATCGTAAAAATCCCGTATGAGATCGCGTGATCGCGTCATGTTTGATATCTTGAGCCTAAATCTTATAAAGCAAGACTTTTCCAGTGACCACAAATCTAGCTGCACAGAGGAAAAAGAATCCTATGAGCAGAGAAGATGCCGCGAAGAGCTGAGCATATAAATAGCGACCGTTGTCTCTTGTGATTAAAAGACCAGCGATGGGTGGACCTGTCAGCACTGCGAAACTCACGATTGTCTAGCGAAGTCAGTTTCCATTCTCATTATTACTCAAACATATGGATGGGGTACTCACAAAAATCATTCCCATTCTAACTCCCGCTTTCTTCAAATCCGTTGTCAGGCTACTCAATGTTGCTGGAAACATCATTTGAAGAGCATTTCCAACAACTCCATACACCACTGCCCATGCATTGAGACCCCCTCGGGACGTAACTCCAATCATTGCATATGCACATATGATACAGGCGACGGTAACCATGAGGAGAATATTCATGGGACCCGTATAGCGGTCTGCAAGATACGCGGGCACAGTGCGACCTAGGATGCCAACGCCATTGAGAATAAGAAACATGTTGAATGATTCTTTCTGGGGTATGCTGATGATGTCGACCCCGAACGAGCTCAAGTAGTAGAAAGCGAAATAGACGCCCCAAAAGACCAAAAACATTCCCATTGCAAACAAAGTGTAAGATGCTTCTTTGAAAGCGGCGAGCTCAATGATAGGACCTGTTCTACGAGGTGGAAGTCTCGGTTTCGCTAATATGTTACAGATTGTCAAACAGCCTGTAGTAAAAAATCCAAAGATTCTCATGGTCCATCCATAGCCAAGCGGTGTGATCAATTGTTGAAACATGACTGGGAAGATCAAGCCTCCTGTAGCACTGCCACATGCACAAATGCCGACGGCCAACATCTTGTTCTTTGAAAAGTATGTAGATGCAACTGATAGCGCTGGGCAGAATAGACATCCATTGCCGAGACCACAGCAGATTCCCTGAGCGAGAAATAATTGCCAGTACTGTGTTGATAGAGAGGCCATGAACATGCCTATCACGCTAAGCACAGTTCCAACCACTACATAGAATCAGCGCCGTATGTCCATATCGAGCAAGCCTCGAGGTAGTTCGACTCTGACGAATAGCGGGAAAATACAACATGCTCGAGATGAAATAGAGCAAGGAAGAAAAATCTTATACTTACAAAAAACTGGACGAAAGTACCCAGCATCGGTAAGACGGCCAGTAAATGTTCCAATGAAGAACACTAGAAATACTTGGATACTGCCAATCCACGATACATCCGATGGAGAGCGACCCAGAAAATTGATATAGTACTCTTGAAAGACACCAAACGAGTTTATGAAGCCCCTAGACTATAATGAGCATAATATTAGGGTTTCGATTGACATGAAGCACGCTCAAACTCTTCGAGGAATCAAAGGAGTAAATTACGAATACGAAAGACTAAAACCTACCAGGTGTTCATAATGATCAAATGTCCCACCAAGACTTGCGTCCACGCGACAACTCCGCCATCGGGAGGAGGTCCTGGATCTTTCCAGCTCGCTGCACTCTTCGTTCGGGAAAGCACCCTCAGACTTCTTTCTTTGATAGTCTCGGGTTTGATGATATCATCCTCGGCTTCATTCGGAGCTTCTGGACAGACTTCGAATTCTTCCTTCTCGGTCATTTTGAGGGAGTCGGTTGAGGAAATAGTGCCACTTGGTCACTATGTAGAATGTATAGATATACTGATTCATTCGATTGTAAGACTTCTTCTTCGCCGAAGGTGAATAGATGAATCTGTGATATCAAATCAGCATTCCTGAATGTCCCAGAAGAAGAGTCCAACTCGCCTAGCAATCCCCGCAAAGGTATTTTTAATCGAACAACTAATATTCACAGTCACAGAGGTGAGTAATGAGAAGGGAGAAAAAGTCAAAGGAAATAGAAGCGTACGATTCAACAACCTCGGTGATTTCATACGGTCCGACAAGAATCATTTATTTCATGCACCTATTTGAAAATTTTCCCACTGCAGGGTCCAACTGTATTTTACCCAGCCCATGGCAAGCATCGGCGACAACACCAATTCCAGTAACCATCGTGCATAGGCTTTCCGAAGTCCATTTCTCACTAACCTGAACGCATACGCATTCTGAACAAATGCTGACCAGCGAGATAATGTTACCTTAGTTGAACACCCTAGTATTTCGTAAAGTCTCGATATAGATTCGACGATAATTACACCTTCTAATTCTTACATTGATTACCTATCCTCACATGGACTAGTTTCTCGCGTAGAGTTAAAGTGCTGTAGTCGATTTCTACGATATGCACACTAGCGTTCCTCGCACAATGTTAACGTTGCAGGATACTGCTGCGGCTACCCGGAGAAAATATAACCCCCACAAGGATTATATATCCCGGGGATGATCTAGATGTGGTCTCTATAAGGTTATCTGTGCGACGCATGCAGGATCTACATCGGGATGGGGAACCTCTCATTGGTGGCTCGTGGCGTGCTTTTCTCGATACAAAGCCAGCTGGTTCATGGATAGGTGGTCGAGACAGGTCCAGATCGAGGAGTTCGATATTCCACCAATATTAGTGCTATTTAGATGCGGGAGTGAGTTCCGTGGGATAATTTTAATGGGCATCTATTTCGCAGAAGCGATACTACCTCCCAGTGGCAAAGAGATGGATAGAATGTCGATGAGGCTTATGATACTTACTTGTTGCATTTGCAAAATGTTAATAGATGTGACACATATTGTTTGGATTTATGATCAATAGCGACTCTGTAGCACGTGCTATGCATGTTTCCAATCGGGTATAGTGCTTACGCTGCAACCGCATCCCCAACAGTTGAACGTGGGACGTTATCCCCGCAGGCTATAATACGTGTTCACGAGTCCGCGGAGGTAAAAACTACTTCACTATCGGGAAACAAAATTTTAGCAGAGAAACAACTCATGGAATTTGATCTGCAAAAATGGCCGCATCACAAACCCTCACCCTCGCAGTCTCCCAGTCTCACACTCTGTCTACCACTGCTGAAACGCTCGAGGCTTTGTCACAACAGTGTCGCAAGGCGTCAAAGCTATCCCCCTCGCCTGATTTGATACTCTTCCCCGAAGCTTATCTCGGTGGGTATCCTCGAGGAGCGGATTTCGGAGCTGTGGTGGGATCGCGTGATCAGAAGGGTCGAGAACAGTTTTTGAATTATTTCAAAGATGCTGTGGATATGGGTGATACGCCTGAAGGGGCGGGAGAAAAATGGGTGAAGAGGGAATTGGAGGGACAGGGAGAAGGAGGTAGTCATGTTAGGAGAGGAGATGGAACGCGGGAGGAACTGGAGTTGGTGGCGAGGGAGACGGGGATCTTTATTGTGACGGGGTTTGTGGAGAGAGCGGGTGGAACGCTTTATTGTGCTGTGGTTTATGTGTGTCCGAAATTGGGAGGTGAATGTTATATTTCTTGGCGTGATAGATTCACTTTATGAGAAAGTAGAAGCTAACTTGGCGCTAGTAATTGGCAAAAGGAGAAAAGTGATGCCGGTGAGTCTTTCCTCGTAATCATGTTCACATCGGAATGGATAACTCACTATATACAGACAGGAAGCGAACGCCTGGTATGGGGCCAAGGGCAACCATCCTCACTCCGAGCCGTAACCACCACCATCAAAGGCGTCAAACTAACCTTAGCAGCTGCTATTTGCTGGGAGAACTACATGCCTCTCTTGCGCCACTCCCTCTACAGTCAAAACGTCAATCTCTATCTCGCCCCCACCGCCGATAATCGCGATGCCTGGACGGCCCTCATGCGAACGGTAGCTTGCGAGGGCCGATGCTTCGTCCTGAGTGCGAATCAATGTATTAAGAAACAGAACCAACCAGCTTGGATCTATGGCGAGAAATCTGAAAGCGAGGAATTCACATCTAGAGGAGGTTCTTGCATCGTTTCTCCGCAAGGAGAGATTTTGAAAGGTCCGTTGTGGGAGGATGATGATGGGTTGATTACGGTTGAGGTTGATTTTGATGATTGTTTGAGAGGGAGATTGGATTTGGATGTTGCGGGGAGTTATTCAAGGTATGTTTGTTCTCGGAGGATGGTTTGGGATCTTTCTAACATGATTTGATAGAAATGATGCGTTTAAATTGACGGTGACTGGACTTGATATTAGTCCTCCTCTCTGAAGGACTGGTGGGGTACCTTGGCATACATTGGATGATCTTAACTGTTGAATACTTTGGATTGAGGCCCAAGCAAGAGCATGTAGTCTAAGTAGTTAGGAGAAATATATTCTACGTATGCAAAAATAATTGTGACTTTTTTCCTTAGGAAATTTGAGGAATGGATTGGTCTTAGTTACTGTACTTGCTGTGAATATTAAGCTATCACCAGATGTTTCAATAATTTGATGCTATGTCCCACTACAGATGTGCATATACAAGAATGATCATCTCAATTGCTAACAGAATATGCCTTGTGCACACTTCGAATTACAATAAGGAAAATGTGAAATTCTCATTGACAACGAAACAAACTATGTAACTTTATACGAAACCCTCGTCATACCCTTCGATCGCGAAATCTTCTTCACCTCGATCTTTCCCACCTGACTACAATCATGCACATGGGTCCCCCCACAAGGATAACTTCCTAGTCCCTCCATCTCCACCACTCTCGCCATGACCTCTCCTTCGGGCAACGCAAAATCATCCGTCACCCCACTACACTTCTCCCTCACTTCCTCCATCGGCCACCAATGAATCGTCACCGGTCTCGCCAATTTCACAAACTCATCTGTCTTCGCCTGAATAACATCTTTATGTTTCCCCTCAATCGACCCCCCAAACACCACCGCCGCCGAATCCGGATAATGCGACGCCTTGGACTCCGTCAGCGGCGAAAGCACACCCTCGCGAACGAGCGCCAGGATAGCAAGACTGAGAATATGTCCCGCGGTATGGAAGCGCGAATACAGGTTTCGTTTTTCGGCATCGACGTGTTGATGCACGGTTTCTCTGTTCTCGAAGTGCGGTGTTCCGACGGGAATGAAGCGGCCGAGATGAAGAATTTGACTTCCTTGAGCGGGCTGACGTACTGATTTTACTTCGAAGGTAGAGTTGCTTTTGTTGGGGATTTCGGAGGTCATGGTTCCGGTATCGAAGGGTTGACCGCCGCCTTGGACGTAGAAAATGGTGGAGTCGGTGATGATGGCATGTTCGATTTCCGAGGAGTCTTTCAAAAATACTTGGTCGGGGACTGGGAGTGCGGAGACGGGGATGATGGAGAGGATTTTGGCGGGATGGAGAAGCTTGTCTCCATCTTGTTGATAGATTAGTTTGGTTGGTTCGGACATCTAGTGATTTGTCAGGTATGTGCTGGAAAATTTAAGAAGAGGTACGTGAGGACTTGGAGTTTAGACATACGATCTGTGAGCCGCACTTGTATTTTCTAACGCTCAGTCGCTTACTGTGTAAATTTGTCGAGGACAAACACTGCAGAAGAGGAGACGATCTTTTGAATCGAAACAACTGCATACGCGTTTGTCAGAGACGTGAGTGTAAGTGAAAATACATAGTATTTTTATATCTAGCTTACTTACCCATCCAGGCACGCCAGTAGTTTACATATGGAAACTTGGGGGCGGGGGGGTAGAAACCCCTGCAAATGGCGCCATGCATATGCACCTACCCAGTTGAGGTGGTTCCATAGCCCAAGCTTTGTGGCCACACTCCACAGACGAAAACCCCTGTCGTTTGCACCGGTCTATTCGGATACCCGAATGTAGGCTTACTATAATCTTACAACCCCATTAGTCTTAGCCCTTGATCTTATCCTTGCATTGCGGCTATATGAGCCCTGTCATTTCTACCCCTGGCATCACAACATTAACAATACTCGAAAATATTGTTCTAGATCACTATCTGTAGGTAAATCGAGCAAACTTTGAAAAGCATCAAAAATCGGTTATATTGATTAACGAACTAAAAGAAACTACAAACGAAAGAAGACATAGGTAACCTATGTAGATACAAAGAGCACCTCCAAACCAAACATTCCTCGTTTTCACCCCTGATACCCCACCACTACGTGATACTTCTAACCTCACCAAGCACTTGCTGAGCCTGTTCCCATTGATCCTGATCCCTCACATAGCAAAGATTCTGCGCCTTAATAGCACAAGGCAGGAAAAGCACAGAATCAATAACATAAGTGACAGTATCACCAACTCCATTCAAAGAAGCAGCAATAGCGACATCACACATGTTATGACATGCGCTTCCCCAATGACCAGCAACAGCTTCCTGCGTCCATTTCTGTTCTAGCTGTTGCTTCAACTCGAGAGTTTTGGTCTCCAGAGTGGCAATCTCAAGATGACGAAGCGCATCCATGATGATGGCAGCAGCAGAAGCTTCGCGGATCTCGAGAACCTTGTTATCGGTGCTAAGAGGCTCAAGCCCTACAAATCGACCGTGGCCATATTTTCCTACTTCATTGTTGAGAAGAGCAATAGCTTGGATAAGAGTGAGCCTTTTCCCGTCAACGGAAATGAGATTTCCATTTTCGAAACCAAGTGTGAGTTCTTGTGTCGCGTGTTCTTTGTAGCGTCTTGTCCATTCATAAGTATTCTCCGGGATTGAGAAACCCTCTGGGTCACCCAATGGGCCATCCTCGGACTCATGACACCATAGGTTTTCATCACCGCTAAGCTTGCGCTCAGACATGATGAACAATCCAGCTACAGAAAGTTCTTCCGCCTTCTTCTATCGCGAGACGACAGATTGAGGATATGAATTCCCGAACTTTCCAGGGTCACCAAGATGTCGAATAAAGTTATGAAGTCGAGGCAAGCTATTCTGAGACAAGCTCGCAGTATGAAGCAGTAAGCCCGCGTTCACAGACTTAGCATAATCGGTGACCAAACGAGCAATGATCGGACGAGTGAGCGAACTGCTGATGGGAAACTGTCCCAAATACATTGTACGAGCATGTATAGCTGGCATAACACCATCTCTGACGAAAAGTTCACGACCATCGAGACACTTGAACTGGGCACCGAAGTGAGCAGCATGTTTGGTAAGCTCGTCCACATCGACAAGAGCCCCAACATCTACTGCCACAGCGTGGATGTTTGCAAAGCCGAGCTCTTGAAGTCTGAGGAGCAAATATGTGCTGTCCAGACCACCGCTGAACATGGTGACAACGGGAGTATCCCTATCGCTGAGCTTTGCAATATCTGCAAAACTTTCGATGGGTCTGCTATGTTGTATGGAGATGGGGAGGGGAAGCACATCCTCAAAGTTTTGTGCTGGCTTCGGGAGCTTAACACTGTTTGATTGTTTACTCTGCGTTTGTTAGTATATTGCCTTTAGGTTGGAATAGTCTACGTACCATTGTGTCATGTGATGTTAGAAACAGGTTGTGAAAAGTAAAGTGCCTTGAATGGATAGAGATTGTGGAAAAGTTCAAGTAAGATCGCAACGGCTAATTATACTATGAGGGATGGCAAGTGTTCTTAGGCAGCTGTTACTTATCTTACTAGATGGGAATGGTCACCTCGCCGATGTCTGTTGTAGATTGCAACATATCATCTCGGTTGACGTGACTGTATCCTTTGATTATATTGGCTTGGCCAGCCTAGAGCTTTGAAGATGGCACGCTGCGGCTTCTGGGATTCATTTTTTTGTCGGCAGGAAGATGTAGCATGTTGCAGTTGATTTCGCCATCGATATTACGGCCGGCAACTAAGTATCTACAGCTTCACACTTCACCGCTATCGAAATCAAAGTTCATATTCATCACATGCATAGTAGAGATCCCATAGGCTGGCAGCTTACTATTCTCATTCTTTTCTCAGCCTAAAATGACCTTGACCATGAACATTAAGTGTACATTGAAAGCGAGTATTCTGATCAAATCAAGTCATCACACTAAACGTAACTTTGAAGAAAGGTAAGCTATGCAACCTAGCTGGCGTCGATGCGAACTACGTCTTTAAGAAACCCTGTCCAAAGAAAAAGAACCTCATGAGTATGATTATCCCCTCATTTCCCCACACAATCTAGAATTAGAGCGAAGGAACCTTTAACTGCATACGAACGTGAATAACGTTGCATTGAAGAAACAAAAAGATCTAGATCCTCAAAAACTTTTGAGGTGAATATAATCTACTCTTGGCATGTTCGTCTCAAGCCACTTGATCTAAGTGATTTGCTCCCAGCGGGAAATTCTTAGACTGTATATTCTCAGAGAGCACACTTCGATGTCGTGATTGAGACGTGGAGAAAAAATTCGAATGAGTAAGGTTTGGTTTCCGACCCCAGCTGACAGTCGGGATAAGCTTGTGTGATAAGGGAAATTTTTGATGAGAGTACTTTGGCACTCGCAGGTGTTGACTGAAACCAACTACGCACCTAAGGACTCATTCTGATTTCCAATCCTGAACTGGGATATTGAAGAACGGTCTGGACATGCGTGATCCGGTACTACATGGTGGTTTCAGGAATAGGATCGTCGAACATCTGATTCGTCCCAACTCTGAATGATACCATCCTAACTGTTTTGATATGACAACAGTATTCATGAGAGAGGTTGACATGACACTGCAACTTGACTGTCATATCACATCCTCACACAGGTGAACTCTTGGCCAGCACTGACGATGCCTTTAGATGCGAGCGCTCATTCAAACACTTGCTGAAGGTCATCACGATCTTGCCACCCTCCAGCTATATAAGATAGTCCAAATCTGCAACTATTTGTATTCAAAGCATCATTCCAATCCAGATCTTTATAACTTCATACACACTCTCATCAACATTATAACAGCTTCAAATCTCCAGCAATGGCTATCACTGACCCCATCGTCATTTCCAAATCTTTGCCAACAATTTATCTCGATCTCCTCCGAGCTAGTAATGAAGCACAGAGCAAGAAGTTGCTCGACGCTTGTCGGAATTATGGCTTCTTCTATCTTGATTTGACCAGCGATTCAGAGTTATGTAAACTGTGGGATGAAATGCTCCTAGTAATGAAGTATTACTTCGAACAACCGCTCAAAATTAAGATGCAGGACGCCTGAGGGGATGACAACTTTGGATAAGTTTACTTTTAAAGCCTTTTGGATCTTTGCAATCTGACACTACTCCTTTCCAGTTATGAGGGCATGGGTACCGAAGAGGGCCCCAAGCCAAAAACAAGAGACCGCTACGAATCTCTCAAGGTATGGAACACTCTTCTCTCATAGATTTCCCGTCGAGAATTTCCCAAAGGCTCAACGGACCTTACTTCCTCGGTCCGCTCCCAGTCAGATATCTTCCTCTCGTTTATCAAGGACACTCACAATATCACCCTTATGATTCTCTCGCGTCTTTCAACTCAGCTAGGCCTTACCGGCTTCAAGAAGTTCGAGTCTTATCACGCCGACCCTATGGCATGAGTGATCTCGCTTTCAACACTCGGCATGTTGCGCTACCCAAAACATGAAGAAGGCACCGAGCCCACTAAAAAAGGTCACAACAAGCACCCTAATGCTGGTACTCTCACCTTCTTGCTTGCTAGACAATGGGGTCTTCAATTCCTTTCCCCGGTCACTGAACAATGGGAATTTCTCGAACCCCGGGCTGCCACGCCATCGTTAACGTTGGTGAGAGCCTACGCTTTCCATCTGGGGGAGAGCTAGCGAGCGTTGTGCATCGCGTCGTTACGCTCAAGTAAATACAAGACGTGGATCGGTATAGTATTACGTATTTCTTGCGCCCGAACGATGATGTGAAATTCAGTGACTCAAATGGAAAGGCCTGGACGGTAAAGGAGTGGCACGATTTCAAGTTTAACGTATTCAAGAGGCCAAGTACTTTGGATGCGAATGGGCAATTTTTGACCGGTATGATGGGGGAGAATAATAAGTTTGTGGAGCGTGATAGTAAGATCTCTGTTGCGGTGTAAAATGAGCGCGTTTGTTGCTCTTTTGGGGGTTTTTACTAGAAGTATGAAGAGTTTAGCTTGAAAATTTCCCTTCTGCTGTTCTAAGACTAGACTTTTGGTGATTATATTGTGGGTCAAGTGTTGTGCAATCGTCGCCGATATTTCGTCTTCTGAAGAGCGTAACGCTTGACGCTGTAGTGCCCATTGTTCCTTTCGTTGGTATAGCTTGCGATGGCATGGTAATTGTGCATGCCGACGTTGCCGGAGTATCATCTGGGAAGGATTAGGGAGTTGGTGGCCATGCTTCGTTCATCACAAACATCACTGTGATGGAAATTGTTAATTGTAAGTTCAATGAAATGTCCTTGAGTTCATAGTAAAGTAGTACTAGTTCTGTGTGCAGCCAGAATGAATGATGTTTTTGGGAGTTGTAGAGCATCAGACGAGATATCTCACTAGTTTTCTGAATGTGCTAGTTCTACCAAGTACCTAGGTGGTAAAGGATCAAGGATCAAGCTTGAGATGAGGATCGGATGATAGCGCGTATTAAGAGGCTAGTGTGGCTAGCGTGACATGAATATATCGTCACCTCTGTTAGGTAGCTAGGCATGCTGGGTAGTCAGTTCTATTCTCTACTCGAGAGTTCGGGTACACGATATGACATATATCTAGAACCAATTTTAGATATTGAGGTTGTTAGATTCTTTTGTTTCCTCGAATCGATGGAAATGGTAGAAATGGCAGAAATGGTAGAAATGGTAGAAATGGTAGGAGTGAGAGAAATGATAGAAATGGTAGAACCTTCTCGAAGCTTCCATCACTATCGATGCATCCCCTGTCTGATGGAGTACCCAATCCCCCCACTGTAAAAACGTCACCACCCAATCTCTGAATGGCGGGGAGGAAAGATGGAAGATTCTTGATTCTGTTGGTGGATGAGGGATTCTGATGGAAGATAGATATACCAGCTACTTTGCGCTGAGTAGCTAGATCAATAGTAATCTTTTAAAGCTTCCAACACTCATTCATACCTTTCGATATTCATACATACTACCTACATACATACATTCAATTCCTGACAAAGTTAATCAAGATTTATTAGCCAATTAATTATCGCAATTCAATCTCTCAACTCAATTCAATTTGAATACTTACTTGACAACAACAAAGGATTCCAATTCCATTCTAGATACTTTCTTCTTCCAACAACACGAAAAAGCTAGGTATCTAGGGAAAAGACAACGAGTAGGACTCATACCCAAACTAGCCAACAAATTAAGGAGGGGGGTGTGAACACAACTCATCGCTCACAACCACAATCACGAGATCTTGTGAAGAATCCGATTAAAGTGGTATGTAAATTGCACAATTTCCTTGTATTCTTGTGAGGAAAGGACAAGTGAACAACATTGTTCGTTCCTTCTATCCGTCAAGTCTCACCAGATCAACCAATCCATCAATCCAACCAGACTTGCCAGCCACCACCGGGAAGACCAGCACATAAAACCCAACACATAATCTTCCTTCGAGTCCTTTAAGAGGTCTTCTATAATACGACCTTTGTCTGCTGATTTTTTTTCTCGCAATCTTGGTCACTGACGACATACACTCTAGTGGACGACCGTTTTACAGCCTTTCTACAACGAATTTGCAACTCATAGTCGATCGTCAGCATCTTCATTAGACAAGAATTTGCTGTTTGAGGTTGATCTTCGAAGTTGGACACAGCTCATCTAAAAACTTCACGACTTTTTATTTCCCTTCTCAAACCATAGTTCGACAGCAACATACATTCGAAGAGCAGCAAACATGGTAGCAGAAACAAAACTTTACGATGCATTAGGCATCAAGCCTTCTGCCAATCAACAAGAAATCAAAAAAGCATATCGGTATGTACAATATCACAAAATCCTCTCCTTCATAATCATCTCATATCCATCATCTCCACCGCTATTCCCAGCTTATCCAAAGAAAATTGAAACTAACATACCTACAGTGCAATGGCCCTAAAACACCACCCCGATAAAAATAAAGATAAACCCGACTCGGCTGAAAAATTCAAAGAAGTATCCCAAGCCTACGAAATTCTCTCGGATCCCGAAAAGCGCAAAACTTACGACCAATATGGATTAGAATTTATGCTTCGCGGCGGTCCCCCACCACCTGAGCCTGGTACCAGCGGTGGAAACCCATATGCAAGCGCAGGAGGCATGCCTGGCGGGTTTGAAAGCTTCAGTTCATCTGGTGGTGGCATGCCCAGAGGAAAGACGTTCCACTATGATTTCAGTAGCGCGGGCGGGCCAGGCGGTGGAGGATTTAGTTTCAGTAATCCAGAATCGATTTTCAGTGAATTTTTGAGAGGACAAGGAGCGGGAGGTGGTGCGGATGGAATGGAGGATATTTTCGCAAGTATGGGGGGAGGAATGCCTCGATCCAGTCCTGGTGGAGCAGGCGGACGATCTAGACCTGCACGCTCGGCGTTCCAGGGTGCGGAACCAGCCAGGCCGAGGGCGGAAACGCCTGAGGTGACGACGGTGGAAAAACCTCTAGCGTTGAGTTTGGAAGAATTGTTCAAGGGTTGTCATAAGAAGATGAAGATTAAGCGGAAGACTTTCGATCCGGAAACGGGCAAGAGACAAACCACCGATCGCATTCTAGAAATGGACATCAAACCTGGATTGAAGAAGGGAAGTAAGATTAAGTTCAAGGGCGTGGGTGACCAAGAGGAGGGAGGACAGCAAGATTTACATTTTGTTATTGAGGAGGTATGTTTTACTTTTCCACCAGGGCTTCCCCCGTTTTACCCATAAGCGAGAAATAAACTAACTCACCCATTAGAAAAAACATCCCTACTTAACCCGCGACGGCGACGACCTAATCATGACCGTCGACCTTGATCTCAAAGAAGCCCTAACAGGCTGGAACCGCACCGTCACAACTATCGATGGTAAAAACATCTCTCTCGACAAAGGAGGACCCACTCAACCCGGCTCCTCAGATTCCTATCCCGATTTGGGCATGCCCCTGAGCAAGCAACCTGGCACGAGGGGTAACTTTATCGTGAAGTACAATGTGAAGTTCCCGACGAGTTTGACGGCGGAGCAGAAGCGGGCTCTGAAGGATATTTTGTAGGCGGATTTTGCGTTGTTTTTTGGGGGTTTCGGCGTATGGGAAGGGATTTCCTGTTGTTTATATTAGATAGCGGAACTGGAGTGAGAGCGGGATGTAGCAAGCGTGCATGATTTGGACTGAGGTTCCGAGTGTCTTGGGATGGATGGATGGATGGATGGATGGATGGATGGAAAGAAGAGAAACATACTTTCTCGACTAGGTTGAATGTTAAATGAGAAATGAGGAATGAAATGACGATTTATAATAAATACAAATGCTGTTTAGTAGTCCACATTATATATTTTCACACTTGCCAAGAAGATCCATCGCACAGATATTTTAACATTTGTTATTGCTTCAATTAGGTATCCTACGAGCATCTCTAGTTTACTGAATTTATGATCCATGCCTGATGCATCATGCTTCAAATCTCGTGCCTCCAGAGTATTGTGCTTCTCAATATGTACAAAATGAGCATATGCACTTCAAAATATCATCCATCCATCCATCTTGGTTCACTGACTATGCAAGAAACCCAAAATATTATCTAGCCACAACCAAACCTACTCAACAAACTCAACACGTTTGACTGTAGTGCCGTCATCCTTCTGGCGGGTAGGCAGCGAGAGGTCTTCTTCCTCACGCTGCATATCATCAGTCTCGATATCCTCAATCTCCATGCTATCATTAATCACACTTTTCTCAACAGAATTGCCAGTGAAATTTTGCAACATGCCGCTACCACTACGTTCTTGCATTTCTTGTGGTGTGTCATTGGGAAATGGATCGACACCCACAATCAGTGGGTCACTTAGAGTGTAACGAGTTTGTACAGCCTCCGATTGGGACATTGCCCACGAAGCGTCAGTGTACGAGGGTTCATTTTTGACTCCATCCCGTTCGTCATTAATGGAAGTGTTTGAGTTTCTAGAAGTGCTTGAAGATCCAACTCCATTCCATTCGTCATTGTAGGCTGAGGTAGAGGTATTCTGCTCACGCTTACGCTTTCCAGGCGATCTTGGTGAGTGTTGTGATTCGTCAGGGGAATTCACTGGAGGTTGAGACTTGGGTAATTCCTTTCTAAAAGCGGCATTATCGTGATAGACGAAAGACTAGATACTGTTAGTGAGATTACGAGGGCGAATAAAGGAACGAACATACCTCAAGTTCGTGTGGTGTTGAACGCGTAGCCGTCTCCATTGCCTCGTCAGAAGCATAAACTAAAATTGCCGTCTCGTTCTGAATTTTGATATCCTCCAAAACTTTCTCCAAGGTGGTTTTCTATTGTTTTGTTAATAAGTTTTTGCAAATTGAATTCTCATAATACACACTTCCACTGTTCTTGAAGGGGGAGACGAGGTACTAAAGTGCATTCTCCACCACTGACCATCACTAGGAGGAATACGCTCTTCTTCATTGGCGGCGAAATCAATGAGATCCGGTGCTATACGGGTGCAAACATATGTGGTCTCCTTAGTCAAGCTTACACCACGAAGAGTATATCTGTGCAATATCCGAGAAGACTTGGCGGGGTCTGTATACAATTTCGAAAGCTCTCTCCAAGCTTCTTTGGCTTTTTCCCTTTCATCTTGTAGTTCTAGTTGCTGTTAGTTGGATAAATAATCATTGACCATCATTGTATGAGCTTACTCTTTAGTTTTGCGTTTACATTATCCATCAATTTTTTGATTCCTTTAGACAAATCTGCACTCTTTGATCCGCCCATAGGAACCTCAGAGGTAAGATCGCCCGTCCTCTTGTTGCTGGGTGGAAGCTCATTCTGATCATGATTGAGTGACAATTTCATAACATCTTCAACTAGAAGTGTTTTTCCATTGTGAGTGGTCCATTTTAATTGCCTCTCTTGTCGAGAAATATCCTGAATTTTTAGCTGCAAATTGTGCTTTTCTGTACGCATAGCTAATGAATCTTGAGATACGAACTGCAGATATCTATCAGGATACCATACTACTGGCACTTCAATTGCTTTCTGATCATTCTGCTTGTCACCTTTGATTCTGAAAGAAATGACGTCGCCAAGATGATTCAAGAAGGGCCAGTTTTCGAGTGTAAAAGGGCAACCATCCCATAGGGCTCCATCTGCAAGATCATAGAGATTCTCGATAAGAGAATCTTTTGTGGGAAGATGAAGGTCGAATATGGCAAATATGGTATTTCCATCAGAGTCAGAATCTGGAGCATGAGTAGCTGAAGAAAAGATGTGTTTCAATGGTGCCTTGCCCTGCATCAAATTCTTGAAGCACAGGAAAAAATCGGTCTCAACATCATTCCCAGCGTTCTGTTGCATATATGGAAGTTCGGTAATAACATCCACAGAGCCGTAGCTTCGCTGTGTCTTGTCTAAGAAAGCCATGACTTTCTGGAGCTCCTGGCCAAATCGTCGATCGTCAGCTACAAAGTTGGGGTCTTCCTGCAACGATGCGATGGGGTGTTCTATTGGTCTGCCGCTCCACCAACCAGCCTCATATGGATAGTAGGTCTCGACGTTGTCTCTTCTGAGAAACACCTCACGGGCAATGGGAATGTTGTAATAGATTGTAAGAAGAGCACCTAGTCTATGTGCGTCTCCAGAAGGCTTAAGAAAGGCGGGTGTGGTAGGTCTTTCGTCTTCCCAGATTCGCAAGCGATCCCAAGGTTCTGGGTCTTCATAGATTTCCTTGACACTTGATATAGGAACCATGGCCCAATTATCTCCATAGTCGGATCTTGTAGCAGGACCAAAGTAAGGTTTATCTGTTCCAACTACACCGGATTCTTGCGGAGGCAAACTAGAGTCTGCCATAGAAGCAGCAAGCGCCTGCTGGAGTTCTTTATCATCATTGTCGACATATTGGGTAAAGGCAGTGGTAGAATCTGCCGAATAATGTGTTAGAATATGCAAACCGGAGGTTTGAAAGAGGACATACCATTAGTCGTGAGATCCACAGCTTTGCTCAGAGGCGACTTATTGTTACTAGTTCTAGATGGTGGTCTGGAGGGTGCAGCGCTTTCGAAATGAGAATAGGCGGGAAATTCATCTGAGCCTTGAACTGCAAAAGCTGCAGCAAAAAAAAACATTAGTGAGAGTCTTCAGATTTTTGATTCAAAATAAGAGAACACACAAATACCATGTTGCGCACCACCTCCATCACGATCTCTATTGAATTGGCTATCATCCCAAGTGTACTGCCACCATCAAATCAGTGACCATACACCACATCGTGCGATTCCATACTGACTCGATTAGGATTCCTTCCAAGATCAAGATCATCATAGTACTCGTTGATTGCTTGCTGAACATTATTGTTGTTGCCCTGTCTATATCAGCATCGCACTTTGGGAGAAATCATCTAGCTAAAATGACCCCACCTTCAATCTTAAGATAGCCTCTTGTCGGTTTGTCTGTCCAGTCATGTCCAGAAAGGATTGCACATCTTGAGCAGCTGGTTGCGCTGCCATGGTCGCAGTGGTAGCAAGCTTCAAATTGCTCTCGACTTTTGACCTTTGCAGCTATATTGGATTCTTGAAGGTTCTGGTTTCTCCCCAGGTCATAAGGCAAAAGCAAAGAAGCAGAAACAAGTAAATCAAAGAGATTGTTGAATAGATAAGCTGGATTGCCAATATGACAAACAGGATCCAGATACTAGTAGAGTTTAGGGTGGTTTGCTAAAGAAGGTTGACAAAACAAGATGGGAATTGTTTGATGGGCGAGATCCGGGGATGTTAGGGCTGGGGAGCATATACGTCCGAGCTTCATATCAACCCCACCAGAACCACCAGCTTCACTTCGAAGAGATATTACGCAGTAGATCACACTAAGCCCAACCTGGAAATGAAGAGTAGTGGTGGAGCTCATTCACTACGAGAAGAGGCTATTTCTCAAGAGCGCTCATCTCCGAGCTCGAGGGCGATCTAATGATCATAATGCACAGGTTTCAAAGGTCCTTTGATTGAATACTACCTAGGTATATATCCGAAGGAAATCCAACCTTGTAGCAAGACTGAATAATATATCGAGATGTTTGTCTAATGCTCTCACGAACCATCAAAAGTGCAGTTATAGTATAAAGACGAGAGTGGTATCTATGTCCCTTTCCCAACAAAAGGCTTGAGCGTTATATGATGAATAGTTCGACTGTCTATCTGACTCTACAAAGGAATGAATTACATCAACCATCATATCATCTCAAACACAAACTAGAGACCTCACTAGCAAGACTAAAATTTGCACCAGATGGCGATTTACCACATATTTCTAGTTTCCAAAGGATTCCCTTGGTATCTTTGTATCATTTCCCATATCCTAATCCAATCGAAATTGCTTGAATTTGGAGAAGTATACTAACCAAATCCTTTCCCTAAGAAACTAGAGGCATGATGAGTAGAAAACGCATAGAGGGATCACGACGAAGTACCTACAGAGGTATGTATGATAGTATTCTCATTGGTGTATCGCTTCTTGCGGATGCGCTACACTCATCGTTTTAGAGCCCTTGGAACTATATTTGTCTAGGAGTGTGAGATAGAAACCCTACGCCTTGCAAAACTCTTCCATCAAAACCTAAGCACAACGATTGTCTCGCAAGCTCTAGAACATTTCAGATAAGGGGATGTTTGGAATCGCTCTGAATTGGTGAGCCTCATGCCGCCACGGGCAGAAAATAGATGACATCTCAAGTGCGAGCAGTATGAACTATCAACACCAGTTATTGCGAACTTATCTTGTATTGAAATATTCCTATTCACAGCCTGCAACTATTTACCCTATCTCACTGCTTACTGCAAAAGCCCCAGACAAATTATGCCCTCCAAAATACGTAACACCCAATCCATATCCCCCATAATCTAAAAGCGCTAAGATCCCCCAATGTAAAAAGCATGTTATACGTACGCCTGGAATGCAAATATGCTTGCATTGTCCTTTGCGCCTCCCATGTAAACCGAGCGTACCGCCGCTGTGCTATGCATTGTAAAATAAAATAAAATGACCCTCCCTCAATCGCAAGTTGTGACCATGTGCAATTTTAACGAAGTAGCCAGTATCGAGAACATTTGGGAGGTTCGAGAAAAGCAATGAGCTTCAAGAATGAGTCAGACTTGATAGCTCTCCCCCTTTAATCTTCCATATCTTCATCGTCCTCTTCTTGCTCCTCGCCATCCTCTTCCTCTTCGTCTTCATTCTCCATTTCTTCATCGGAACTATCGCTGGCGCCAAAGTCGTCCTCTTCATCACTCTCGGCCCAGAACGCGTCGTCATCTACAAGTTTCGCAGGAGGGGCAGTTTCAAGTGTTTTCGGCATTTCGAATCCGGCTGGAATATCCTGCTTCGAAGCAGCAACAGCCTCTTTAGCTTTCTCGTTGTATTTTTCCCTAGAATCACGGTACATAACCCCAGCATCGACATTGGCGGGAGAATTGATCTCGGGATCATCAAGGAGCAGAAGGATGGATCGCAAGACAGATTCAACACCTTGTAGAGGTGACCAACGTTCACTGGCAGATTCTCCGGATTGCTCGTCTTCTCCAGGTGGGTGCAAGATTGAGATACATAATTTACCGTCGGGATAGATATTAGGGTGTTGAATTGGTCGGAGGAATTTGAAGGTAGGAGGGCTGTAAGGATAATTGTCGGTGAAAGTCATTTCGGCCTGCGGTTGAAAATCAGTGGCTGTAAAACATAATAAAACAAAGAATTCTCACCTTAAAGTAAGCACCGTTGAAAGCACTCTCATCGTTAACAACCATCAAACCGACTTGCCATTTAAAGAGCGAGTCTTCATTCATCTGTGCAACAAGGTTAGTTGGTTTCGAGAAGAGCAGCCATTATGCAAGAACCTCCTACCTCGATATTGACCCATTTCTCTTTGGCCAGTCCCTTGTACTCGGACATCAAACGATTTTTCGCGGCAACGGCAGACATTTTGACGATGTTCTTTATTGTGCACTCTCAAACGGTATCGATAGAAATTGAGAAGTAGATTTTTGCAAAAGATTTTGAAGTCGAGACAGGTTTAATTAGTGTGGTAGTTGAAGTAGAATTATTTGATCCAGAAACAACTCGAGTAAGACTGAATAAATGTGAATGAAGGAGATGAGGTTGTTTAAGACTGAATGGCCAACAAGGTTGGGTGTCGAAAGTGAGACCTTGCAGAACGTTGGGAGTGTAGAGTGTAGAGTGTAGAGTATTGAGTATTGAGTAGTCAGGAGTCGAGAGTCGAGAGTTGAGAGTTATAGATTGAACTAGAAGAGTAGAAAAGGTTTTATAGAAGTATCCTCAAAGACGAAAACGTGAAGTGTTGGATGATGGTAGAAAGTCGAGGATTATGTATGGTTTTCGTAAGAGTTTAAAATAGTTAGGGAGGACTAGTGAAGGACTAATAAAGTTTCGCTGGCTGATTTGCCCAAGGTACGGTGCGCTAATACTCCATACTAGTACTCTGCAGAATGTTTGCTACGGTATTTTTCGGGCACCAGCGACTCGCCTTCAAAGAGCAAGGATTGTATGACAAAATGACAAAATAAGTGAATCAGTGAATATCCCAAAATGGGTTTAAGCTTTGGATTATTGTGGATTCCAAAAAGTGTCAGGATAAAGACGACTCGTCAAGTGAGCATCTTGCGCTTATCTCCAAAAATAGTTAAAACTCGGGTCGCATGATTTTGATGATTTCAGTACTGCGCATGGCATAATTCGTACGGAGTATACAATCACCAACAGTAGCTAGCCACTTGTCTGCCGGGCTGTCGGGATATGATGATGCCGTATCATTCAACCCCAACTAATGGTTTTCGGATTCGTTCAGCAGTACGATATGTGTCCTACCTATGGTGAACTTACTAACACAAACAAGTACGTACCAACGAGAGGTTTCAAGTATCTATGTTGGCAGTTCCCATTTTTATTCCGTGTCATGAACGGAGCCACCGAGAGGCGAGGGGCACGGAGTAGATTCTACGATAAGCAATCAATATCTAGTAATCACAAGGACCTAAGTGGCGCTAACAATAATAAGTGGAATACGATCGAAACCTTCAATATCTGCCGAATTGTGGGTACGATGTCATATGTGCCGATTGAAAGGCAACTCCAACCAAAAGTTTAGGGTTATTTATCATTAATTTCACTTCAAGAATTTCACAATTACATATGCTCTTAACGTGCAGCGGTCGGGATCATGTTGAAGTGTAGTTATTGTAAGCGAATATACCCCTTTTATACTATGGTCCGATTCTGTACCCAATAACAACATCACTACTTGATTTCCTGAACATTGTGCAAATGTTGAACTACTACCAGCTTGGGCACAAATATACCAGATTCCAGTTGAGTCTAGAGATGTGGATTACAAACTTTCACATCTTTTTAAAAATCTTTTCATGATAACAGTCCGACGGATTGAGGCGCAAAGTGAAAATATATTTATCTTCGAGGTATCAAGGTACAAATTTTGCCAACACAATATAACGCCGTCCCGTTGGTATTGCCATTAATAAACGCCAAGAATCATTCTCTACATGAATTCAAGTAGAATCAGTATTCCCACTTCTAAAATTTGTAATTTGAACAACGCCCAAAACGGACCAGAATTATCGAATGCTGTTTGTCCCTAATGCTTGAGCTCTTCTTTTCTCAGCATTCTTTTGGGCTAGCCTTGCTTTGGCGGCTGCAACTCTATCTGGAGGCAAGGCACACTTTGATGGACTGGATCTTCGGCTCGATGCAATAGTGGTCGGAAGGGGTACCCCCCGCTCATTGTTTGACTTCAACTGGTCAACGGCTCTGGATCGAGATACTGTAGCTTTGGGAGGACTTGAGGGAATGTTATATATCTTTGGTCTGGGGCTGTCTAGACGCCTCTCACGACTGGTTCGTGTACGAAGAAGAGGCAAGGATGGGTCTTCGGCTTGCAAGTCCAAATTTGGTGAATCGAGGGAGAGATCCGCATATCGATTGGCGAGAGGAGTATAATCAACCTTCTTCGATTTCTGAAAAGCATATTGTTCCGTAGATGCAAGATTAGTAATCTCAGATAGGGCTGCATGTGACGATCGTTGTGTGATATCAGTGGGTGCTTCAAAATGTGTAGGTTTAGAGGAGGCAACTGTTTTGGATGGCCGTGCAATGGAATGACTCAAGACTGGAATGTTACTTGTAAAAGCATGCGACTTCTCAGTTGGATGGCTTCTGGTTCGGAACAAATCATAGCCCGATCCTGTTACTTCGTCATAAGTAGAACCACGAACAAGCTCTCTCAATTTGGCTATCTCCTTCTCGTATGCATCGACCATTGTATCGTATTCGATGGACTTGATGTGGAGAGCCTGTTCCAAATCTGTTGTAGCCGATTGTTCGCCCTTCAATGATGCGATTTCTTTCTTAAGTTCCACTACTTGATCATGGCGCTTTCTCAAGAGCTGCTCTGCGTCGCGTCTTGAACTCTTTGCCGTTTGCTTCATGTGATCGTAATCTTTTTGAAGAGCCTTTAAGCGATCCTCTTTCTTCTGGCGTTGTCCTTCTACGAGCTTTAAACGCTTCTCCCAGCTTTCTGTATGCTTCTCGAACCGCAGATCAGAATGTAGCAAATCTTGTGAAAGCTTATTGTTTTCCCCTTGAAGCTTAGAAACAGTTCTGTCGGCGGTGGCTAAAGCTTGTAAGGCTTGCTCTAATTCATTTTGGATAGAGGCCGTGTCTCTGGGATCGTTCTTCGCATTCCTCAATTCAGTCTTTGGGACAGCTGCCGCAAGACTTCCATCCCCTTCCATAGCTTTGCGAAATTCTTCTACTTGGACACGATATTGAAAAGCCAAGGCAGTCTGACGAGCAAGCTCCCTCATGAGTGCCGGTGAAGTGTCCCCTTTAACTTTCCCATCTGCTGCAATCTGCGACATTAACTCAGTAATGTTGTTTTCCATTGAGGCAACTTTGGCTTGCTCTTCCTTCAGTTTTTCTGCGAGATCGAGAGCTTCTGCATCTTTTTTCTTCGCATAGGACTTTGCGAGCTGCTTGTACCCTACTAGCTTCTTCATCTGAGTCTGTGCCTCATCGTGGTACTTTTGGAATTCAGATTTCCAGAATTTGCCAGATTGGGACCGAGGATCGTTGATGTCAATCGTAATATCTGCATCACTGTCGATTCCAGACATTGATTCTTTCGCTAGCTGTACATCATTTGATCGTGAATTTTTTGGTTCCTTCGTGTCATTTCGTGTCTTTACATCCTTCGCCTCGGTCAAAGCCGAATTTGGTAATGTCGAAGAGGTGGTAGAAGATTGATTGCGCTTTTTGAAAGCACTGTCCGATCCACGAGAGTCCTCTAAAGTCTTCAAAAGCGAGGTCTTTCTGCTTGGCTGTGATAGTTCTTCCGGTTGAGCGATCCATGAAGTGAGAGCTTTCCCTGGTGTTGGTGCCCTGCCAACAATTTTCTGTGGCCTGTCCTTTCCTTCGTTATCATCAACATCTGATCCGAAAGACACAGTCTTTCTTCGAGTCGCCGCAGTTCCAGGGGTCATCAATATTCCTGGTGGTTTCGTTGGGGAAGCCGATAGATAATATGGCAGCCGATTATCTCTGCCTGACATTGGATCGCCCTCCTTTTCAAGTCCATATAGCGTATCGTCTTGAGGAAGACCAGGTGTACCAAAGAAGGCACTTTTGAGTGCGCGAGCAGCAAAGACCGGGGCTGGAGTCTCCGGCGTATCTATCTCAGGGTCTGCTCCTATATAGTGTAAGCATTTTACATCTTCTATATACTTAGGTAAGTTGTGGTAAGTTTATACCTGCAACGCGCTCGGCACCATCTGGCCGTCCTAACCACCAGTTGAGCATAATCAAGGTAGCAAATTGCAAGAAGTTTATGAAAAATCAATGCCCATAGATTTTCCACCAATTAACAATTCGAGAAGGTGGTTATCAAGACTATTATAAAATACAGTACATCCATAAACTTCCTTTGGAAAGTACAATTAGTGCCTGAACCCTTTTTGTTTACTTACAAGGATTAGATCGGACGCGAATGTGCCAGGCAACCACAACCGCAACCGCGATTCCCCGCGTTTAAGCCTTGCCCTGACATGGAATTCACTGATGTCCTTAACATCTAATTGGGCAATTGATGATCAAGGCTATTTCAAGGTAATAAGTTCCTTAATTAACATATAAATTGTCTCCATTCAAATGCTTGTCCGGAAAGACATAATACCTTCAAGCTCGCGATGAAAAGAAAACAACAAGACGAGAAGGAAAGAACAAGAGGCAACAACGACCTTCATGTTAAACGAACTCGATCAAGTAATCGAATATCGGCAGAAGTACATCACCAATCCGAGGACGTTATTTCTTCAAACAACAATATTGCAAGTAGACGAAGTCAATCTCCTACAGGGGAAAAAGAGAACATTATCGGCTCAGAAGATTCGGAGGAAGACAGAGAAATAAATCTAAACAACAATAATGCTACGCTACCAGAATCGCAGTCGAGGGCTGATGGGTCACCCAGTCGTCCTACCTTAAGCCCGATTAAAGCTCAGAATCAATCTACTCCCAAGTCTTTACGGCATGGCGATAAATTATTCGCAACGCCTATCAAAGTCAAAGGTATAACTGGGACAGATGAAACTCCACGCCTTCGACGCAACATTGATCGATCGGCCAGAAGGAAGAGTACTAGAACCCTTATTGAACGTACCGTATTAGGCCTCAATAGCGATAATGATGACGAGGAAGAGGATATTGCAAACCAGATATACGATTCAGACGAAGATGGCGAAATTGGGATGGGCAACGACGATACAATTCAAGTATCTGAAGATCTACGCGAACCATCTACTCCCTCTAAGCGTGGACGGGGCCAATTAAAGGGACCAAAGGCTCGGCATAGATCATTGACACCACCTCAGGATCTTACACCTCACGAACTATACTTCTCTCAAAATAGGCCCGGGAGATCCAAAACTGCGAATTCCAATCTATCTTCTTTGGTGTTACTGGATCACGAAGAATATTTTAGTCTTGCTCGGAACTATAAAGACCAGCACGAAGATGATATGAACTTTCTACAAGATGTACATGCCAAATCTTTCAACCAATGGCAATTTGAGCTCGGCCAGGACTTCAACATCTGTGTTTATGGTTGGGGTTCAAAAAGGTCTCTGCTTCTCAAATTTGCTGAACATGTCTACAACACTATGACTGATCATGCTCGGCAGAGAATAGTCGTGGTGAATGGTTATGTACAAAACCTCACAATTCGAGAGCTTTTGAATACAACAGCATGTTCTATCTCTGGTCATGGCACGAGAATAGGTTCACAACCCGCAGAAATGCTTGAAAACCTCACAAATATACTTGATGAAGACAAAACTCAACATGTGACTCTAATAATCCATTCTCTCGATGGATCTGCTCTTCGTCGCCCTGCATCCCAAACGATACTTTCACGCTTGAGTTCTCACCCGCAGGTACATCTAGTTGTGTCTGTAGATCACCCTTCCTTCCATTTGCTTTGGGATAGTTCGCTTCGCTCAGCTTTCAACTTCCTCTTTCACGATTGTACAACTTTTCTACCTTACACAGTAGAAGTTGACGTTGTAGATGAAGTACATGAACTTCTGGGGAGGAGCGGACGCAAAGTAGGGGGTAAAGGAGGTGTAAGCTTTGTGCTCAAGAGTTTGCCTGAAAATGCAAAGAATCTTTTCAGAGTCTTGGTAGGGGAACAACTTGCAACTATGGATGAAAACCTCGTAGGCGAGCATAATGATGATGAAGATGGCGTACATGGAGTTGCTAGTAGGAAGAGTGAGCCTGGTGTGGAATACAGGGTGTTATACCAGAAAGCTGTTGAAGAATTCATTTGCAGTAATGAAATGAATTTCAGAACGTTGCTGAAAGAGTAAGTTTATATTCGTCGTATCGATATCTGATGATAGCTAATACTTGCTTAGATTTCATGATCACCAAATGATAGAGAGTAGAAAAGATGCTTTGGGGACAGAAGTGCTATTTGTACCTTTCAGGAAGGAGGAATTAGAAAACATTCTTGAGGATATTGTATCGTAAGGGATTTTCAGCTGTTAGATATTCTTAGCAAGGTGTTCAGGACTGCATAATGAGCATTTACAGGTACGGCATAAGAGGGCCTTTTGACAGTTAATCAAATTAATTCAAATTCAATTATCTCACCATCCCCTTACAATTTTCGTTTCTCTGTCAACTATGCATATACCAGCTTCAGATGAGCATCTTGGTTCTGATACCTCCTGAAAAAGGTTCTTGGCAGGCAATTATTTTCAAATGTGGGTGTAGCCTTGCAGGCTAGGCTGACAAGGCTAACCCCACTAACAAGAGCACCAAATTATTTTGGCTCTATCCAGTGCCGTCGCTCAAATAAGTTCCTCCTAATGTTACGTCAAATACACAACAAATGTAGGAAGCTATTGACAATGGCTCGTGCAGTTCCTAAGAATCCTTTGATATTTGTTCTCGGTGCTACTGGTACTGGAAAATCACAAGTAGGTTTGGAACTCTGTCATTGAGAACGAAAGCTAATTAATCATTCTACAGTTGGCTATCGACCTCGCAAAACAATTTAATGGCGAAATAATAAATGCCGATGCTGTGCAAATGTATGAAGGTTTACCTATAATTACAAACAAGGTCACTGCCGAAGAACAAAATGGTATCCCACACCACTTGCTAGGATTTATTCCCCTGAGTGCGGAAACATGGACAGTAGGGACATTCAAGGATCGAGCAAGCCTGATAATCCAAGAAATTCGATCCAGGAGGCGGATACCCATTGTAGTAGGCGGAACGCATTACTATACACAGTCTCTTCTATTTGAGCATGAGCTCGTTTCCTCCGGGAAAGGTTCTGGGGAAGGGCAGGATAATGAACAACTCTCCATAGAAGAAATATCCAAACGATTCCCAATACTCGATGCACCCACAGAACAAATACTGGATCGATTGAGGGAAGTTGATCCTATTATGGCTGCACAGTGGCATCCTAATGACCGGCGCAAGATTCAAACATCGCTGCAAATATTCTTAACAAGTGGAAAGAAAGCCTCCGATATCTATAAGGAGCAGAGAGAGACCAAAGCCATGGCCCAGGCAACCTCGGACGGTAACTCGGATCAAGCAGACGCATTCAGCATAGGTTCACCATTGCTATTTTGGGTTCATGCGAAATCAGATACTCTCAAATCGAGGCTTGACAAACGAGTCGAAAAGATGATTGATGTTGGCCTGTTGGATGAAGTCAAGTCTATGGAGACAATTCGCCAAGAATACATTCGTGGTGGTGCTGATCTTGATCTTTCTCGTGGGATATGGGCTTCTATCGGCTGGAAGGAATTTGAGCTGTACCTACGCGCTCTTGAGCAGGAGGACAGAGATCCAAAAAAGCTAGATGCCCTCCGCGATGATTCGCTAGAAAAAATGAAGGCAGCCACCCGACAATATGCGAAGAGACAAATTCGATGGATCAGTCTAAAATTGATACCAAGTCTTGTTCAAATGAACGCCCTCGATAGATTGTATCTCCTCGATGGGACAGATGTATCATCATGGTTGGAGAATGTGTCAGATCCTGCCATTGGTGTTACCCAAGAATTTCTTCTTGGGAGCAAGCTGCCATCACCAAGTGAAATGTCAACTCTAGCTGGAGAATTCTTAAATCCTGAAAAGCCCTTGCAGCACTCTCAGAGCAAAGCCCGTTGGGTGCCACAGAAATGTGAAATATGTCACATCGTCGTTATGACAGAAGGTCAATGGCAAGTGCATTCTACAACCCGCGCTCATCGACGAATGGTAAAGAAGTTGCAGAAAAATGGGGTAACTGGTAGGTCCCGTCACGATAGCGAAAGGGGTGGTGGCACATCATCATTTGCTACTTGAGAGGCACCAATGCTGTGCCCACAGACATAAATGATGCAGATCTTCAACCCCCACGCCAGACCAACAGAAAAAATTTGCTAGCTTTCAAAGCTCGTGACAATTCTTTGGTGACATGACCATCATCAACATTATAGCCAAGATCCAGCCTTACGAAAAAGCGACAAGAATGAAACCAAGAGTAACTTGACATCTTACGCGAGGCTGTTAGTAAGACGCCTGGTGGCAGTTGATGTTGTACATCAAAACGGAGATTAGGAATTACTACAAACGTAGAATTTTCCACGCTGGCTATACCTGGAGTGGTAACACTTTGTAGACCGCTTTGTGTGTACACGCGACAACGAACTCACACCAGATGATTTCAACAACTTGCTCTGGGCCATACCTTTAACTTCAATGGGTCCGTCGAAAACGCTTGAGTTCCCAAAAATTGATAAGATGGAGAGTAATGAATACGGGCCAACACAATCTTTTCCCCCCTTTTTTAAAAAAAGAAAAGGAGCACCCAGCCGTGGAAATTTGTCTCGCTTGTTCTGACTCTCTAGTGTTCTCTCAGCTAAATATTTTCGACTTTTACGTCCCGTGTCTTATTTATTAAAGCCAATCTGTCTGATAATCTGATAACGAAAGTTTGACTATTCAATTTGTCAATTCAAGGAGGCTTCGCTAGTATGAGGAAATTTGCCTCTTCTTGGATGTGAGAAGACAGTGCACTGCAAAAAAACGAGGACTACTTGCGTACCAAGAACCTAGTACACGGGATTCGATATTTCAACCTGCTTTGCCCTTGATATGGTATCTACAAGTTATTACAGCCACATGGATTTTACCCACCGACCGTGCCAACCCAGAACCCCAGCAATTTACTCGAGCTTAAAACGTGCTCTCTCACAAAGCTTGATTTGAACGCGAATGACAAGGGAAAGCGCCCCGCAAACGTCTTTCTTAACAGACTGTTTTTAGATATATCTTCAATGGTTACTACACAACTTGATATATATTTTAAGAACTTGAAATACAAATCTCGGTGTGTCATACGACATTACTATTAGCAGTATCCTTTATATTATACAATAAAAGCAACCAATCGAATTTCTCGTGGCATCTTTTTAACAAACAATCAATCGAGCAAGGAGGCCCTGTTCGTTCCATGAGGGATTTATTTCCCAGATATCATTTTCGCAGCTAACCTAACGTTGACCAGCGGACTTGGATCGAATTTTCACCACAAAGGCCACATTTTTAACAATTCAGCAACGAATGAATTCAACTTTTATATGAGCGATTTGATACAACGTCTAAAATGAAGATGTCAACTACCACTTGCATGGGTGGTTTCAATTTTATTACGTTGATGTCAATATTGACGGGCTTCCAGATGCGCCTTGAAGTTACAGATCTAGACCAGATTTGGCTTTGGCTTCTGGAATGCAAGTGAATTTGTATTATATGTAGGTAGCTGTATGACGGAAACAGCTTGTGCTACTACCCACCTATCTATATCATTCTCATAAGATGCGAAATTGTTCCGCGGGATATATATCACAATCAGAAAATTTGTACATGCTCCCACACTTACGCCACGACTTCTGGTAGGACAGTTCACTTTTTCTATATCTAAAATTGGGACAAGGTAGGTCTGTATCCATTGACTAGTCTCTTGGAAACAAAAAATAATTTGGCACTGCCCCATCTGCTTGCCATACCTTCTCGAGCTTGTTTGTTGCTATATCTCCTAAGTCTTTTAGTACTTGCTCTTTTGATCTACTTAAGTTGTTGTTGGCCTCCCTCAAAAATTGAAATCATTCGAAGTCGTTGGGTTGCTTGATATTCCCAAACCATTTCTGTTTCTGGTAGCATCAAATTCTTCCACCCTTCTCTCCATATTCACTTCTTTCTAGCATTGAGCGGCCAACAAGTGGTACGACTCCAAGAGCTCTTCTGGTTTACAGCTGTACTTTCATACTCAAGTGGCAGCTTCGTATCAGCAAGACATTTCTTTAACAACAACACATCTGCGAAACCTTTGGTCAGCTACTCCTCTAAGACCACCACTACGATACTCTGACGATCAATAACATGGACGAAAAATCTGCGCCTACCTCACTCGAGGATCGCGACGATGAAATCTTTCACGTCCAACCTAGACCCGAAGTCCGAATCAGATTCGGCGCACAAGATGAAGAGGCGGGCAGACAAATAAACACGCTCCCTAGAATGACCCGGACAGCCACAAATAACTCGCAGCTATCAACCACAAGCTCAAGGCGCCGCAGAGTTTCCATCGATCCAGCAACTGCTCTGCCAATTACTTACCGCACGGTATCTTTTGCCATTGAAGAAACTAAAGAAAAACAGCGAATCGATGCAGATCGTGCAAAGAAGGGCGCTGCAGCTGAGCTTGGTGATTTGGAGTGGCATACTTTGTCGACAGACGATGTTGTAAATCGGTTAGAAACATCACTCGCTCAAGGTCTGTTAAAAGAACAGGTTGAGGTCAAGACAAAAGAGTTTGGAAAGAACATGCCTTCGAAGCCACCTTCAAACTTATTCTCGAGGGGTAGGTTTAATCTCATATCTATTAGCGACTCATCTATGCTCTCATTTGCTTGGAACCTTCTCTAATCCTTTTATCCTTTAGTCTTCGGATATCTATTCGGTGGATTCGGATCCGTGTTGCTGATTGGTGGTATTTTGGTCACCATCACCTATGAACCACTAGGAAAACCAAATCCGGCACAGGCTAATCTTGCTCTTGCAATTGTCCTCTATGCTGTCTTCGTCATCCAAGCCCTATTCAATGCATGGCAGGATTGGTCGTCGTCTCGGACGATGGCATCTATCTCCGGTATGCTTCCCGACGACTGCTTTGTCCTTCGCAATGGCAATCGCGAAGAACTTGCTGCAGTTGATCTAGTTCCCGGTGATATACTTTACATAAAGGCCGGTAACAAGCTACCTGCAGATGTTCGGTTCGTTGAAATATCATCCGATGCTAAATTTGATCGCTCCATCTTGACTGGCGAATCACAACCTATTGCCGGTTCAGTCGAAAATACAGATCTCAATTATCTGGAAACGCATAACATTGGTATGCAGGGAACTCATTGCATCTCCGGGAGCGCGATAGGAGTCACTGTGAGCACAGGAGATAAGACTGTCTTCGGCAAGATTGCTAAATTGACCAATACGCCGAAGACAGGCATGACGACACTGCAAAAGGAGATATTGAGGTTTATCATAATCATTTGTTCCATCATGATATTTTTCAATATAGTTGTCATTGTCTGTTGGTCTGCGTGGTTAAAGCATTCTCACCCTGACTGGATTTCCACTGCCGGATTGATTATTGGTACGTAGCTTTTCTTTCTCTCACTTATCTGATCCATCACTGGAAACTCGAAAGGGTCTTTGGCTAAGAGATTTTTACTGCAGACATTGTAACAGTGGCAGTGGCATTTATTCCTGAGGGTTTACCCATCGCACTAACCGCTTCCCTGACCATCACGGCGAATATCATGAAGAGCAATCAAGTCTTATGCAAATCCCTAAAGACTGTCGAAACATTGGGAGCTGTATCAGTCATTTGCTCGGATAAGACCGGAACATTAACAAAGGTAATATTAGTGGCACTCGTCCTTGATATTCTTAGGGGTCTTCCAGCTAATTTTCTCCTCAGAACAAGATGTTTGCAACCGAGTGTTCAATCGCAGAAAAAACAATGACACCTGAGCAAGCTGTTGAATTCCAAAATCTCAATGGCAAGACTATCAACTCCGTAGCTCAATTGCGATCCCTGGCATGTTTATGCAATGCTGGCGAGTTCGATGCTGCTACGCTCAATTTGCCTCTCGCGGAAAGGAAAATCGCGGGAGATGCGACAGATCAAGCAGTTCTCCGGCTATCAGAAACATTTGGAGAGGTTCGACAGTTGCATACGTTATGGAGGAAGACTTTCGAACTAGCATTCAACAGCAAGAACAAATTCATGATTAGAACTCTAAGGCTGTCTGACCCCGAAGGCTTGAAACTTGCAGTATCACCTGAGGAGCTAGCCGAATGGAGAAATGAGGATCTTCTGATGACCATCAAAGGAGCCCCAGATATTCTAGTGGAGCGTTGCACTAAATACGTTGGTGAAGATGGGCATGTGTACCCGTTAAATTCGGAGATGAAGACGTCTGTCGAAGAGATAAAAAATAGATGGTCAACTCAAGGAAAGAGGGTAATTCTACTTGCAAGAAAAGTGCTCCCAGGCCACCAAAAACAACATAGGCCTGAAAACAACACTTTCGAGGCCGAGATCATGCGACAGGCTGGCAGCGATTTGACTTTAGTGGGACTTGTTGGCATCGTTGACCCTCCCCGAGATGAAATTCTGGAGGTAGTCAAGGTTCTAAGGAGAGCTGGTATCCGAATTTTCATGGTCACTGGTGATTTCAAACTCACAGCTCAAGCTATTGCTATTGAATGTGGGATTATTACTACCCCTTCTGAGATGATTCACGATGTTTCTAAACTCAGCAGAAATGGTATAGAGACCCCAAAAAGTATTTCAAGTGGTGTCATATCTGAGAAAGACGTGGACTCTAAGCACGGAGATGCGAGGTCGATAGCTCTGAGCGGTCCGGATTTGATGAGTTTGAACGATAATCAATGGGATCAACTTTGTCAATATGAAGAGATTGTTTTCGCACGTACTACTCCTGAGCAAAAGCTACGCATCGTTAAAGGTATGTTTTCAAATTTGCCTCATGCACTGTTTTGCATATTACTAACACGAATACAGAATTTCAAAAACGTGAAAATATCGTAGGTATGACGGGCGACGGAGTCAACGATGCCCCATCTCTTAAGGCCGCCGACATTGGTATCGCTCTCGGAAGTGGCTCAGATATTGCCATTGAGGCTGCCGATATGGTCCTTCTCGATTCCTTCGGTGCCGTTGTCGAAGCCGTCAAATATGGACGTGTAGTCTTTGACAACCTCAAGAAAACTATTATTTACCTCCTTCCCGCAGGAACCTTTTGCGAATTCCTCCCCATCATTACCAACGTCATTCTAGGTCTTCCTCAAATCCTGAGCTCTTTCCTCATGATTATGATTTGTTGTCTCACAGATTGTGCCGGTGCCACAGTTCTTGCTTATGAACAACCGGAAGCCGATGTACTTTTGAGGAAACCAAGAGATGTTAAGAAAGATAAGCTGGTTGATTGGAAATTGTTGTTTCATGCTTACATCTTTCTGGGTGTGCAAGAGGCTATTGCGTCGTTTGCGATGGCTTATTGGTATTGTCAACGGAGAGGAGTCACATTTTCGATATTGTGGTTGGGCTATGGAAAGTATCCGCCTCATTTGAGTGATGCATATGTTCAGCAAGTGTTGGCTGTGGCTAGTAGTATTTATTTTGTCAATTTGGTTATCATGCAGTGGTTTAATTTGATGGTAAGTCACTTTCCTTCACTTTATACGTTTTCTTCCCAGCTCTTCTTGCTTTATTTTCTCAATTCCTGACTAACCAAAAACCCAGGCAACTCGTACCCGTCGCCTCTCAATTTTCCAACAACCACCTGCATTCAATAAAGCAACACAAAATCTCTGGCTATTCCCGGCAATACTTTTCGCCCTCGTCGTTATATTCATATTCCTCTACATACCAGGATTGGCGTCTGCAATCAACAGTAGCCCAATTCCAGTGGAGTATTTCTTCTTGCCGTTGGCTTTCGGTATGTGGATACTTTTTACGGATGAGGTGAGAAAGTTTTGTGTGAGGAAGTGGCCAGAGGGTTGGTTGGCGAGAATAGCTTGGTAGAGGGGCAAAGAAGGGAAGGCAACGTTGACGCTTTTGGGAGTAGAGGACAGGAGGTTAGAGCTGGTGGGAGCAGTACTGCAAGATGCTAGATGGTTTGGGGTTAAAATGTAGACATGGGAGGGATTCGATCTTGATTTTGATGGGTGGCACTGGTACTTCTTCGTTACAGATTATGGTCATGATTATACCAGATCACGTTTAGATGAATTTATGGACAATAAAAGCATTGCGATTCACTTTGTACATAATTGAATGGCCAATGCATTGGTAGCATTCTATACATAAACAGTCAATCTTACCTGAGTTGCCTATAAGCCATGAAACTTCTGTGAATTCTTGATCAGAACTCAGATTACTCACAGTTTGGGTATCGGAAGAGAGTATTCTATTGTATTTGTGAAGACAGTTAGTTGCTACTACCATTGTCGATGAGAACTCAATGGCTTGCTTAAGGCCGCCAATTATAGAATACTTTATTCCGAATTTTGAAGCTGGAGATGTGTCTTGAATAGATCTATGGCATTATTAATGATTCATACAAAATACAACAGTGTGAATAAATCATAAGAAATTCTAACACGTCTCATGTTTTCATCTGTTCTCAACAACTTGCATAAAAGGGGTACAGACGGGCACTAGTGAAGCTCTACCATTTGCTGACTCATCCCCATGCACCCAAAGGCCACATCTTTACATTAAGGCACCAGTCCCAAAATTTACTAGTGCCACCACCTTGAATTAACCCCAAGCTTTGAGATCTGTTCGGATTATTCCTGTCAACACTTCACAATCTGCGACATTTATTCAAATAGCAGAGCACAGTGCCAACGTGCCATTCTTTAACTCTTTTTCTTCTTCCTCTTTTTCCACTTCTGTGAGGTTTTCAGATATTAAACCGCCAAGATGAGTGGCCGTAAGTTATATCTTTTATTCCTACACAGCTCATCGTCATAGTGTAGATGAGCTCCTAAAACTTCAAATTTCTTCCCACAATCAATTGCAAAATACTGACAATGAATCTCTATAGTTCGATTCCTCGATCTCATCAAACCCTTCTCGCCGTTCCTCCCTGAGGTTCAGCAACCCGAGACAAAGGTCCCATTCAACCAAAAGTTGATGTGGACGGGTTTGACATTATTGATATTCTTGGTTATGAGCCAAATGCCATTGTATGGTATTGTGTCCTCAGATACCTCCGATCCTTTATACTGGTTGAGAATGATGTTGGCAAGTAACAGAGGTACCTTGATGGAATTGGGTATTACACCAATTATCTCCTCCGGAATGGTTTTCCAACTTCTTGCTGGTACCCATTTGATTGATGTTGATCTTGACTTGAAGGCTGATCGCGAGTTATATCAAACCGCGCAAAAGCTCTTCGCTATTATCTTGTCAATGGGTCAAGCTACTGTTTATGTCTTCACTGGATTGTACGGTCAACCATCTGATCTCGGTGCTGGTGTCGTCTGCCTTCTCATCCTTCAATTGGTTGTTGCTGGTTTGATTGTCATTCTCCTTGATGAGCTCCTCCAGAAGGGATACGGTCTTGGAAGTGGTATCTCTCTCTTCATCGCTACCAACATCTGCGAGTCTATCATCTGGAAAGCATTTTCTCCCACTACCATCAACACCGGTCGTGGCCCAGAATTCGAAGGTGCCGTTATCGCACTCTTCCACTTGCTTTTGACATGGCCAAACAAGCAACGTGCTCTCCAAGAGGCTTTCTATAGGCAACAACTCCCCAACATCATGAACCTTTTGGCTACAATCGTCGTTTTCGCAACCGTTATCTACCTCCAAGGTTTCCGCGTTGAGATCCCAGTCAAATCTTCCCGCCAACGTGGTGCTCGTGGTTCTTACCCAGTCCGTCTTTTCTACACCTCCAACATGCCAATTATGCTTCAATCCGCCCTCTCTTCCAACGTCTTCCTTATCTCCCAAATGTTGTACTCCCGCTTTTCCGAGAACTTGCTTGTCCAACTTTTCGGTGTTTGGGAGGCAAAGGAGGGTTCAGCACAACTTTTCGCTACATCCGGTATCGCATACTACATGTCCCCACCTTTGAACTTCACCGATGCTCTTCTCGACCCAATCCACACTGCCGTCTACATTGTTTACATGCTTGTCGCATGTGCCATCTTCTCCAAGACTTGGATTGAGGTTTCCGGTTCCGGCCCAAGAGACGTTGCTAAGCAACTCAAGGATCAAGGACTTGTCATGGCTGGTCACAGAGAACAAAGCATGTACAAGGAGTTGAAGCGCATTATTCCAACTGCTGCCGCATTTGGTGGTGCTTGTATTGGTGCCCTCTCTGTTGGTAGTGATTTGATGGGAGCTCTCGGCTCTGGCACTGGTATTTTGTTGGCTGTCACGTAAGTACATTCATTCTAACATCTTCGAAAACAAATGACTAACACTTTTATAGTATTATCTACGGATACTTTGAAATCGCCGCAAAGGAGGGTGATATGGCCGGCATGAAGGGCATGATCATGGGATAAGAAAATCCCTTTTCATATCTTTCAAATTTCTTCTTGTATGCTTGATTACATAAAAGAAAAGCAAAATGATTTAGGATTGGTGGTTGATAGGAAAATTGGGACGGGTTTCGGAGATCAATGATGTGTAGATGAAAGAGACAATATCACTTTATCTACATACTGACTATGATCTTTGTGTAATGTAACAATAGGTGCGGATAGGTTGGGGATGGGGATGGGTGTACTTTTTGGGACTGCATTGCATGAATTCTGATGGTAGCATGAGATATAAAAAGCAGGCACTTATTGTACAATTTGTAAAGAAATGTTTGATAATGACGGAGTTTACGTTGTGATTGTAATTGTGATTATAATTGTGTGGATATTGTGTGGATACTGTGCGTTATTAGAAGCTACTCCAAGGGTGATACTGTAAGAAATGTATTATAATCATCACATACTAATAATACCCAGGTAGGTATATAAAGTCTGTTGGTTAGGTAGTTGGTTAGATCTTTAGGCGAATAGCGTAGTTAGATAGATTGGTAGACTGGTAGATAGCTAATTAGTTAGTTAGTTAGTTGGTTTCTTTCTTTCTTTCTTTCTTTCTTTCTTTCTTTTTTCTGTTTGTTTGTTTGTTCGTTCGTTTGTTCATTCTATTAAAAATTCTAGCCTCTACTCGTAGGGAGTCGCAGATGTATAATTGGGTAGTTGGGTAGGTAGGTAGGTACCTAGTAGGTGAGTGAGTGAGTGAGTGAGTGAGTGAGTGAGTGAGTGAGCATTGATAGATAAAATAAGTCTTGGATGAGTTGGGATGTGATGTGATGAAATGAAGTTTTGGAGTTTTGGAGAAAGAGGAAAGAGGAAAGAGGGCCTGTGTGTATGTGTAGGTGTGAAGTTGTGCGCACGTGGTTTGGTATGTGGTATAGTATAGTATAGTATAGTATAGTATGGTGTGTTGGTGGATGATTGTGTATAACCTTAAAGATTGTCAAAGATCTGATCTGAAACATGAAGGAACTTCTTTCTTTTCCTTTCCTTTCTTTTTTTTTCGGCTGTAGGATTGGTGGATGGAGATGTAGGTAGGTAGGGTAGTTGGGGTAGTAGGTGAATGAGTAGGTAGGTATATATTTACATGTAAGGTTCGAATTGGATGGAGATGTGATTAGACAGGATCGTGATGAAAATTGGGGCTAGTCGATGGGTTGAGTTTTGAGTTTTGTTTTGAGACTGACTGGCATAGGGAGATAGGGAATGAGGAATGAGAGATAGGAAATAAGAAATAAGCTTGATTTGATAGGGTTTGGTGCTAGTGTGGTTTTGTTAAGTTTGTATTGTATATGGTATATAGTACACTTCCGTGAGGTATGAGGTCATGACTGTGTTGCGTTATGCTATGTTGTGTTATTTACTAGAGGCCTGAGGAGACTATTCCGGCTAGATTATAGTACAATTGTTATTTAGAGGGTTGAGGGGTCGTGGTGAGAGCACTGGTGGAAAATTGAGAATAGTTTCAATTCTGTAGGTGGAGGGGGATGAGTCTGGGGGAGAGGAGATTAGTAGGAAATAGGATCTGTAGACGTGGGATTGAAGCGGGATATGAAGAGGTGAGTATTATGGGATAGGTTGGACCGGGCTGGGCTGGTAAGCATAGGATTGTGATGCGGTTTGTGGGATATCGAAGCGTTCCATTAGTGATTTGTTTTGAGATAACCGTTTACATTGTTTTGAGGTTTGTATGGTAGAATGAGGTGGAATTGTAGTTATCTTATTTTGGAAGTTGAGGTTAAGGTAGCAATGAAACGAACGGCAATGATAAAGGTTTATGCTAGGTTGGTCTGTATGGATGGGTACGCCGTATGTACATTCCTAGCACGGCGTCAGTTTCTTGTATGGATAGGAATATGGGATATGGATTTTCGCATGTGCGCATGATAGGTTGTTGCAAAAATTGAGATTGAGGTTGACATCGTATATCCTGCCTCTCTGAAACCCACATCATAGAGGACTTGGGCGACCATGTTTATCAGCGTTTGTGCATAGATCCTTCGTTTCTTTCTTGAAATATTTCCACAGCCCAAGCGAAGCATGATGCGAGCTGTTTCCAGGGCTGCGAGGTGAACTCGTTTATACAATAATGCCCTTTCCAGGTGCGATTTTCTCCGCAAACCCTAGGGTCGATGCGCCTTTGAGAAACAAAGGGGTCATCTGGTGAACACTAGATGTGATATCTAGGCAACTGTTGATAGAATTTCGGATATTACCTGAGTAGCTGTGATTGATTATATGTGTGGTAATCTTTCCAGAACGAATTCCAGGTTGCGTATGCAGACATTGAGGTGTATGATGAAGGCTCAAAAAGCTAGAGATTTAGACTGTAAGAAGACGTGTCGTAGGTATCAGCCGCAGCAACTTGCTTGGCAGGTCATCTCGGAGAATACAGTAAGCTGTTTTGGGATGCATCGTACCATTCGGGAAATTTAGACGGCAAAGGAGAATTATTTGAGAAGGTATGGAACGTTGAAACTTGTTTGCTGTTTCGAACAGGAACGGGCCAACGGAAGAAAACCATATGTGAGACCGGTCGTAAGACATGAGTGCAAATGTATTGCAATCAAGGAGATGGCATGGAGTATATCTCCGAATAGTACACGATTCGGAAGTCGTGAGAATATTGTCAACTTTTCAGCTTGCTGGCTCGGGTGCCTATTTCCCACACTCGGAACGGGCTCAACGTATCTCAACCGATTTATAACATGGTAAGCTCGGCATTGAATCGGGCTGAGAAATGAACAGAAGTATGAAGAGTAGATAGATGATATGATATGATATCCTCTGGCATGCGACAATGCTTGTGTAAGTCGGGGAGACTATTTCGGACTAGCCATCTACTAAGATCTAGTCATTCTTGAAGTATCTAGCAAGCTTACTAGGCTTCCATCGTGGATGACCTCTATCAACGACTCCTAAGATGAATTGAACTCAAGGTGTAAGGATTTATTTTCCTCTTCAAGACGACTATTTGTGTATGACAGGTCAAATACCAGACCTCAAATCTATCGATTGCCCAATGAACCTGCAGGATTAATAAAAAAATTCATCTTTCATAAGTGCCATCATGCTTGGCTTCGGAGGGATCAATTCCACGAGCCAAAGCAGGTGACACCATGGAAAGCCACAAAATCGACGTTTTCTGTTACCTGCCTAGGCATACAGAGCGTGGCATCGGGTAGTTTTGACATTTGAGTCAGAGCCGTTATCGCACATGGTTTTCTGTAATGTACAGATAAGGATGTGGTTTCGACGAATCAGATAATGAATGGCTTTGTTCAATCGGCGTTTGTGTTGTGCAAGTAATGAAAGCAAAATTAATTCCTGACCACGATCATCGTGTCCACTGTACGAGGTGAAAGACGCGGGCTACTATATCCGACAGCACCTTCCTTAATAGGTCGGCCAGAAGTTTCTTTATCAGACGTTTTGGGGATTCCGTTCCGATGAGTGATGGCGGTGTGGATGGAAGTGTGGAGATGGAAGAGTGGTGCTACACGAAGTAGTCAGGAACCGTTGTTAGCAATGAGGGTCTGAAGATAGGTCCTAGGGGAAACCCGTATGTACGAAGTACGGAGCAAAGCTTGTGAAGGAATCAATTGATCAATCAATCGATTGTAGAAGTTGATACTTTGATCTTTAGACGAGAGGAAGTGTGAAGTTCATTTGTTCCAAGTCAGAAGTCGGAAGTAATCCAAGCAAATCCTTCGCGGGGTAAGGTTGGGTTGTTCTAGAATTACTGGGTAGATATCGTTGTATCCTAGGATCAGAGAACTAATGCCGATTCCCTTGTCGATTCCCTTGTCGATTGCTGGGTGGATGACGGCCTTTGCATTGCGGTTAAATGGCCATAGATAAATGCCTACTTCTGGAGGCGTCAAGAGTCAAGATCAAGAGAGGGCGTCGCATCGTCGATAAGTCGGCATGTTGTAGATATCATGTATAGCGTGTGTACGATGTAGAATAAGCTCGAGGTTGATACCTAGTCCTGATGACCTAGGTAGATAGATATCGGGATCATATGGATATCACACTCCACACGATGTAGACACCAAAGTCATGCAAGCCGACCGAGTAGAAACATGCATGGAATGGATTGTTGAATATACCTTGGCCAAAGTATACGTACACCCAATGGTGACGCGGGTAATCATAACACCATAGCAACAAAATGAGTGTTTTGATGAAAAAAAGTAAAATGCATTCAACGTTCAAAGGTGTTCCCTGTTGTGCTCCCGTTGAGATGTTAACCTTTCCAGCATGAAGAAGTATGTCTATGTCTCTACCTAGGCGAACCAGGCACAGATGGATGTATGTATAGAAGTAGCCCCCTTGAATGATTGGATTGGCTTCAGAAGACGGAATGTAAATATTTATGGTCTGTACTCTGTCTGTCCTGCAAGCACGACTTCTACGAATAATCCGAGACCAAGCCTCCCTCCTCTCCTTCTACTTCTCTCCCTTCGTCAAGTGGGGGCAATATTATCTAAGTGGGACCAAAAAGAGTTGGGTGGCTCGAGGGTGGATGCGGATAACATAACAGTACATATGCTACCTGTGGTACATGCTTAAACTCTTTTTGCAGATAAAAGTAAAATATCACAGTAGTCCAGACAGAGTTGAGGGAGGGTAAAGAAAGGTATGCAATCAGTCTCTTCTTCCCCCATCACCATCACAAAGCTCAAAGCTCTTCTCTTCCAACATCCCATCCTTCCCAACCCTCCAACTCTCGTCTTTCTTCCTTCGTCCTTTCTCAATCACATACAACTTCACTCTCTTCCTCTCCCACCACAACTTCTGAGTACATACATCCTCAATATATATATATATACACATTTACTCGGAGAACTGGTAGTGAACCATCTGCGTGCTTCTTTTCTTCTTCTTCTTTTCTTCTTCTTTTCTTCCGCCTTCTCTTCTCCCATTACACACTACAGCTTTATGCTCTCGGTTTAATTTATTCACCTCTTTTGTTTCCTCTCACCGGGGTCATTGTTTATAAGCAGGAAATATTAATTATTTTACTTGATTAGCCAATTCAATGATACGTTAAGACGACCTCCACGCACCACGTTCGAGACGTTTAATCGCCATCCTACGATTCATACGCAACATCATGTTGGGTAAATGCAGTGGGCCTATATGGCAAATCGATGATTTCACAAACTGTGTACAGAGAGAGTAAGTGGAAGCAGTCAGTCTGCTGCTGGGCCGAAGACTAACCACAAAAAGTTATCTGAAAGTACTGTTTCCGTTAATAGTCATCGGCCTCTCGTTTCTCATCCTCATAACATCTGCGGTCCGCCGGAAAATAAAGTTAAAACAGAAACACAAGTATCGACAACTGCGAGCTGCATCAATTGATCGTACGACGATAAGTGGCAATGGATTCAGTCATCATAATGGGGAGGCAAGTGCAAACGGAAACGAGCACACCGCTGTCGACGAGGAAGATGAGGGGTTGTCGATAAATGGCGGTGGACGATTGGTATTGACTAAAACGACTACGCAAGGATCGGTTGCTGCCATTGATAGCCCCAGAGGCCAGAACACCTTGACAGTTATTGAGCTCCTTGCGATCACAGTAGAGCTTGGTATTCAGATCGCAGTTTTCGTACTCGGCGCATATGGTTCAAAGGGGGTTGTGGCCGCCACTGCTGGAATATTTACTTGGACCTATATTTTGATACTTGCAAGTTTGAGATTTGCCTTCTCCAATACGAAATGGAGAGTCCCAAAGATTTGGAATCATACGGCTGCTCTATACACTGCACAATGGCTCTTCTCGCTGGTTATATTCCGCTCCGCCATCATCCATCCGCGTTCCAGGGTCAGCCAGGGACTTATCATCTCGGATTTCGTCCTCTCTTCGTTCCTTTTCGGACTCGCAATTACTACACGCAAGGGCAACAAGGCAGTGGTCTTGGAGTGGGAGGGAGATATTCAACCCTCAAAAGAGCCATTGGCCAGCTTGTTTTCCATTGCTACCTTCGCATGGGTCGATTCTATTGTTTGGCACGGCTATATCAACACCTTTGAAATTGCAGATGTCTGGAACCTGATGCCAAAGGACAAAGCGGCAGCTGTTTTGGCAGACTATAGATTACTCAAAAAGACATCGGCCTTAGTATGGCATTTGATGCGCTACTTTAAAGGTCTTCTCACTATACAGTGTGCTTATGCCGTCTTTTCTGGACTTTTCAACTTTGCACCTACATTGCTGTTGAAAGCTATCCTTGAATACATCGAAGATCCAGACTCGGCGCCTCGCAATGTCATCTGGCTATACGTCATTCTTCTTGCCTTTACAGATATTCTTCGCTCGCTAGCTGATCAACAAGCCCTCTGGATTGGCCGCAAGATCTGTATAAGGCTCAGGGCAATCATCATTGGTGAAATCTACGCTAAAGCATTAAGAAGAAAGGCGGCATCAGGAAGTGACTCTGTTCTTGGCGCAAAGAAAGATCTGAAGGATATAGAGAAGCCTAGCTGGTGGCGAAGATCACTTGGAAAGAAGAAGGGTGAGCAAACTTCTAATGCCGCACAGACTCCACCAGCGACTGCAACTGGGGCTGGAAAGAAGACAGATGAGCAAGCTAATGTTGGTACCATCATAAATCTCATGTCTGTTGATTCTTTCAAAGTCAGCGAAGTCACTGCGTATCTTCACTTCCTCTTTGCTGCTGCTCCAACCCAATTGATCGTAGCTGTATATCTTCTCTATCGTATCCTCGGAAAGAGTAGTATTCCAGGTCTCGTTGTCATGGCTATTCTTCTCCCTGTGAATATTGGATTCGCTCGTGGCTTTGGCGCTGCCCAGAAAAAGATTATGGCAGCTACCGATAAAAGAATCCATACTACCAATGAAGTCTTAGAGAATATTCGTATCATTAAATACTTTGCGTGGGAAAAGCGCTTTACTGATATTGTCAATGATAAGCGAGCTGATGAGTTGAAAGCATTACGCTTAAAGTATATCATCTGGGCTTTCGCTGTTGCTGTGTGGAACACGGTGCCGGTAGTTATTACTTTCTTCTCGTTTCTCTATTATACAGTTGGAGAGAAGAAGCCGCTTTATCCTTCCATTGCGTTCACAGCCATCTCACTCTTTAATATTCTTCGCGTTCCTCTGGATCAACTGGGCGACATGATAGCTCATGTTCAGGAAAGTCAAGTATCAATCAATCGAGTAGAGGAATTCTTAAACGAAGACGAGACTGAAAAGTACGATCAGCTCTCACACGATAACTTGGATGAGGATGGTAATCAAATGATTGGATTTAAGAATGCTACTTTATCCTGGGGTGGCAAAGAAGCCTTCACTGATGAAGATATCTCAACTGCGTTCCGGATGATGGATTTGAATGTCAAATTCGAAATTGGTCATTTGAACATCATTGCTGGACCCACTGGATCTGGAAAGACGTCTCTCCTGATGGCTCTTCTCGGCGAGATGGCTTTGATCAAAGGAAAGGTGTTCCTACCTGGCGGTTTCAGTCGTGAAGATGTCCGACCCGACCCCGAAACTGATCTTACCGAAACCGTTGCCTATTGCGCTCAACAACCTTGGCTCGTGAATGCTAATATCAAGGAAAACATCTTGTTTGCTGCTCCACTGGACGAACAGAGATACAAGGATGTGATTATTGCTTGCGCTTTAGAACGTGACCTAGACATTCTAGATGATGGCGATGAAACACTTGTTGGTGAAAAGGGCATCAGTCTTTCCGGGGGCCAAAAGCAACGTATCTCTCTCGCAAGGGCTCTTTACTCTAACTCTAAACATGTACTCCTCGATGATTGTTTGAGTGCCGTGGATTCACACACTGCCAAGTGGATATTCGACAATTGTATTCGAGGACCATTGATGCTTGATCGTACATGCATCTTAGTCACGCACAATTTATCTCTCTGTGTTCCTCATTCTCGATATGTTGTTTGTCTCGAGAATGGTAGGATCACTGAACAAGGATCCGCAGATAAGGTTATAGCTTCAGGGAAGTTAGGAGAGGAAATTACCAAATCACGCCCTGCTTCTGCTCTCCACTCACGGATCCCATCTCGAGTCCCTTCTAGCATCGGTGAGGAGAGTAACGAAACTCTTATTGAAGACCAACCTGCAAATGGCAAGCTGGATGATGCAAACGCAAAACCAAAGGCAAAGAAATCCAAGGAAAAGAAAAACGCCATGGCCGAAACAAAGGCTGAGGGTGGTGTCAAATGGAGAGTCCTCGTATTGTATTTAAGAGCCATGGGCCCTTGGTGGTTCTGGGTCCTCGCTGTAATGGTTTTTGGAGTCCAGCAGGTTGGAGCTCTTGGAGCCAACATATGGATTAAGCAATGGGCAAATCAGTAAGTTATAAAACGTTCACTTGTCAACCATTGACTGATGCTAATCAACCTATAGATATGATGTTGAAGCTGTCCGAACCAAATATCACTTATCCGCAAACAATTACATTGGCAATACTATCTCTACTATTCAAGTCGCGAGCTCAAAGTTATCTCAAGTTCAACCATATTTCGACCCTAACAAGACTTCGATTGTGGCAAAGTTCGCTCCAGATGTTGATGTTGGATATTATCTCGGAGTTTATGCTTTGATTGGTATCGCATGCATGTTGATTGCCCTCTTCAGAGACTTCTGGCTCTTCTTTGGTTCTCTTACCGCAAGTTGGAGAATCCATGAGAATTTGATGAAAGCCGTCACCCGAGCAAAATTTAAGTTCTTTGACTCGACTCCATTAGGTCAACTTATGAATCGATTTAGTAAGGACTTGGAAGCTGTTGATCAAGAAGTCGCACCTATCGCCATTGGAGTTATGTCATGTGCCTTGGCTATTATTGTAACGGTCGCTTTGATCACTGCTATCACTCCTGGCTTCTTGATTGCAGGTATATTCATCAGTGCCATGTACTTCTTTGTTGGAAAATTCTATCTTCGATCGTCAAGAGATCTGAAGAGAATTGAATCAATTCAAAGAAGTCCATTGTTCCAGCAATTCGGAGAGACACTCAACGGAGTTACCACTATTCGAGCCTATGGTGATGAGAAACGATTTGTCCGAGACAACATGTTACGAATCAACACTCATAGTCGACCATTTATTTATCTATGGGCAGCAAATCGATGGTTGTCATTCAGAATTGACTTAGTCGGTGATCTCGTCGCATTCTTCGCAGGAGCGTTTATTGTCAGTAGCATCGGTACTATCGATGCTGGTTCGGCTGGTCTCTCCCTAAGTTATGCCATCAGTTTCACGGAGAATGTTCTTTGGATGGTACGACTTTATTCCATGAATGAACAAAACATGAACTCCGTAGAGCGAATCAAGGAGTATCTGGATGTCGAGCAAGAAGCAGCAGAGTATATTGAAGAAACAGAGCCTGCCAAAAATTGGCCAAGTCAAGGATCTGTGGAATTCATTAATTACACCACAAGATATAGGGAAGATTTGGATCCTGTATTACGAAATGTCAGTTTCAAGATCCGACCTTTGGAAAAGGTTGGTATCGTTGGTCGTACAGGTGCAGGAAAGAGTTCTCTTGCCCTTGCTCTATTCCGCGGTCTTGAGGCCGAGGAGGGAAAGATTTTGATTGATGAAGTTGATGTTGGTCTTATTGGCCTTCGTGATCTTCGCGAGAGAATAACCATCGTACCACAAGATCCAACGCTATTTACAGGCACCATTCGAAGTAATTTAGATCCTTTCAACCTCTTCACAGATGAAGATATCTTTACAGCTTTACGAAGAGTTCATTTGATTGGACCAGTAGGAACATCGACAGCTCCTTCCACGCCAGGTATCTCACGACCACCATCTATTGAATCATTATCAGGCTCCACGGCCACCAACAAGAACGTCTTCTTGAACCTCAATTCCACCGTCACTGAATCAGGAAATAATCTCTCACAAGGTCAACGCCAACTTCTTTGTTTAGCTCGCGCTTTACTTAAACAACCCAAGGTTCTGATGATGGATGAAGCTACTGCTTCTATTGATTATACCACTGATGCCAAGATTCAAGAAACGATAAGAGAACTCAAGAGTACGATTATCACAATTGCGCATCGTTTACAAACGATTGTGGATTATGATAAGGTGTTGGTACTGGATAAGGGAGAGGTGGTGGAATACGCTCATCCACATGAGTTGTTGAAGAAGGAAGGGAAGGATGCTATTTTTAGAGGGATGTGTGAGACGAGTGGGGATTTGGACGGGTTGAAGGAGGCGGCGAAGAGGGCTTGGGAGGCAAAAAGATTGGTAGATGATGAGTAGAGGAAGGGGGGATGTGAAGAGGGAAGGAAGGAAGGATGTAGTATAGTGCATTTTGGAGAAAGGAGACGAGAGGAGGGAACTATACATAATTTCTTTTCTTTTGTGGTAAATAAATAAATGCATTGGGAATTTGAAAATTTGTAGATGGATTGTTGGGCTTGGTTGGTTATTTGCATTTGGGATGGGTGGGTGGTGGAAAATTACTTATTTGTGCTGCTGTGAGTAGATTTGGTTGTGCTTGGGGAAGGTCCCCCGAGGTACATATTTTATATAAAAGAGAGACAATGATGAATGAATAAGTATTAAAATCAAAGATTGTTAATATTGATATCATTGCGTGATTGATTGATTGATTGATTGATTGGTTGGTTCTTAGTCTTGTTTTGTAGGAATAAATGAGTGAGTAAATGAGTGAGTCTATAGATGGAGGTGGTGTTTGAATGTATGTGTGTATGTAGGTATGTATGTATATTCTTTGTGTGGGTATGTACTTGGGTATGACAATGACAATGACAATGTTGATGTAACTCTCATTGCGACGGCGAGAGTTCTTCATCCTCGTCCTCGTCTGCGGGTCTGAGGGGGGAGGGGGGAAAGAAAGAGACACTAGGAGAGGAGAGAGGGCTTGTGGGAGAAGGGGGAGAAAGACTAAGGGGGGATGGAGGGAGAAACCACAAGAGGCCTGGAGGGTGATTATTTATGTATATGGATAGGTGGAGGTGCGTTGTAAACTAGGTAAGTAGATATGTAAGCAAGCAAGTCAATCAAACAATGTGTAGATTAGCAAGTAACAAACCACCAAGAGATAAGTCAAGTCCGAATTTTTTGTGGAATTCGCCGACATCTGAGGTTAACACCACAGGGGGGTCTGGGGAGATGAATCCTGGGAGATGAAATTAGATGAGATCGTTCGGTGCAGCTCATGAGGTATCTGTATGTCCCTGGGTATTCGCACTAACTTTTGAGAGAGGGAGGTTTCGTTTTCTTCGAGGGAGGCGGATATGTCATATTGGAAGGGGGGAGAGCTGGGTAGATAGGTACTGAATGATGGGAATGGGAAAGGGTATTGGAAAATGTGATGGGAGTTGTGGAAAGGCAGAAGAAGAGGTAAATCGAATCAGATTAAATTATGTGTGGAAACTTTCCTTTTCTTTGCTTTCCCGGGGGATTTGTATTTATATTCCTGATAACTTGGGCAGGTACACGAGTGGGTATCTGGTCATGCTAGAAGATTTTCTTTGCAATATTCGATATGAATTTTTGATGTATAAATTCGCCTCTCTCTCTGGGGTAAGGATGAAAGAAAATGTCTATTTACACGAAATACCGGGATCGGATTAACTTTTTCTTTTCTTCAATGAATAGTTTTTGTTGATATTGATATTGATGTTAATAGTATTCATTCCCCCTCTCCCCGTCAGGTATCACAATCTATCTATCATCCCATCTTCCGAATCCTGATACCTGCTTTCCCAATTACAATTCATGGGATCATGGACCACAATGCGTAGCACCGGCTGTTGCTTGCGTGATCATTAGTAGGGCGACGATTAATCCGTAAAGGCCTGATCTCGGGGAAGTTGTGTTAGTTTTCTTGCTATTTTCTGGTTCTTTTTTGTACTTTTCGCTTCCCTCCCTTTGAATCTTCATCCATCCATCCATCCATTCACACCCCCACCCCCTAAGGCCTCTCAACCAGAAACCCCCAAAAGCCAAAAAGAACGAAAACGGAAACGAAAATCGTAAAGAAGAACTCACCCAACACCTCCGCGAAAATCAACACCAAGGCCATCCCCACAAACATCTTGGGTTGCATTGCCGCGCCCCTCACCCCCGCATCACCAATCACGCCAATGCTAAAGCCAGAAGCGAGACAGCTGAGTCCGACCGAGAGACCCGCTGCGAGATGCAGAAAATTTGTGTGCAGAGCGGAGGGAGCGACGAGCGCCGAGGCGATGAGGATGCTGGTTATCAGGCCGAAGATGGAGAGGACGGAGGAGAGGATTATGGGGAGGAGATCTGTGGTGGGTGAGCGGGGTGGGTGAGTGGGGTGTAGGGATGATAGAGAGAGGGAGAGGGAGAGGGAAGAGGGAAGAAGAATGGAGAGTGTACTGCGAATCATGTTCTGTGGTTGCATGACACTAACTGCGGAGATTCCGATGCTACTTTTCGCCATGCCGTACGCGGCACCGACGTTGGAGAGGACGATTGCACAACAGCAGCCCATTGCTCCGAAGAAGGACTGGAGGGTTGATGAGTTGGTTGTCAACAATTAGGTGAGGGTATGGGAAGGGAGGGGAGGAAGGTGGTGACTAACGGCGTAGACGGGACTTTAGGACGGAGTGGGATGTAAGCATGGTGTTTTGATGAAGTTTTGATGAGGGCGTGAGTGAAATTCTCACCATCTGTCATTGAGATATGGATCCATTGTGATTGTCTGATTATTACTTGAGAATGAGTGGGAGTGGCGTGTTGTGGATGTTTAGTTGATATTTCAGCCCTGGTGCAATTTGCAGTGGGACTACTCTGATGGCATATATTTGTGGCGAAAGGAGAATCAAGTTGGCAAAATGTTGATTCCAGAACCAAGGAACAAATTCGATTTGAGAACTACGTTTTCAAAGTTCAAGAGGAATCATATCATATGATGTAAACCTACACGTCCACCCGTCTTACATCGTTGGAGGGTAAGCCCTACGAATATTTGCAGTTAGGCAGCAGCCGCATCAGATCAATATCGATTTTGATTCCACGAACGTGCAGAGAATAATGAAATTCCAAAACTTGGAATTTCATTGACAACGTGCGTGCATTTCTACATCAACAAAATAGGTTCTTTGAGTCAAAAATATCTCGTAGGCTCGAGGGCTTTGATTGATTGGTTCCCACGCACTGGATGCCTGCTTTCAAAACCTTCAACTTGGAAGGCGTTTGAATTGGTCTGATGAATGATTGCGACGCTTAGTATGATGAAGTTAGAAGTCAGCTAGATAGATACCACTATCGTGTAGATGACGGATGTTCCGAATACATAAGTACTGCTGCCTTCGGTCACCGAGTTGATGATTACGTAGTCTACGCCACGCAATCAATGCAGATGACCAGCCTTACTGCCAATGAAAATTGCGATCAATGAACATGTTTATTACGACGTCAGGATCATCGCAATTTTGCCTACTTTTCAGTGTTGACGAATTTTTCTGTCAGGCAAACCGTGTGTGATGAAAGAGATGAGCATGATTCCTCAGAAGTTTAGCAGTTGGGTAGATTCCTAAATTGCCATAGCTGCCTTGGAAGGTAGTCAAAAATGGTACAGCATGGCTCTTGGCAACGGCAGTGACCAAGGCGAGTATAACTCTGCGTGCTTTCATCCTGATTGAGATGAAATATGTTGCAACCCGAACACATAGTTTCCAAAAATGGGGCAATGCTATCGTTGATACTTGCCGCGCCTCCTCCTGACTCCGCCATCTTTCAGCATCTCAATTTGGTATGCACGATGCGCAGGAATTTAGGAGAGAGTCAACAATGTGTCCGAACCAATGCTCCACTTCTACACAGATGTTCAACACACCAAACACGAAAGCGAACGCGTACACGTCACTTAAAACGAAAAGAAAAGTTCTCACGCTTGTAAGAAGTATTTGCTGTGCCGCAAACCAACATTGAGTTGGATATTTGGTTTGATATACGCAATCTCAAGTATCCATTGAACGGTTTGGAGTTCCATATGAGGACCCTTTAGTGAACGTAAATTGAGGGATAGGACGAATCTGCTACAACATCGCCGCGATAGATGCAACATATTGACACGACGCCGTTGAAGGTGTTGATGTAAAGAACTTAGGTAGGCGCAGTGACCGAGTTCATATGTCAAACCCCCCTCCCCACCTAGGTATACTTAGTCAACATCATAAACATCAAGCTTTTTAATCTCCATCTGATTGAAAATCCGTGCCTCGATTTCCGAGATCAGTCATACCAAGAATCCAAGACGTGATAAATTTTCCGATGTTTGGGTAGGAAGTTTTGAAACGAATTGCAAGATTTGAAAAAAGAGGTCACAGCTGGAGGCTGCCGCTTAGACTTGGGCGGCGGTCTCGTTCAAAACGTTTGAAGTATGGGGAAGGAATTTATGATGATTTGAGTTAGTCAATGCTCACGATATTTAGGCAATAGCTCAAATTCGCAATGAGTCCTTCTAAAGTTCAAATGTTTGGAAATCCTTTCCTGTTGTCAGTCATGGAAACTTGCCAGGCTTAGTAAGGATTCTTGGCAAGACAAGACGTACCTAGCACGTGCCCAGAACTGAAGCGATTGTAGCAAAAGTCGTGATAGTCAGTCAAAGTCTGATGTTCCATAGACCATTCCTACCTAGGCACCTAGATAATCATAGAAATTTCTTATTTTGGAATGTGGCTGTGAACGAGTTATACGTAGATACCCAGGTGGCCTCGGTAGCATCTTAAAAAGTCTTAATAAACTCGCATGTCAAAATCATACTTTGTCTGTATGGAGTGAAGGGAGGAAAATCCCCATGGTGGACGGAACGCCCCTTTTAGAGTTTAGTAGGAAAGGTCCATAACCAACGGAGGAGTACTCTTGCACGATGCAGGAAGTTCGGCAACTACCTAATCTCTTTAGTGCCTGCGTAAGTAACCCTATGAGATCCATCTTCATTGATACTGTCAGACTGTCTGAATGTTCCATGTAAAAGTTCAAATGTCCGATATCACCGTCGCCACTGTTTGCTTACGAATATAGTGGTGATAATGACGAGTATCTATTTACCACGAATTATGCTGTCTACTGGGCACATTGTAGGCAGAATCGTCACATTCTTGCTCAATTAGCTTTTTCGGGTTTCCATTTTGGAAGTTTGCGTGTTGGTCCATTCATTGAATTTACGGCACAGGCACTTTACAGAGTACCACCCACCCCTCGAAGAAATGAAAGGAAGACTACGTACACATGTATCGTGCACATTTTCCAATTCTCCATCCCTCCCCCTTTTCAGATACTCTACTTGACTTCTTGAGGCTTCATCCGATTAAACGGTTTTTTACCTTCCACTTGAGCGAGCTACCTAGGTAGATGCAAGATCACAAATTGGCTTTGGCGTAAGAGAAACTATTCACGTCTCTTCTCGGTCAAGTTCAAACAATTTCAATTCATGCTTTGTATCATGGATTTATGGTCCTCACTTTATTTACTGGGAATCTGGAAAAGGACTGTGTGATGAACCCCGATGGTGTTTCAAGCAAATGCGCTTTTGTCTTTAGTCTGCAAAGTATCCCATCCTCAATGCTTCATGCTACGTTTCCAGGTCTGAGGGTCGAAGACTCGGAGGAAAAGAAAGGCATGAGGAGCCATACAAATTCATTTATCGCAACAAATCTGAAAATAGCATGTTTCCTCTTTCCCCCCCTCTCTTTACTTACGAGATCCCTGAAAGGTATGTTGGAACTTGTGCAAGTAACGAATAATGGATTAGTATGGCACCCTTCCGCGAGTACAGTATCTAGTATGCACACCCAGATTCGTCAATATCTAGATGTCAAGCAAGTATGGTAGATCAGGACAGTGTGAATAAGAATCTTAATTCGTTGAAATATTGGAGTGTCTGTACCTCGCCTCTTCCTCTTGAAGGGACCTGAAATCTATTTAGGAAGAAAGTCTGGGGCGCAGGATTTCAAGTAAAGAGGATTTTGTTTGATATGATTGGTTCTTGAAATGATATCTTATGGATTCTTACCTTTTTTTTATTATATAGATCAGATGTTTCAATGTTCTCATGTTCAAAATACGTTCCCCTTTATATCATTACTATGTCCTTATTATCAAGTTAGCATCGACTGCATGTCTAATATGTAGTAACCTTTTGAGTTTTGATTCTTTTTAATATTTTATCTCCCATCGAACGACTCTTGACTTTCAGATTTCTAGTATTCCATACAAAGTCTCCGTACCCGCCTGAGCTTCGTAGTTGTACATGGTAGGCCGCGTCATATTGCGGATCCTTGACCTTGAATCATCCCAGACAACAACCCTAGCATTTATACTAGCATCTATACACTCTGTACTTCGTACCGTATGTCAACCAACAAACTTGCCAAGATATAGAAAAGAGGATCGAACCTTGGGATTGGAATCACTCTTTGCATTGGATTTGGTCTTTTTGTATGAGAAATATTATTCCAAAGGTTCAAAGCTTTTTGGACGGTCTTCTTGCATTTTCATATACAGTACCTTGAGAGAATTCCACTTGTACATTTCTACTCAATCGTTTCAATCCTCGTCCTTGATAGTAAAACAATTTGACGACTACTACTACTACTACTACTACTGTAACCTACCTAGTAGAGGTTCTTGTCATCTTATATAGTATTACTTTCTATTCTTCCTTCCATCTCCATCTCCATATTTATATCTTTCCCTCTTACTTTAGAATCTCTCAGCCTTTCTCGGCATTTTAAGTTCCAACCGCTGCGCTTCCTAAAAAGTCACCCACGCCACCATTTGATACAGGACAAGAACGGATTCCACGGCGTGCCAGCCTTACAGTAGAAAAACGCTTGAAGATCTTAGAAATACTAAGAAAAGATACTCCACAAATTTGTATAAAATACGATTCTCTTGCCTGCACCTCGTACTCTCAGCCACAATTAAGAGTTTCGTCATCTGTCGCAGGCTCTCTTTGCTGTACAAAAGCTTTACTCTTACTAGTACTACTCAGTCCGAGATTTGAGAGCTTGTACAAAACATCGCATCACATCACATTCGTTGCGAATTTTGGTTTCTAAAGTACAACTTTTTACATCAACCTCACTACCAACAACCCATTTTTTAAATAGTTCGAACACATTGGTTATTACTTTTTACATTGGATTTTCTTGGCCTTATTTTCCGATTTTCTAAAAAAAACAAATTTTTTGGGTCTTCGGGGTCTTCGAAGCTAAATTAATTAGCGTCTACTGTCCGCGTCATCTGGACCAACCCGAACAATATATACCAATTTCATATCCCATATAGGATTTCAGAGAAGAGTGTTTCTTTTTCATCAATATATTTTATCTCCAATCATGAGGACGACAACATTCATTACCGCTGCCGTGGGAATATTATCAACATGTACAGATGCAATACAATTACAGAAGCGAACCGATGGACCAGCACGAGTAGTTGGACTGGATGTAGTACGAAAACAAGTGGAAAATCCCTTAGCAAGAGATAAATTAAGGAAATTAAGGAGGAGGTCGAACACTGTTACTGCTACTTTAGATAATGAGGTTCGTGAATCCCATTTGGACTTTAAGTGAAGCTATATACTAACGTCGTTCAGGAAACTTTATATTTCGCCAATGGAACATTAGGTACACCAGCACAGAGTTTACGGTTACATATCGACACAGGAAGCAGTGATTTATGGGTTAATACTGCTAGCTCAACATTATGTAGTAAAAAGACAAACCCTTGTCAGCTGGCTGGAACATATACGGCCAACTCATCTTCTACATACGCATATGTGGCCAGCGATTTTAATATTTCTTACGTTGATGGATCTGGAGCATCGGGTGATTATGTCACTGATACATTTACGATTGGATCAACCACGTTGGACAAATTACAATTTGGTATTGGATATACCAGTTCTTCGCCTGAAGGTATCCTAGGAATCGGTTATGAGATTAACGAGGTTCAGGTGGGAAGAGCGGGAAAGAAGGCATATAATAACTTACCAGCACAAATGGTTGCCGATGGTTTGATCAATTCAAATGCTTACTCCTTATGGCTTAACGATTTGGATGCCAGCACTGGAAGCATTTTATTCGGTGGTGTCGATACTGCTCAATATCACGGGAAATTGGAAACCCTCCCGGTCGAAAAAGAATCCGGGTATTACGCCGAATTTCTCATCACCTTAACCGAGATCATGCTAGGCGATACCGTCATCGCCCAGGACCAAGCTCTCGCCGTGCTCCTCGATTCCGGAAGTTCCCTCACCTACCTCCCCGACGCCATGGCCGAAGCCATCTACGAACAAGTCGACGCCCAATACGATGCCAGCGAAGGCGCTGCCTACGTCCCCTGCTCCCTCGCTTCCAACACCAGCGCTTTAAACTTCACCTTCACATCCCCCACCATCCAAGTCACCATGGACGAACTCGTCATTCCTGTCACCAGCACCACGGGCCAACAATTACAGTTCACCGACGGCACCGCAGCCTGTCTCTTTGGTATCGCTCCCGCAGGTGACAGTACCTCGGTTTTGGGAGATACCTTTATCCGCTCCGCATACATCGTCTACGATCTCGACAACAATGAAATTTCTCTCGCTCAAACAAATTTCAATGCTACCAGTACAAGCGTGGTGGAAATCACCACGGGCACCACGGCAGTTCCAGACGCAACATTGGTTGCGAACGCAGCAACAGCTAGTTCGGGTTCGTCGGGTGGCGAGATCAGCGGATCGGTCACTTTGAGCTCGGGTTCAAAGTCGAAAAATGCAGGCGCCATGCAGACGCCGCCGCCGTTGGCATATGGTATGGCTGCATTGGGCGCGGGATTGTATTATGCCATGTAGAGATCTTTCTCTTTGCTTGGCAAGATGGAATCTCATGACATGAGAAAAGTGGCGAAATTTATTTGGAAAAACTTTTATTTTTATTTTTATTTTATTTTATTTGCAGCGGATTGCATTGCGTGAGATGGGATGGCATGGTATGGCATTCTAGAGTTTTATACACACAAGAGTTGCATTCAAAGGCGTTTCTCTTTTTCGATCTCTCTTTTCATATATACATTTTTATGAGATGAGAGCTTTCATTCTTCTTTTGATGATAAGGGATTTTTCTTCTCCACAAATTTTTGAAATATGGATGGATGGTTGGGTTACATGGGTTGCTTGCTTGCATAGCATCGGAGTCTTTCTTTTACTTATGATTTGGATGGGATGGGAACTTTTGGGAGGATTGGAGAATGAGAAGTGATGTTGATGTTGATGTTGATGTGATGGGATAGAGGGAAAAGGGTTAGATATTCTCAAATAGAAAGAGAAAGGATACACACATATATACACATATGCAAGAATAGAGAGATAATAAGAATCATTACATGACAAAGATTCAAGACCCATATTCACCCATCTATCTTCAATACATCATTACCAGAATGTGAATACGAATAAACGAATCCTGAAAATATCAAGATGCGACGACGTTGAGTATCAAATGCTCATCTACCTACCTACCTACCTACCTACGGACTAGGATGAAGAGTTCACGGGTATGCAATATCTATCCTAGTACGTTGTACAAGCCTCAAGATGGGAAATACTATTTAAGGATATAAATAAATTTTCGGTACTCGAGGCTTGCACTCTAGGGTCCTTGGGGGGGGGGGGAGCTTGGCTTTTTGGCGTGGTACTTTTTGGTGAGATGATGAGGATTTTGAGGTGAGAGGGGGGGAAGGATATGAATAGGACTGTGAATGTGATGGTGAATGGTTACACACTTGTTGGATAGATATCCCTTGCATTTCGTCGATATCAAAGAAAGATTAGTATCAGACAGGATTGATTCTAACTATTCATTTATATATATCCATCTATTTACAATATCTAATCCAACATCCTCAGCCCGGTCGATAGATACAATAAATATAGTACACTATAAATAAAGTCAGAAGCCAGGTACATACTACGGAATATTGAATAAACCAAGCACATAGATCATAGATAGGTAACTTCGAACTTCAAAGGAGATATACATACCTCCCTATATATCCCGACATCAATATCGATGCTACGATTTAGAAAGTAGAAAATGAAAGATAATTGGATGTCTATCCATGCATTCAATGGAATACACAATCATGCTTTCTATCTATATCAATATTTCATTTTCTTCCCTCCTTACCTATTCATCGCATCTGCCCTCCCCTCTCCCTTTCGTCAAAGTCATCCATCTATTTCTCATATGTATATTCCACTTCTTCTTTTTTGATTATGAAATGGATGATATAAATACCTATTCATCACCTATCAAATCAGATATTCATTATTCCAAGTCACGAATGGAGTTATTGTATTGATGAATCATTAAATATAAATAAATAAGTCATCCAGTGTACCTTTTCTAATAATCAAATCCAAAATGACCTCATAATATTTCCATCCCGCTGGACCAATGCAATCCACCACTCCACCCCACCCACCAAAACAAAAAAAAGTCAAAAAAAAAAATAAACTCCCCCACCAAATCCCTCTCACTATTTCCTACCCCTCCATCTTCTATTGTCGCTCTTTTCCACCTCCTCTCATCCCCCGATCTGTCCATCCCAATCCTCATAGGATACCAATCCAAAAAAAGAAAATAGAAAAAAATACAAGCTGACGTAGGGAATTGAGCCCAACGCGGGGGTCGAACCCGCAACCTTGTGATTGACTTTGTACATCTTCCAATGATAAGAGTCACACGCTCTACCGATTGAGCTAGCCGGGCGGGCTATACTTGATGATTTGATGGTATGAAGCGCGAAATCTGAATATACAAATCCTTTTCATTTATTGGGGGGATTGGGAAATGGGAAGTATATCAGGAGGGAGAGAAATGTACTCTGTATGGAGAGATCGGATAGCAATAAGCTGTGGCAAAGAAATGGGCTTGAAAAATTCAAATGTCAGATACATAAATGGAGGAGATAAAGGTAAATGTTATGTGGATAGGAAAAGAGCAGAAATACCTGCATCATTAAATCATCAGGTAAACTTCAGCCCAGCCAGCTCAATCGGTAGAGCGTGTGACTTTTATCTTTTAACAAAAGATTGACGTATAGATGGGAGACAATACTCGCCCTTTGTGTATGGTTGTTGGATAATATCCATGTGATGTTGGTCGGAGTTTATGAAGTGTCTTTGTCTCGAGGGAAGGAAGTAGCAATTGACCATGGGAAGGATATATGTACTTAGGTACTTGTGGGCAGATGGGTTATCTCCTGAAGTATCAGAATGAGAAGGTGAGGATAGGAGTACTGGAGACATGTATTCTAGAATTCACGCCGGAGTGAATTAATTATCCTCTTCGGTTTTCAACCAAGTGAGATCAAATATTAACACACAACCTCTCCCTGAATGCAGACTAGAGATTTTGCAATATCTCAATTTCTACTCGGGTATCTACATACATATATGAATTCCTTTCCCAGCGCCTTCTCCCTTCTAGATTTCCTTCCCGCACCGTCTTAAAATCACGCCCCCAAATCATAATAAATACACATACCCGTTCTAAAATTATAAACAAAAGCATTCCTCGTATTATCTTTATTCTGGAATGCTAAACCACTCATTAAATCATGGATTTCACCTATATAGCGACGTTCGGCTGTGGGGACTGAATGGGTAAGTTTGCGCCAGGACTCCGGATCCGAAAGCTTGGTTTCGCGGATTAGATCCATCACCTAGAGAAGTGGGTGTTAGTTCATAGATTAGGATAAGATGTGAATCGCGAGATAAAGGTGTGGAAGAGGAGGGGTGTAGAGCTCTGTAAACTAGCCATAAGACGCGATAAGGTAATGAATAAGGAAGTACAGTGGTGCTTAGATTAGGGATAAAAATTCATTAGACGGCTTACGTGATCTGTTGTTTCAACGGCAGCGATAGGGCCATCTAAGAATGAATGAACGACTTGTTGGAGATGTTAGTATGAGTATCGTAATAGATAGATATAACAAAAGATTCGAAGAGTGCAACTTACGCGTCGCAGCTCTTCCTTGAGCTTGCTCTACAATGTTTCTTCTATTCGACTTCTTGCTCTTTGTACCGGCAAACAGAACTCGTACATCCTGTTCATGATCACTTGGTCCTGTATCTGGCTGACTATGTTGACGAGATAATCTAAGAGATGTATTAATATCCAATACATTAGAAGAGATTCAGATATACTTACTTCGCTCGGTTGTAAGTACCTTCTCTCTGGTCCCTTTCACGCATTTCGCCACGAAGCCACGAAACTAATTGCGTAGAAGGTATATCGGCATCCGGAACGTCCTTCCTACCAGTAGTCTTACATCTTACCACGGAATCTTGCTTGATGATGATTATCCAAGAATAACTATCATCTCGGTATTTGGATAGGAGATCTTCAGGAGATCTTGAGTCTCGTGCTAGCTCGGCACTTATATCATGCGACCATAAGTTCGAAACCAATTCAACTCCAGTTGACCTTAGTATTGCTGCGTCATGACTTGCGACAAGTACATCACACTAGCAAATAAATCAGCTGTTTTTCATTTGATGACGGATTTATAGTGTTATTGTAACTCGAAAATAACGAAAATTGCAACACTTACTCTCTTTGTGCTCCAAATACCTTGCATTTCCTCGTCGGGTTTCTTTAGGAATCCCTTAGAATTTGCTTTAGGGAGTCGAGCCATCTTCTCCCATGCTAGATTGAAACCTACAGCGTGGCGTTCCTCGTTGATGTTCTTGTGATGTCGATTTTCTCGGATCAGAGAATCATATCGGCCTCCCGCTGCAAATACATCCCGAACTTTTCTGTCATACAAACAAGAAAAAAGTATTCCGCCTTTGTAGAACTTTTCTTTTAGACTTCCTAAAGGATTGATATATATCTTTCTCTGGACCTCAAATCGTTTTGTATATCTATACCGGCACATTAGCGATGCTTGGCGGAGAAATCAGAGGAACCAAAATACATACGCAATTACATCACGCAGATGTGCGATAGAAGAAGAAGCCTTTTCGAACATTTCGGTACCTTCGAAAATTACCTTTAGTTTTTGAAAGGCTTTAGTAGGGGTGTCTCTAAAATCAAAACGTTGAAGATCCTCAACGCTTGTGGCGGAAACCTGAAATATGGGTTAGCAAGTGATAACCTTTGAAAATTTCAAACAAATCATACCCCAACTAATGGTGATCTAAGTTCAGCTCTTATCTTCTGCCATGTCCATTGCTGTACATTAAGCTTACTCAATGTATCAGCAGCAGCTTGTCGTATACTAGGTTCAATGCGACAGAAGTCAAAGATTAGACCGAGTAAATCTGCATGATTTATGTGAAAGCACATTTGCGACGAAGGTAAAGACGGAAAGCTAGCAACGATTTCATCTAAAACTTTAATAACTTCAGCCTCCTTTAGAGCTAGATCTAAACTGTCGGAAGTTACAACATCAAAATCCACTTCGCTGAATGTTTGTGGACATGCGCCGTCGTGCTTATCGCGAAAAACGGTACCAAAAGCAAAAGATCTTTCCACGGGAGGCTGGTGTTTCGCGATGGCGCGAGCATTTGGAACAGTGAGATCATAAGGTAGTTGTAGAAGAGTACCACTTTTGTCTAACAATTGAACAGCATTGACCCCGTAATGATCCGAAGATGGGAATAGAATACTTCGAGGAGTCTCCACAGCTCCATGGTTTCGAAAAATTGAGATCAACTTTTGCTTGACAAGCCCTTGTAGCAATAAGTCGTTGCCACTGGGAGTCGGAACTCCCATATCCCAAGCATAATCCTTTGCTTGTTTTGTTGGTCTAGAGAAGAGAGCACTCATCATCTTTTGATGATATGGTGATTTTGAATCAGATAGACCAGCTAAAGTTTGACGGATTGTTTCGCTTTCCATCTGAACTGGTAGCTTCCTGCTTTGAAGAAGTTCAGAACTCGAAGGTCGTTCTTTTGGATTATGGTTAAGGAGGGACAATATAATATCTGCCTGGACAGCTTTTCCGATCTTGTCAAAATTCGTTGGGAACACTGGATCCTTCCTTCTTAAGCCATCAATAACTTGAGCCTAAGCAGTGAGTTAGTATGGAATTGGCAGATTGTATGAGATATCAATCGTCTGCTTCTATTTGGACCCAGAAGTAAATGCTATGAAGCCACATCATGAATATCAATAGCAAGAAAATATATGAGCAATGAACTTACTCTCTCCATTCCGACAAGCGGAGTATAGCACATTTCAAAGAAAATTACACCAAGAGAATACATATCGACCTTGCCAGTGTACGGTCCTCCAGAAACTGCTGATCGAATTTCGGGTGCAATATAGGAGAAAGTGCCAATACTTCGGGTTAAATCCCCACTATTCTGCATTCCGGATGCTGAAACCTTGTCGATTGCTGAGTATTGGCCCCTTGTAGCCAAACCTAGATCGCCTATCTTGACATTTGAAGCACCATCGATGAAAATATTCTCTGGTTTGAGATCGCGATGAACAAAATTCAAGCTATGAATGTGGGCAAGACCTTCAAGAATTTGACGAAAAACACGCCATATTTCCTCGTTATCTTTATACAATCCTCGTCGAATAAGATCGCGAAGTGTTCGCTTCTCACAATATTCCATAGATATGTATAAAATTGTTTTGAATGGGCGTGGGGGTCTTGGACTAGATCTACTTTCCCTATGTGCCAAAACAAGTCGTCCATGCCCTCGATTTCGGACATGTTCATTAGGTTCTGCGGAATACTCGTCGTCTTCATCATCATCATCGGATTCATCATCGCTATCCGTTGCCTCATCGTAACCGAATTCAACTTGGTATCCGCTAGTCGACATGAAGTCAAGCCCCCCTGTACTCGTCGCAAATTCGACATGGGGTCCCGACCCCCCAGGTGAGATATTACTGATAGATTCTTCTGTAGCAGCGTCCGTTGTTGTATTTTCATCGTCTGTTTCGGAGAGGTCTGGAACTTCTTCCGTCCATGTACTAAAGTAACCTAAGAGAGCGTAAGCATCATACTGAGTCAACGAAATACTATGATTGGAATATCTTTCTCCTAGCTCGCTCCCTGGTAATTTAGAGGATCGAGAATGATATTGATATGACTTCCAACTTTGGCTCAAATGTTTTGTTCTTCAGTAGAGAATCCAAAAAAAAAAAGTACTCACGAACAACAGAAGGATGATTGAGCTGAGAGAGTAGGCGAGCCTCTTTTAGTACATCATCTAGCTGAGCGGACGACTTTTGGGTAATCTTTTTGATGGCATATATCTGTCCATCTAGTTTCTGCCTGGCTTTTACGACCTCCCCAAAACCTCCTTTTCCTAAGCGACCCTCTTCAACAAAATCATGAGCATATCTTGAGAAAGGTCCAGTGAGACTCATGGAATCATGTCGAGGTCTACGTGGTGTTATGGGTGCTAAGGATGATGTTGATCCGATCCTCGACAATATAGCAGACGTATCTTCGTCCATGATTGTAGCATCAGTGACAAGGAATTTACACGAACCTATCCAGATTAGTCAGGTTCGTTTACAGAAGATATGGAGATTCTACGAAAATCTAAAGCGAACAGAAGGAGCACTTACTGAGCGCGAAAGCTCGCGGCCGTTTCTTCGGATCTGGATTGAATAGTTTGAGCATAAAATCGTGTAAAGCGTCGGATAAGTCCAATGAGTCTAGCATAGCCTTTGGAGATGAATATTTTCGAGTAACATTCAACCCAAAAGCCATCTGAAGAAAAACAATACCAAGCTCCCATATATCAGTTTTCGCCGTTCGTAAGCCGTCCCCCAAGTTAGCAATTTCCGGAGGAAACCAGTACGCAGATTTTGCTATGGCAGAGCTATCAATTTTTCTTTTTGTGATCTTACCACTCAGAGTATGTAGCTTTCTTTGATATCCAGCATCAGCAAGTTTTGGCCTGACCACTCCATCTGATTCCCGGAAAAGAAGTACATTTCCACTATGTATATCCTAGAACGAGGAGCGTCAGTACTCGAAGAACACGGGGATATAACAAATGTGTTTACCTCATGAATAATTCCGTTTTCTTCGTGGAGGAATCTTAAAGCATCCAGTAGCTCTATAGTCCATGAACGAACTTTGTTCACATTCATGTTCTCAACGATATCCAGGAATTCCTCCAAGGACCCTTTCTCGGCATACTCGCTTAAAGTACTGACAGTCCAGGAAGAATCATTCCTGTGCGTCCCAGAATTAATCAACTAAGCTACACAGAAAGCTCAATGAAATTATATTAACAAAATAATGGTGAAAACTCACTCTTCTTTTTCTACCTTAAAATCCAGAAGATTAAGGATATTGTCGTGTCTAATGCTCCTGAGCTTTTCTAATTCATTTTCCATCGCTTGCAATTGTCCCTTGACACTGCGATCGCCCAAGTTCGTATCAAGCAACGTCTGCTTCAATACCAATAAAGGGGCGTGAGAGCTAACTGCGGGTCTTACGGTGTAGCAACGAGATACAGGACCTTGACGAATGAGCGATTTACCAGTAACCGCCTGAAAGTATATCGGATTACCCTCAGCATCCAGAACCGATACTTGGCGATCTAGCACCTCGTGATCATGAGTCATCTTTCCAATTCCAGAATTGGAGACGGTGATCGAAGGGGGTGGTTGATTTTTTCGCTTTGTCTCTTTTGCTTTGGCACGTTGTCTTTTCAACTCATCTTGTACCAAGGAGCCAAGCATTCTCTCTTCTTCCTGGGACTCCAACCTATCATAAATTTAGCACTTTTGAGAGGCAATGATACTCTGAGATACCGAGAGCGATCAGCTGATCCCAAAAGGAGAAGAAGGAAAAAGAGATATACTAACGTTTTTTTCTTCTCTTCTTCTAAACGCTGGTCTTCAAGTATCTGAGCAGCAGCCGCTTCATGAGCTGCACGCTCTTCTTGTAAAGTGGGCAGTTCCCGCCCTGCAGCTTTCGCTTCAGCAGCTTGCTCTAAAACTTCCTGACAGGCAGTAACAATTTCCATAATCATGGCTTGTTCCTCCTTGATCAGTTCTTTAGGTAATGTCTCGATAATCTTCTGGAGCTTGAATTTCGTAGACTCTCGAAGACCGTCGGTATTTTTTAGAGTCAACAAAGGCGCCGACTTGGGATAGGTCAGGGTCAGGGTGACTCCTAAAGTCATTGAGAAATCCTCATCAGAAGTTTTGATAGATATCTCAAATGATGGTTCTGATTTCTGGTAGAAAATTAGATTTACGTCATGCATCACTTGTGAAGAAAATTTGCAAACCTTCCATGCTGATTGATGTGTTTCAATACGTCGAAAGTCATCACCGTATATTGAGGCGAGAGCGATTAACTCGTCATCTTGGGTCTCTTGATATGGGATTTTGGTGAGTCATTGGCGACATCATTGTTTTTCATTGAAGGAAATGTGTTTAGGGGCTTTTTCTGCTGTGCTTTCTTTCCCATGGGTTATTTGCTGGAGGCATGATGGAAATTGGGTTATGGCGCTTATTTAATATGGTATTGATTTATATATTTCAATATCTGAATTCGTCGTTGAGATTCAAAAAGCAACAAATGCGTGCGGCCGAGGCCACAGCTATGCAGACATTATGGGGTTTCTCGAGTTTAATTATGTTAGAAAATGTATATGTCGTCCAAGTCACACTTTCCTTTCCTGCCGTCAAATATATATTTAAATGATAAACGCATGAGGCGAGGCAGGCAAGGCTGATTGACTAGCCCATCAAATATGACTAACAACCTTGTCGTCATGTAGTGGCGCTAGTCTCTGTGTAGCATAAGCTCCGTGGTCCGATCTTTGTATCGCACAAGGCTCAAAATTTCTGGTGAGTCAATTCCTTATCTGTTGAGAGTCCTTTTAATATTGAAATAAAGTGCTAGGTAGGCCAATTGATCTTTTTTTGAATCAATTGAGTTATTATCGCCCTCGCAAGATAGTTTGTAGATCATTATCTTTACGCAATGGCTCTCAACGCATGTACGAAGCTCCCAGTAGCTCGATTGATCAGACCAACAGCTTCCTATCACCCCGCAATTAGTAGCATTCGATACTACTCTGCACCCCCCGAGAGCACGATACCGGCCGCAAAGCTGAAATACATTCCCACAAGTGGCACATACCCCAAAGGATTTTTAGTTTCTGGAACTCATGTAGGAGTTAAACCCACCAACAAGAATACGCCAGATCTTGCTTTCCTTGCCTCGGAGACACCATGTGCAGCTGCAGCTGTGTTCACAAAGAACAAGTTCCAAGCGGCTCCAGTTACTGTGAGCAGGAAGATGCTACAAAGAAGGAATAACACTGGAATCCGTTCAGTCATTATCAATTCAGGATGTGCAAATGCTGTGACCGGAAAGGGTGGAATGGAAGATGCTGAGAAGATGGGTGCTGAAGCTGATAGATGTTTTGACACGCCAAGTGATGGTAAAGGTGGGAGTTCGATAGTGATGAGCACTGGTGTAATTGGTCAAAGGTTTGAAGACCTGCTTCTACCTCGTTTTCAATCTTAACTTCAACTAAACCTTGACTAAACTTTTCATATCAGACTGCCGATCCAGAAAATATTACTCAAAATACCTACCGCATTTGATGGTCTAGGAAGCTCTCACGAGCATTGGTTGGCGACTGCAACCGCGATCTGTACCACCGACACGTTTCCAAAGCTCTTATCCCGAACATTCTCCTTGCCCTCTTCCCCAGAAGTGGAATACAGGATGGCTGGTATGACAAGGGTGCCGGAATGATTCACCCAAATATGGCTACTTTGTTAGGAATGATCGCAACAGATGCACCCATCGCACCTGCATTACTGCCATCCCTACTTACAAAAGCCGTTAACAAGTCATTCAATAGCATCTCTATTGATGGTGATACTTCTACGAATGACACGGTTGCTGTCTTGGCAAACGGAGCAGCTGGAGGAAAGGAGGTCACTTCTGAATCTTCCGAAGATCATGCTGCATTCCAGAAAGTTTTGACCGAGTTCGCTACAGATCTTGCCAAGCTTGTAGTTCGCGATGGTGAGGGTGCCACTAAGTTTGTCACTATTCGTGTGACAGAGGCCCCATCAGAAATTGGAGCACGCAAAATTGCCAGCACGATCGCAAAATCTCCCTTGGTAAAGACTGCATTGTATGGTAAAGATGCAAACTGGGGCCGTATTCTCTGTGCTACTGGCTATTCCCAAATTTCGGAACCAGGCGAGCCCATAAATGAGGTTCCAGAAATCATCCCTGAGAAGACTAGTGTCTCATTCGTTCCCTCAGATGGCTCGCCGGAACTTAAGCTCCTGGTGAATGGAGAGCCAGAATCAGTGGACGAGGCTCGCGCAGCTGAAATATTGGAACATGAAGATCTTGAAATCTTGATAAAACTTGGTGGTGGAAAGGAGGAGGCAGTGTACTGGACTTGTGATTTCAGGTAGGAACCCAACGCCCACACTGACGAGACAAAGACTAACTTCATATAGTCATGAATACGTCACAATCAATGGAGATTACAGGACATAAATAATGAAAACAACAGGTTCAATAATAGGAGAACTCAAAACTTATAATTTCTTCAAAGAACATGTTTTGATTGTACATAGAAGAAAGGTGAAGGAGGACGAATAACAGTGAAAGCGCACCCCAAGGAGAACTTAGCGAGATGATAGAAATACCCAAGCTTGTATATCAAAAACCACTTTAAAGAATTCAATTTGACCCTTACCTTGTGCATAAGTAAATTAGTTATACATGTCTTCTCGTGCCGCTCCAATCAATCCTCGAGATAACCGTCCTGCCAGAGTCAGGCTGGTTGGAATTTCCGCCTCATTTCACACTAAAATTTCTGCAAGCAATCTGAGAAGGGGGTACATGCAATGCTAATCTCATTCTCTTCGCGTATGTACATCACAGACCATATTTCCATCTCACGCTCTTTCAACAGTCTGAGGGGTCCAGGCAGTAATCTTTGGTTTGACACTAAGAGGAAACATCAGCTCAAACGCACATACTTGACCAATAATTTGTACATCAGCACTCACGTAGAATAAGTCTTGAAAGCAGCACGGCTCATGGTGAAAGTTGGTCTATGATCCGGTAACTGCCAAGGTTGTTTTTGCTGCAAGAGAAGATCTTCGGTCGGTGGCTTATCTACCATGTATGAGATCCATGCGTGCCATCCGGGCTCAATTTGACATCTACGGATAGTATGTTAGAACGAGACAACTCGGCGAGAGGCGCCGGATATTCCTTACGGGCTGAACTCGTCGTCCTTGTAGTCTACCCATCTTGTGCGTACTGTGTGTTGGTGTAAGCGTAATCGGCCTCGTAGATGGCATATTATGGCAGGTTCGTACGTGGTAATTCATCCTCCAAGTTCTCAAAATACTTGTTGCCATATCGATCCTTTGCGATGAAGGTTCCGGCCTTGGTATCACCTGTTTCCCATGAGCTTCAGTCTCTCAGCTATCTTTTCGAGCATTGAATACCTTGATACTATGTTTCAAAATCCATCCATCAGCATCGGTGTTCGCTTTGTGGTGGGCTTGTTTTAAGGTGTACTTACGTGCATTTGATGAAGAGCATCCTATATTTTGATCAGCAATCTGGCAGGCGCATTTCGTGGGCCTTCATACCTTGATACCTGCTCTGCGCAGGTTGCGCAAAGTCCGCAGAATTGTAGACATCTTGTTGAAGTTGCAATGGGTTTGCTCAATTGGTAGCAATCAATGAAAGTTGAGGTTCATGAAGTCGTCGCCCATTCGGCACGCCGCTTTTGCGCTAGTGATATCAAAACGCTATCGCTATCCTATCGGCTTCTCGAAATTTCAAATCTTCAACATCGCAAATCGAGGATTCATAGAGGAATTCCAAAACATACAGGAAGACATGATCGTTAGGACTATTACACGCTGTTCTCGCATTCGAAAGGTTCCCTCCTTTCAACCACCATTACAACGAATGAAACAGCGAGCACATTCGACATCTACAGGTTCTATTGCTACTACGCCCACAGCACCCTCTCCTGCTTCGATACTAGGCGCTTTTACAAATGAGTGTGATAGAATAGCTCCAAAATTTGAGGTGGATGGCTCGCAGATACAAATTTTACGGACGCCATCAGAATTTTACGAGACGTTGAAGGTTGGCATATACAGCAATTGGACATTGGCGGATGGGACAGATGCTGATGGACGGATATAGAGCAAAATACTGGCAGCAGAGACACGAATCTTCTTATCGACTTTGTATATAGGAAAAACAGAACATGAATTAGTACACACAGATATTCTCCCAGTTTAATAGTATACTTGAATAATAACTATGTGTAGATATCCACACTTCAGCAAGCTCTGCGTGCAAAACCGGGCTTGAAACTTAGTATTCTTACTGATGCCTTGAGAGGTACGAGAGAGTCTCCCAATGCGTCATGTGCTTCACTTCTCGCCCCGCTGGTGTCGGAGTTTGGTGCAGATAGGGTCGAGATTCGTATGTACCATACCCGAATTTGAATGGGTTAAGGAAAAAGTACATCCCCAAAAGAATTAATGAGGGATGGGGTTTGCAGCACATGAAATTATATGGAGTGGATGATGAAATTATCATATCCGGGTATGTCATCAAACCCAATTTTGAGTAGGGGTGAATACTAATAGGACCCGAAAAGAGCAAATCTCTCCAGTGACTATTTCACAAATCGGCAAGATAGATATCATGTGTTTTCCTCTAAAGAAGTCACTCAGTATTTTTACAACATCCAGAATGCAGTCTCGAGTTTGAGCTTCTTGGTATCGCCAGACCCCCAACTACCTGCTGGATACACACTTGAATGGCCCTCCTCGAATTCCTGTCCTTCTCCTCTTACAGACTCCCAAAAATACATTTCTCATGCATCATCCATTCTCACACCCTTGATTCAAGCTTCAACAACATCGAGCTCGAGATCCAGCAATCCTCAAGCTAACACAACGATCTATCCCATCTCCCAATTCACACCACTGTTCCCGTCAACCTCCGACACATCCACCGAACTTCCTCTTCTCACCCGTCTTCTTACCTTTCTCAATTCTCCCACCACCTCTTCATCCTGGACTTTCACAGCCGGCTACTTCAATCCGTCGCCAACTCTTACCTCCCTGCTCCTCCACACAACATCTAAAAATAACACCGTCCTAACCGCTTCCCCTCATGCCAACGGCTTCTACAATTCCCCTGGAGTCTCCGGCATGCTCCCCGCAGCCTACACCCTTCTCCTCCGCAAATTCCTCGTTGCAGCTCAAAAAATTCAGGGACCCTCTCCATCCGTCACTCTACGAGAATGGAAAAGGGGAACTGTCAACGAGCCTGAAGGTTGGACATATCACGCTAAGGGACTTTGGGTATCATTCCCCACCCAATCACCCTCCTCATCCACAACCGAGACTCCCAAGCCAGCAATCACAGTACTGGGTAGTAGCAACTACACCAAAAGATCCTATACATTGGATCTCGAAACAGGTCTCATGATCGTAACCCGAGATCCGGACTTGCAAGAGAGACTAAGACAGGAAAGAGATGGGCTGGGAGAGTGGGCAAGCGAGATTGGGATGAAGGAGTTCCAAAGTAGTGAGAGGAGAGTGGGGCTGCATGTTAGGATTGCGATGTGGATTGTGGGGTCGTGGGTGGTGCTTTGTAAAAAGTGACTTCATTTCTTACATTTGTCCCGACACACTGAGAGAGGCACTGTTGGAGACAGGGTGGAATTAGATTATGGGTGTCGTGATACATCTAACAACATATCTAAATATCACACCTAATTTTTGCAGATATTTGATTCTTCGGGTTCCAAAATGTACGATTTGTGCGGAACTTTTTGATTATTACGTGATTTTGTGTAACTTTTAACAATTGCAACAATTCTGCAAATTATTTTCACTTCATCTGCATTGAAACGCCCAAAACACTGCACTACAATTCATCCCTCTTCCTCAAGCCAGTCTCCACTGGTCTCATTCTAAACATCTTTACCCCATGCGCCTCCACATCCGCAATCACTGTTCCACTAGGTTTAACCGTCCCCGTCAAATTTCCCAGCAACTCACTTCTCCCTGCTGCCAACCCATCCTCATAACTCATTTCCGTCGCATTATACCTTCCCTCCCCAACCGTCGTAGCATTGTAACCCGTCGTCGCATTTCCAGTCGCGGCACTTGCGTCAATAATTGCATGAGCAGTAGCATTACTCATGCGATTTGCCCAGAGATCACGTAATTCCCATTCCATGGAGACTTGTTCAGCTGTGCCTCCGGTTCCGTAATCAATGAAGATATCTGCCAATGTGGCGTTCATGGTAAGAGGTTCATTACCACCATTGATGAGGAGGAGAACAAAGTCACTGGTCGTGCTGTTGGTGGTGGATTGAAGAGCGCCGGACCACATTTGGATTGTGGCAACGCCGTTTTCGTCAGTAGCATCAGTAGCGTACATCCAGCGACGAGCAGCGCTACTACCTAGCGGATCTTGGTTCACGGCGATAACTGCTGGGTTGGAGATGATCGCTAGATCGGCGGGTTGGATTTTGCGGAGGTCGTTGCCGAGAATGAGGGGACTTTTTGCGATTGCCCCTTTTTGTTGTTAGAATTTTGATTTACAAACATTTCTCGACTTGGAAATAAAGTTAAAAGACTTACACATGCTAAAGTGAGCTACATATTCCGAGTCGGTCATTCCTCCATTGCCAACCTCCAACATGTCTAGATCGTTCCAGGCACCTGGTTGGGCTTTCGATACGATGAAAGAAGCTTTATTCATAATGTTGACAATTGAGCACTATATATTTTGCTTTAGTTAGTTGTTCGAAGTATGCCGGTGGAAGGATAGCTTACATGAAAGCCGGGTAATACGCAGTTGAATGCATCAGGGCCATCGCATGGACATCTTGCGTCTGCTCTGTCCCATGAATCATACACATCACCGGATATTCTCCAACTGTTTGCTGTAGTTGATCCCCAATTCCATGGAGAGTCTTCTCCCCAGTTACAAAGGGAGTAAAGAATAGGTCGTCCAGTAGCATTGAGTGCTTTCGCCATCACCTGATATCTGAAACACAAAATTAGCCTGATTTGACAGAAACAACTAAAATACCCAGTATCCAATACAGTTACATCTGCCCTCAAATTCGTGATGTTTCTTACCTTTGAGAACTCAAATATTGAGTTCCTGCTTGTCCAGTGTTGTAACAATTATCATATTTCAAATAATCAACTCCCACCGAAGCAAAATAATTCGCGTCGACAGTTTCATATCCTAGACTTCCAGCGTATCCGCCACAGGTGTATTCGCCAGCATCTGAGTACATGCCAAATTTCAAACCAAGATCATGAACTGCATCTGCTACAGCCTTCATGCCCTGCGGAAATTTATCCGCATTGGCGACAAGAGTGTTGTTGTCGCTAGCGTTTCGCCCGTTACTCCAACAATCATCAAGAATGACATATTGATATCCTAGGTCTTTAAGACCATAATCAACAATTAAGTCGGCTGTTTGAAGAAGAAGGTCCTCGGACACGTCACAACCTAGGGCATTCCAATTGTCCCATCCCATTTGGGGGGTTCTAGCTAGGCCATTGTTGACAGCATCCACTCTGGAAGCTAACAAGGTAGCGAGAACGCCGAAGATACTTCTTGTCGACATCTTCAATTGTAAGAAATTAAGAAAAGTGTGCGAAGAAAATTTTCTGGAGAAACACCAGGTTTTATAGGCCAAAAAACTCCAATCGGAGTATTTACTCGTTGCATCCAGGTACAATCCACTTGTCTACCAATGACTTCACAGACCGAGTAAAAGCAAGATTCCTAGCGGGGTAATTCTGCACTCCATAGCTCAACATACATGTCACTATTGAAAGATACGAAGAGTATCCGGAGTTAGACATGCAAATTTGCATAAATGGTACAAATAAGTCTTACAGACGAATTCTCTTTTCGCAGAATGATAAGACAATCTGACATAGTTTGTGATGTATTAGAAACGGTTCCAAACTCTTCCTTTGAACGGCTTAGGAGACACCGTACAGAGCTCTAGCACTGGCAGATCCCACTTGCTTTTGGAAATGATCAACAAATACCAAGTTATGTGAACTCAAGTACCTAGGTACGTGGATTCGGCTCGGATTATTTGTTTAACCCCGCATCCCCACCAAACCCCGCACGTAGTTAGGTTCAAATGCTCGGAGTACAAACTACAAATGGAGACACTTGCATGGCAGAAGACAAACAAGAAGCAGACGGTAGTGCCTACACGGCTCTAGTAGCTTGGCTGTTTTTGACAGTTAAACCGACCTCGGAGTGAAGTGACGTTAGACCGGGGTTGAACTACCGGTAATTTACTTGTTCCAAGATTGCTGCCGACCATATATATTATGGTAAGCTTAGAACTAATTAGACACAGCACTTTCAAGCGTCCATGCCATAGCCAGTGAAGTTGAAGCAATGCTGACGTCGGAAAGGCTCGATCCGCACCATCCTCGTCAGAGGAAGCTGAGACTGGCCCCTATCCCTTACTAGGTGACTACAGGTTTGTCGTACGAAGTCGCTTGAATGGCGGTAAAGCTTTCATACGCCACTCCTCCTGAATAAAAAGTTAGCTTATATGGTATTCATAGCCGGCGCTTAAAATTTGTAAATTCTCTGTTGGTCACTACGTCGGGGACCCTGAGACATACGGGCCGAACAAATATTGAAACAGTTGCAATTGTTGGCCATTTTATTGAGTGAGTACATGTATGTAGCATTGACAGGGTGTGAATATAGGCAGTGTCCATTTTAGATCATCCTTAGTAAGCAGCCTCTTCACGCCATTATCGTCCAAACTCTCGTGTTCAAGAATCTCCAACAGTGATGTCCTACATAATTTATTTTCACTATGAATTCCTAAGTTTCTTAAAGTTTCGAGAAACATAGAATTTCTACATCATTTGGAAGTATCCCCATGCAATTGAAAATGTCTCAAGAGTCATCATTCTACCCTTGTGCAACAGGTACGCCAGCCCAACCAAGAATCCCACATTGGTCTTACAATCCGACGATAGAAACAAGTCGTTGAGAGCTTCTTACACAAACGCGTTCAGCATCATAAAACACGAACTTGCAGAAGCTGACGATCGGCAGTAAGATACGGCCCCATTCCTACCGTTCCGCGCGCGCGAGCTGGTCAAGGATTTTAGGGCCTTTTGATCTACATGATCGCGAGCTTTTCACGATTCAAACCCAATATGCCGGAAATACTCCAATACGAATGCGCTTGGGCGAGCTTCACATTAGCGTTTTTCGTGTCGTATTTCTTTTCCTGGTAGTGATGGGAATACTGACATTTTTTGATCCGAATACCAGTTCTCAGTGTTAGATGTTGGAGGCAGTGCAAAGTCGTTAATCGAGCCACAAGGTGCCCTCGTACAAATGACAAAGCTGTGATATATATAGAGCTTCATGCATCATAACTATCTTAAGAGTTACGATTTGTGGTTTGAAACATCGACTATTCCTTAGCACTGCCGCTGTTTAGCTTCTCGGCTTATCATCATACTTTGTACTGTTATTTTCGCTCGTCATCTTCTCACCCCCCTTTGAAGGTTTCTAGACCCAAATTTGCATTGTAATGTGGCGCTGGGCATAGACGAGTGGATGATGGTGTTCAAACCGAAGCATACCTCGTGAGATCCCTAGCATAAATAGCCTTAAGTGTCGGGTTTAGGAGTTGAATCCTAGGGATACTACCCAAATCCGATCGATCCGGAAGGTGAATTCCACCATCAAAAAATTTGCGCACGAGATTTATAGAGAGAACGTACTTTCTGATTGAGTAGCCTGAAAACAAGTGGCGGGTATTCATTGGTTATGAAACCTTAAAAAGAGCTATGATTGGGAGATTGTACCACTGTCCTTTATTATTGGATAACTGTACGATGCAAGAATTACTCGCGCGACCGCAGCCTCAAGTCAGAGGTGTCCGGGGGGTCTACAATGACTATGAATTGAAAATTCGCGTTTTGATGGCCATGGTCTCTCAGCACACTGTTGGAGATATTCCGGGTGTAAAGATGGATTTCTCTATATATGTAGCAGCTGTTCGAAGTATGTTGTTTCCATTATCAATCGGATCATTACCACTGAATCAACTGTCTCGATGTCTATGCCTACGTTCGTGTGTGTTCCTGGCTTTTGCCACACTTCAGCTATATTTGATCCCCTCAGAACCCTTCTCGGTCACTACGGTTATCCTGTCCTTCCAGTCCAGCTTCCATCAGTACTTACGAATGGATCTCACGCATCAAACGATTCTGCTCAGGATACTAGAGCAATTCGAAGTTCAGTGTCACATCTTGTAGAAGCAGGCCACGATGTCATTGTGGTCCTACATTCTTATGCCGGAGTTCCAGGTGGTGATGCTTTGCAAGGCTTAGGGAAAACAGAGAGAGCACAAAGAGGCCTTAGAGGTGGAGTTCTACGAATCGTCTTCGTCATGGCATGGATTGTGCAAGAGGGGTTTAAAATGTGCGAGGAAGGAGACTACAGTTCTTTCCCACCATATATGCAGTATAATACAGCTTCACGTGTAAGTCAATCAACCCATATATCTTGTTTCCGCCGGATATTTTCCATCAAACTCGCGATTAAAATGTAGTCGAGAAGTATTGGTTTCTCATTCCAGCTTATTTTTTGCGCTTGTTCTGTATTGAGTTCTAACTTACGTTCACTAAACGTTAGAAAAAGGCTGTTACTGTGTCTATTCCATCTGCATCGGCAATTCAATACTTTTACAACGACCTACCGCATGAGCATGCCGAATATGTGAGTTACTACAGCCATATCAAAGCACCATTTACTAACCCATTCAGTATGCACATATCATGCGCCCCCAAGCCACATCAGTGTTATATCATAGAACGACAATGGCGGCATGGCGCACAATTCCCACCACATACGTTCTGTGTCCATTAGACAACGTACTAACAGATGCATACGCCCGACTCATGCTTAGTTCGGCCCAAGAATCAGGTAGTAATATCGATACTATAGAGGTATGCGAGGGGCGGGGAGTTGCTGTTGGTTGGGGTCCGGAGCCGATTCGTTCGCGGGGGTCTTAAGACGGGCCGCAGGAGAGTTGGTATGAGCGCGTAAGGCGATGAAGCATGGATCGGCACTTTAAAATACATTTAAGATTGAAATTTGGCATTGGATTTAAATGGACGGAAGGTTGGAACCTGGAATGGCGGGGATAAATCTTGGCGCGGAGGCGGAAATATTTTGGGGTCGGAGTTTCGGTTTACGAGACGGATATTATATCATTGGGTAATTAACATTTCATGTGGAGTTCATATAAAAAGTTTCAAGGCCATGGCCGCCAACATTTCGCGTTTATTGCAAAATTTCTGATCAGATTGGGCCCAATATTACGATAAGAAAATACCTGCCATGTCATGGTCACTTCAGCAACGGCATAGAAATATTTCGATCTGACTTGGTACATCTCGTCGTTCTTCTCGGTCTGGAACCCTCAACCCATGCCATTTTGAAGGAAATTTTCTGCCCAATATCATTTTCTTCCTTGTATACCCATCGTCTTTCATCCACCTCGGGTATTGTCCAGGAATTTCCGCACACAAGACTCTTAACTTGGGTATCACTATAAAGACTTTGATCTTGCGATTCTTATTTACAGGAACAGTAATGGCATATCGTGAAGATTTCGCAAATATAATCAACGAGAGTCATAGAATCAGTGCCCAAATTTTCGATTCGACGCCGGATTCGGCTTTTATAAGTCGTTTCGCTTGACAAATTGATCTCGTTAAATGTGTAGATTCTGCTAAATACTTTTGATGCAGAAATGACCGCGAATATTCTTCATCCTATCACAAAAGTTCAGGCAAAAATCAGAAGAATTCATGGAAACACCCGAGAGTAAGACTACAACGCGTGGCAGTGGCGAAGGATCCTCGTTACTACCAGGTCTCCTCTTTGTTCGAAGAAAGCATACCAAAAACCGCAATGTTGAGATTCTTCCTCGTATGATTATTGGGTGAGTCGGGCTTGGTCACAGAGGCCAAAGTGAGGACCAAGGGAGGCTTGAACTTTTATGTTGAGATAGGATCTTTAAGGCGGTACAGCGTACATGGACGAACAACTTTAGGGATAGTTGCTTCATTAGATAGATGATAGATAGGGAATAGATAGTTGCATGCCTTGATGCGATTTCTTATAGTCGAATAACTTGGTAGGCTTAGTGAGCAATATTCTCCATCGATGTGGATCGATGCACACATTCAATATTATATGGTCAAGTCTTATACTGGGACAAAACGTCTCTGCCTGAGTGAATGTTACTTCTGCTAGTGATCTTCGCGGTAGATAATGTATTCTCGTTTGGAAGTGGAAAGTGCGATCAGTAGCAGAAAACGGGACATGGAATATTATGCAGTCTGACATCTCTTACTTCTTCAAGCATGGGATTCTATCCATATACATCACTGTGCGAAGATAAGACCTGACTATTTCGCACGAACGAACTATTCAAGAACTGTAAATACATTTTGTTCATTGTTTGCACTGTTCAGAAGACAGTTTTATCCAATTCTATTGTCCAATCACCCTTCTGGCGCATTCGCAACCACAAATAAGCATGCCAAAAACATGAACAAAACTCACCAAAATACTTAACAACTAAGGTAAGAATCTATGAAAAACTTTCTTGCCTGTAACTTCTTTCACGCGCTCTTGGGCAGCAAAACAAGTATCTCAAAATTACATACCATACATTTATCACCCAGCACACCCCACAGAAACTCTACTATATTTACCGTGGTAAGAACATTTTCCTCGTCCAAACCGCAAAGGCAGCAAACAGGCTTGTTTGTCCAGGTCAAATGCGGTTTGGCGGAGGAGTTAGCACGCCTGGTTCGAATCGAAAAAAACCCGTCCGGGGGTTTCCTTACCGTTCCTCGAGGGACGGTAAGGTTTTGCTTCGATGAACTATTTTATATATTTTTATTATCTGGATCCTAGAATACAATTTAAGGAGTTGATGGATTTTGTTCTGTTTGGATACTTCAGTTTTGGGCGAAAGCGGTGTAGCGGAGTGAATATGAAGAGTAGTGACGAGACTAGATGAGATGAGAGAGGAGGGGTGATTGGGTGTAAGCGAGAGTTTGCGAAGTGTGATATTAGTGAATGGTGGACTTGACCGGATAGTTACTGACGTAGCCGAGATGTGTCCGGAACTTGAAGTGCATACTCAATGACGAATGTGTATAATTTAGATGTAGATAGAGGTGGTTACATTTGAACAATTTTATCCTACCCATAACACCAAGAGGACAGGATCTATAGATTGAGAATTAGGGATGGGATAGGAGATGGAAGTGGAATGTTCGAGAGAAGTGATTGATTTGAGAGTAAGAAAGCCAGGGAAAGAATGAATGGGTGGTAAATTTCGTCATTGAGATTTCACATGTGCAGTTAATTTCAAGTTGTTCCATCGAGGAATACTACCCTTGGTTTTAGAATTAGCTGATTGTGGCTTCAAGTTTACAAGGCACTCTAGACTCGCTGATGATTTTAATCTTAATACATCTATCCGTATCATTTAGCAATGCAGTATGAAGATTTCATCGGACATATGAAGGAAGGTACGAGAAGATCTAAGAACAGGGAAAGCAGGGGGTAAATCTGAGTTGGACACGGGTGACTTGTAGCGATGGGGAGTAAGATACACCTGCGATTAATATTGTATGTTCAACAATCAAGAGGATAAGGTGGTGGAGTGCTGGCCGTAATGGTTAGCCCGGTTTCCCTTGGTAATTCGGAGACAGTGGTTATCTCAAACTTTTTGCTCCCAGAAAACACGTGTAAATGTGCAGGCCTTTAGATACTGTATTACTCTCGATAAGGGACAATTTTTAGATTGCTTTAAACATTGAAATCCATCAACTATACCGCTCGCTCTTTCTATTCTTCTTTCTCTTTTTTTTTGTGAATGCCAGCATGCTTCGTGAGGGGGGTGGAGTGAAACTAACCTAAAAGCAAGCTTACTTCTAGGAGAACCCTAAATGATGGAGTCACCTGCTCATTGTGAAAGAATCTAATCCCAGGCGAGTCGGTCTCCCTACTCACAGGATTTTGCAGAACCTACTTTCTCACCTTTTTCCAAAATTACGATACATACATCTCGCCTGCTCTTCTTCATCATAAAATTCAACAACGATTGCGATGGACAGCCGATTTTCACATGATTTTTTTGATTCTTCCCATTCATTCTCCTTAAAGGACGCTCTTTTTTTGCTGAAGAGGGAGTGGACTGGGATGGGTGATTCCACTCTTTAGAGTTCCCCTAAAGATCCTCGCTTAGTGTTGTCGCTACAACGCAAAGTAAAATAGTCAACTTTTCAAGATTTGTCCTGGCCGAGTTGGATTTAGATGCAACGGTAGATAAGCATGATTCCTCTATCTACTACATATGTATTCATATGGATCAAGTATCTATGAACAAAAATTTGTGAGGCTTCTTCTCAGCTGTCGGATTCATCAGGATTCACGAGCTTAAATCATTTAACTAACAAACATCTTGTATACCGACTCAATCAATTTTGCCATTGGAGGTCAATCTCTGATCTCAATTTTCAATTTGCAAGTGCCTACTATACATGGTATAAAGGCAAGGTGGTAGCGATGGAGTCATGACGCAGGAGACGACGAATGAACGCAGGCGAAAACTTTTCAATTTAACTTATCCTTTATGGGAAATTTCACATATCAGGGAATCACTAGTAGCAAACTGCATGGCGGAAATATATACCTAGTATAATGGATTAATTGTCAAAATGCCAATATCTGTACTACATGTATTGTAAAAACCGCCCAAACAATGGCTCTTCTTCCTGTTTCAGATACCAGTCGATGGAAAATTCCTTGCCCCTTGATCAGATTGAGATTATAATTATGAATTGGGTTTTATCCGTTGAGGTTAATGGATTCATTCAATTCAAAAGCCAGGCTCCCGAAAAAGCATTATTAGAGTAGAGGGGATAGGATAAATTTACTTGATTCAAATATATGTATTACGAATTGTTGTTGAAAACATAACAAGCTCAAAAATCGCATCAACCTGGAAGTACCTAGGCAGTCCGCTATCCACCTGAAATCTAATCATGAGAGAGACCTTTGGGATCTTTTTGAAAAGTTGCACATTAGACCTATTTTGATCACTAAAGCTATACTAAACACTAAGTTTGACCCTAAAAATTGAATTTATCTGGAACATCTACAATCTATTCAAGCATCGAGTTCCTAGAACAGTAATACCTTCAAAATTTGTCCAAATCGAGCCGTATCCTAGACTACGACCCAACAAACCAATAGTGCTGCAATACCAGTGTTATATGACACTCTGTTCATTCTCCGCATACTTACTGATTCAGGAAAGTCAGCCTGAGCAGGCCATTTCCATAAGCAGAAGTAGGAAGGAGCGACAAGGATCAGAAATAGCTCGGAGAAGTTAAGCGCTCTTTACTCCATCGACAGCTTTCAAAAAATTGAAAACAACAACAACATGATACGTAGCATTCATTAAGCCAAGATCAAACATAACACGCCAATATCACGATCTCAAGATACCTGTTATCCGAACTCTAAATATCTCAACAACCACATACCAATTTTATTTTTCGATTACAACAATGTGTCAGCGACAGTGGGTTAAGTTTTACTGCGGTGATTTACGTTATGCTGAGATCCGTTGCGACGAAAACCCAGCCGGTCAGTCATTCGAGACTTGTGCCACTCGCCAGCTTACAGAACGATTAAGGGACGCAATGGGCCCGATGGGTAATCCCGATCCAGGTCTGTATCGCTCTCCAGGAAGGTGCATCGATTGGGGAAGAATCCCCGGTAAGGTGTTTGGCCATGTGAAGGACGTGGTATTCGATAAATTCACTTGGATTCCTTGCAGTAAGGAATGGCATGCCGCAAATGCCGACCATCTCAACAATTTCGCTCCCAATCTCTATCATGATACGGCTTCAAGAAACAGTAAGACTAGAAGGCCTGGGCGCCCCCAAAAGAAACTGAAAGGTAGGCTTGGTGAGGTACTCTGCTTTAGACCTCAGTTTATCGCTGACATCCGACCAGTGAAGCCCTGAAGATATCATCGTCAAGACTAGCGACATTGTCGACTGCGATTCTTCGTCCGGACCTTAGACATTTAGAGGACGTTTTTCTTTTGATGATACGAAGGCAGCGAGCAAAAAAGTAAAAACGCATGTAGTGGAGGAAGCCCATGGGAATTGGCGATGAGGAAATGGTATGTACAAAGTTTTTCCTTCACAAGGTAGCGCCATCACAATCTTCAAATAGAATGAGCAGGCTAAGATGTAAATTCTAGGTAAACATCTCTGAAATCCCAGACAAAAGGGTGCGCTACAAGAACAAATCCGGCCAGAATAGCGTGCTTCGAGAGTGTTGCGGCGGAAACCACCTGGATACTTGAGGCAGCGAAATGAATATAGATTCTTTGAGCCCTGCTAGGGAGTATCTCAATGTTCAGATTGCAGTCGAAAATAATAGCTCTTAAACTACTGCATTAAAATAGAAGAATTAAGCTATCAGAATCGTTGATTTCACTTCTAATTGAGTAAAGTTGAGACATTGAAACTTCACATTCACCACTTGGCAGAGAGAAAGCCGATTTCCATATTTTCGTCCGATATCAAAGATTGCGACGTGGAGTATATCTTCGCACTGCCAATACGACAAATCGATAGTTTTCAATCGATAGATCTCACGTAATCTTGGAAAAGGTCTTTCCTCTACCCCTGTGATTTCTTTGTCACCGTGTATCAATCGTCATGTGTTAAAATTGTGTCTAGTATGCCCCGCATGAATCCGCCGGCAGACTCCGTGGTGGAAGCCATGAAAACCCTTTCAGGTTCTTGATATTGGTAGAGCAGTAAAAAATTCATTTAGAAAGGTTTCTCCTAAATCAAACATTTCGTAAAGATATGAACAAACACAAATACTCTGGATCCTATCTGGAACACAAATTCAAAACTTTACTCCAAGCACTCGCTCAGAGATCAACTTTGTCAGGAGGTTCGCGTCACCAAAGGCATGAACAAACTCTATCGGATGCGCAGGTACTGACGCCAAACTAAACCATACCATTCTACATGTGCGGCGATAAGTTGTGGATACAGTACGAGTGCGGGGATGTCGACCCGCAAACACTAAGATGTTCTCTAAATCCTAAAGGACCATTGGAGACTTGCAAGAACTGGCAAAAAGACCCAAAGCTCTCAATCACCAACAAGTTAGGAAGATGTCCGGCATGTATTCAGGAAGATAATGATTGGGTAGGAGGATCTAGCATGAGGCTGTCGGTAAAACCCCACATAGAAATAAAATACAAATATAAGATAATAACTCAGCATAGACATAATTTTGCATATTCAATCAATCATTTCATCCAAAGGATATCAAGATATACGCTGGAACTGGACTGCCAGAAGTTTTGCGGTGGCAATGGCTGCATATATGATGGCACAAGGCTAGGGGGTTATATCGATTGTCCAAAGTATCTAATGATGGGACCACAAGAACTTCTGTACTTTCTTTGAACGGTGGAATTCAATATCGAAATCCAATATCGGAATTCATGTAATTTATATGCTTAGCAATTGAACATAGCGATACCTCTTATTATTGAAACAGTCTTATCACTCTCAAAAGTCGATTCTGTCTAACACCTTGAATATTTCGCCGACATGAGCTCAATGTTCGAGCAGCACTCCCAAATGAAATAGATCTGATTTAGCTGTGACACGCCAGTATCTAAATGGCTTCATGACAAGATTCTATCCATTTGGATAGGCTATTCAGAGATGGAGATCCGGGACTTCCCGCAAAGTCAGTATTAAAGACATGGAGTTGGAGCTGGAGCTGGAGCTAGAACAAAGAAATCAAGCCTAGGCACGGAAAGCTTTTCGAGGTCCTTAGCTCTACTCTCTGCTATAGTTTCTGTTCGAGCCATGTGGAAAATAATGATGAAATGATCCCCGTGAGATGCCTATATAACACATAATGAAAGCTTCGCAAGTTCCCATAAACACCATATGAAGCTTGAAAAGGGATGACTTTTGAACTCGATGGATAAAGCTTTAAGCTTCAAAGCTCGTTGTCTCTAGAAATGCTGAAACATCCTTTACTTCCAAGCTCGATTAGATCTACTGAAATGTATATGATCTCGCAAACCAAGCTGGATATCCGGACCTGTCTTCCGATAAAGAAGGTTGAGCACTAGAATGAATAGTCCTCAATGGCTTGGACTGGACCCAATAACGATAGCCTGGTGTTGGAAGATGTTTTTGGTATCAAGTTAATAATTAATCAAGAAAATTATAGGTTGCATTCACCTAACCAGCAGAAACTTATAGTTTTCCGAATATTGAATAGTTCCAATTTAGGATTCAATTTGACCCACCGGTTCATCCATGAAATAGCTATAGAATCGATATTTACAGACAGATTTTGACTTGGACTATCAAGATGGTACAGTACTAAAATCCAGCCATAAGACAGGTAGGAGGAGCTTCTTTGGTTTGGTGAGAGCTTCATGACTCATTATTCCAGAAAATGTAAACAAGAAAGAGTAAGATGACAACAGCGTCCGGAGAAAACTGAGGCTTGGTCTTGTACAGGTTGTATGACCGAATATCTTGAGCAGGATATGCAAGTTCTGTACTTTAAGACTTGAGATACCGCAATGCCTTGGAACGAAGCAAAGAAGAAACAACGATAGCTTTGCAATATAGTGAGATGGGATGAAGAGTCATACAAGGCTGGCAATATTGTATCGTGGTCGGCCGTTACTGAAGAGAGTCATCTGCTGTAAAGGTTCTACACAGCGCAGTATTGTATCATAGATGGCTACCATCTCTTTCAAATACAGATTGTATGGCGTACTGTAGTAATAGCAAAAGCATTCACTGAAGAAACTGTTGTCTATCATGTTGTCAGCATCAGCATGACCATGACATCGACAATGGGTTCAGAATGTAGGTATCCATACCTAGATGTTGAGATGCATGCATTTTCATGTAAATTGAAATCTCGTGATATTATTATTATTTTGAGAAAATGTAAAATTTTCTCCACTAAAATTCATTCCAGTGACGTTTTTACTTCCTACTTATTTTATGGTCATTACCGACACTCACTTCGAAAGTTCCCGACCCCTCGCCTAACCTTTACTAGCACACTAAATTTCTTCTAACCACCACCCACACTCTGACCCTAAGCCCACGTCACAAATACGACAAAGACAAGACGAATAGATAATATCTTGACAACTGTAAACTGCAGAGTCAACGGATATTGTGCAACCACTTACAGGTCAATTCATTCATAAAGGTCAAATTGTCTAAGTGGTTTTGTCTCATTATCCGCCAATATGAGTGACGCTCAGGCAAATGAGGCCGAGAAGAATATCGAGATATGGAAGGTGAAAAAATTGATTAAGCGCCTCGAAGCTGCGCGTGGAAATGGAACCTCCATGATTTCTCTCATTATTCGTAAGACGTCACGTCGATATATTGTTTACATACTCTCTAACATATTATGTAGCGCCAAAGGATCAGGTCTCCCGTGCGGCGAAGATGTTGGCAGAAGAATACGTATGTTACCGCTTTTTCTTGATATCTGCCCATTATATACTGACTCAAACTTGGATATAGGGTACCGCATCGAACATCAAGTCTCGTGTGAATCGACAATCCGTTCTTTCTGCTATCACGTCTACCCAACAAAGACTGAAGTTGTATAACAAAGTCCCGCCCAATGGATTGGTCGTTTACTGTGGTGAAATTTTGACATCAGAAGGAAAGGAAAGAAAGGTCAACATCGATTTCGAGCCCTTCAAGCCCATCAACACATCTCTCTACCTTTGCGACAACAAATTCCACACGGAAGCTCTTGCTGAATTGTTGGAGTCTGACCAAAAGTTCGGCTTCATCATTATGGACGGAAATGGAGCCCTCTTCGGTACCTTGAGTGGAAACACCAGAGACGTTGTTCACAAATTTTCTGTCGATTTACCAAAGAAGCACGGTCGTGGTGGACAATCTGCTCTTCGTTTCGCGCGTCTTCGTGAGGAAAAGCGTCATAACTACGTCAGGAAGGTTGCCGAATTAGCTGTACAGAACTTCATCACAGCAGATAAAGTCAACGTAGCTGGTATTATCTTGGCTGGTTCTGCCGACTTCAAGAATGATCTTAACCAGTCCGATTTGTTTGATAACCGTTTGGCCACAAAGGTTATTAAGGTTGTTGATGTTTCTTATGGTGGTGAGAACGGATTCAATCAAGCTATTGAGCTTTCAGCCGAGACACTTAGCAATGTCAAATTCATTCAGGAGAAGAAGCTTATTGGAAAGTACTTCGAGGAGATCAGTCAAGACACAGGACGAATTTGTTATGGTGTTGAGGATACTTTGAAGGCTTTAGAACTAGGTGCTGTTGAAGTTTTGATCGTTTTTGAGAACCTCGAGATCAACCGTTGGGTGTTGAAAGATAGCAATGGCGTCCAAACAATTCTTCATACTACTAAGCAATCCGAGGCCTCAAACCGAGAACAATTCATGGACAAGGAGACTGGCCAAGAAATGGAAGTCGTTTCCTCGGAATCGTTCTTGGAATGGATCGCCGAGAAGTACAGAGATTTCGGAACAACATTAGAGTTTGTTTCAGACAGATCCAGTGAGGGTAACCAATTCGTTAAGGGTTTTGGTGGCATTGGTGGCCTCTTGCGCTACAAGGTCAATTTTGAACAGTTGGCCGAAGTTGACGACGATGATGACTACTACGACGGTATGTTATAAGCATTCATAGGCGAAAAATTACTTCAGAGACTAATATGATATAGATTGACAGTTTGATGCCCTCGCATCGGGCGAGGAGCCAACTCCAGTCGAACCGTCAAGCCAAATTCTGTCACACCGCCCTCGTGCCGTGCAACAGACGACCCCAGCGCAGCCGGCTTCTCCAGCTGGCTTGGGACTAAGAGGGAACACAGGGAATGCCCGTCCCAGCCCTCTCCGGTCCGTCATGACGGCTTCGTAAGTCGGAGAAACAATATTTCAGGTATGTGATCCATTGTTATTCCTTCTGCACCTTTTTTGACAATTTTGTGCAGAATATATGATTCCGTGAAAACTAGGCGATACCCTGATGTTTCTCATGTGTGTTAAGGTCGAGGAAAGATTGCGTTTTGGCAGAATTGCTTGCTATTAAAGTGTATAGAAGACTATCTGAAGTTCAGTATCAATAGATCAGCCATAAATAGATCAGGTTACCCGAACTCAAATATCAGACACCTTTTATACTTAAGTTCAATGCTTCATACTGTGTTTCTCATTTGGGGCTATATACCTGTGAAATTCTTGAATATTCCCGAATTTACCGCAAATTCTCATGATGACAGAAGCCAGTACACAATCCCATACACAAAAGACCCATATCTCCTTGATTGACACTTCCTTAAAAGATGACCGGATCCGAAGAATCTAGCAATACCTTCCGCGGAAATCGTGACAAGGTGGGGTTTCTTCTCATGTTTACAGTAGCGCGGGGTGAGCCGACAACAGTAGCAAAATAAATATCAAAGATTTCCGTTACTTTCTCACGAGTGACCACAACTTTCTTCTACAAACAATCCGACCGTATGAGTGGTACGCGAGTCTTCCCGAGATGCAGTGAACCCAATTATTATTCAACACCGGAATTATATTAGTCTTTTCCGAACCACCGAACCACGTCAACACTGAGAAGGAGTGAAGACAAGCTAAACAATGCAGTCCAGAATCAACTCCTCTAGCACACCAGCTATCTCTTTCCTTGGGCCTATTTCTTCTTATACTCATCAGGTACTTGATCTTCGTTTAATTCAGTGTCCAGCGCCCTTCAATTGTCGACATTATGAGCAGCATGCAATTCCAATAGGACTAACAGATGACTGTCACCTCCAGGCCGCTCTTGGACGCTTCGATAAAGAGAAATATGAGTACCAACCAGCCATTGGAATACCAGGTATTGCGATCTTCAAATCATCGCTCGCACGTTACTGATGGCATGTAGATGTTTTCGAGGCTGTTCAATCGGGCAAAGCAGAGTTAGGTGTTGTACCTTTTGAGAATTCTACAAATGGAGCTGTGATCTTTACCTTAGAACTCCTCGCAGATCGCCATTCCTTATATAAAGATGTCATAATATGCGGCGAAGCCTATCTTGATGTTAGCCACTGCCTGTTAGGTTATGTTTCGACGGCAGACTCTCCAGTAATGTCTGGCACTTGTACCCCGACTACATCCACCCCTTCTCCTGTCAAGCCAAAGACAACGCCGCTGTCTAGTCTCAATCACATTCAACGTATTTACACCCATCCACAAGCATACGGCCAATGCGAGGCATTTCTAGGAACATACTTGAAGGGGGTTGAGAGACTGGACGTCAGTTCCACAAGCAAGGCAGCCGAAATCGTTAAAGCAGATAAGACTGGTACAAGTGCAGCCATTGCTAGTTCGCTCGCAGCAGATATTCACAAATTGGATATTCTGGCAAAAGGAATTGAGGATCGTGATGATAATACTACCAGATTCCTCATTTTGCGCAAAGGTGTAGATACGTCTGCGACAAAGGTTGATGTTGCCGCTAAGTCGATGGTTACTTTTACTATCGATCATAGAACACCGGGTGCACTCGCAGATGTACTGGATTGCTTCAGGAGATACCAAGTCAATTTGACAAGTATTAACAGTCGCCCAACGAAAATAGTTCCTTTCCAATACATTTTCTTCGTTGAATTTGAAGGAAGTAAGCTGAGTGATCCAGAGGGGAAAGTAGCTGGAGCATTGAATAGCCTCGAGAAATACACACAGGATTGGCACTGGCTTGGGAGCTGGGAAGATAAGCTTGTGGATAGACAAAAGAAAATATAATGGAGTATCAATGGCATGGTATTTATGGTATGGCTATACCGAAGGAAATTTAGACAAACATCCGCCTTTATCGGATTCTTATCGATAAGGATGACGCTTTTCTTGGCATTCGCGGGCCTTTTCACGTCGTTTAGATCTTCGGAATCTTCTTCCTTCTTTTATGTACTACTTCTTCTACCCATCACAGTTCATGATGACGAATTTATGATATTCTCGCAGATGATTTCTGCATAAAACCTGGCATGAGGCTCTCCAATTGCTTCTATTCTCGATCATATGGTCTTCGTACCATCAATCGCTCCTTGACACTACCTGCGCATACTCGAAAATCTTCCACGCAGTCAATTCTCCACAAGGAGCTCACATCACGCAAGCCCAACATTATATATGATTATTTGTCGCCAACTCCTTCACATCTTTTAAATATATCTCTAGCGGACTTCCTTCCACCTACATGCTACCCTGCTAATTTCAAAGTCCAAGACCTCACCCTTCCGTACACTACTACACTCGGACATGAGTGTAGTGATGCAGCACTTCTCCCCCAGTCGCACCATCTAGTCTATTTCTCTCCGCAAATTCCTCACAGTGCTCTACTTCCAGATGGCACAGATCCTCTGCAGTCCCCAGGGCCGCCATTTGTGCGCCGCATGTGGGCTGGTGGGTCTCTTATTTTCAATACTACGAGTGGAGAGCAACTTCGTCTTGGTAACATGCGAGCAGCTTGTATAGAACGAATCGTGGACGTTTCGGTCAAAGGGCGTGAAGGTGACGAGAAAGTGTTTGTAAACATTGAGAGACGGGTTGGCCTCGCTGATACCGGAGACGAACTGCGAATGAATCCAGATGCAAAGAGCAGCGCAATCGTGTCGGAAAAGTGCTCTGTAAGTGATCGAAATTACATGGCCGATCAACAATTACTACAACGTCACCATGTCGATAACAACGACAACATCGGACAAGCATCCTTAGTGGAGACGCGGAATATCGTCTTCATGCGGGAGAAAGACACAACCACTGCCAAAGAAGATTGCGCTAGGCTTCCAAAGATCTTGCGGCGTAAGCTATTTCCACACTGTTGCCCAAGGATTTCTTTGTCCCATTAACCAAGCTTATAGCCACGCGTAAACCAGATTTTGATGTGCGAATAACACCTACACAATCCCTTTTATTTAGATTTTCGGCCCTTACATTTAATGCTCACGCTATACATCTGGATCCTCAATACTGCCGGGAGTCTGAAGGATATAGAAATCTACTCCTTCATGGACCCCTTTCATTGGTGCTCATGTTCTCCGTCTTGCGATCACAACTTCAGCCTGGTGAGATGATAAAAAGGTTCAATTACAGAAATTTGGCTCCACTTTACGCAAATGAAGAACTAAGAGTCTGTGTGGGGAAGAATGCCGACAAAAGCAACAAATACGAAGTGTGGATTGAAGGAAAGGAAGGCGGATATGCTGTCAAGGGGTCTGCGGTTGTTGGACCCCTTGACACTGGTGATAGCTAGTAATTGGGTAATTATGGACAACAAGGCTGAACAGTGAACACATCCCGGAGGATTTAATCTCTCGAATATTCTCCGATGTTTGAGGAGGTAAAACAAGCCACTTTCGTAGGGTTATGCAGATCTGATGAAATTTGATGTTGGGAATATAAATTGGTAGCTGTTTTGAAAAGATGAGACGAAATCAAGATCATCCCTTTCGTCCCTGACACTACAGTAAGGTACCGAAAAGCACTGTACAGCATAAGCTGTGTATAATACGATCATTTAGATGAAGCTGCAGGGAATAGCAGGCCCTGAGATCCTCTGACACGATTCACACAATCAGAACCAACCGCAGCATCAATGCTAATCTTTATACGGATGGATGAATGTAGGATGTGCTGCAGAGTAACCAAGATGGCTCGTATTTCGGGAGAGCCTCGATGCTAGCACTCGATTGATGAAATCAAACAAACACCACAACATGTTCCTTTCTCCATTCTGAGTATTCAAGTCTGAGAGGTCATTAGACCATCAAACCTAAATGAGGAGATTGGAGATATTGAAGAGTGTTTTCACTCCGCATAAGGAATCTAAGTTTTGAAGAGATGGAATCATCCGACGCCCAAATTTGAATTAGGACATTATAGGCCTTAGTATATTTCGCATTTGATATACGATAGGTGAGCGACGATCATACCGAAAGACAGCTGGAGAATACGGTACGGTAATATGATTGTATGACCCAGTTTATGTTGGCGCCTCTTTAACATGGTCATTTATCAAGATATTGCTCATCACCAACCAGATCATTCAGACGGTCCAGGGGAATTATCTCCTGTTGTTGATTTGAGCTTGACTGCGGAGTATACCACAGCCAGTAAGGTTAAAGCATTTTGTGATTTCGAGGATACAAATGAAGATGCGCGCAGACCAATGCATGGTCGTTTATTGACAGTTGGGTAGATGTGTACAGTACACACAGGAAGTCATCCGTACAGTACAGTACAGTACAATACAACACCATACAATACAATACAATACAATACAATCACGTACAAAAGAGATGCATCGGTACAGACAGACGGGGTCAGATAATCCAGAAATCCCCAAACATGGCGTGGATGCATCATCGGTCTCTCTGCATGCATAATAGACGGGTGAATTAGTAAATACCTTTACTAGGGAATTACCTAGTAAACAGGGTTGGATGTCCCGCTCCCGCAATAATAGGCAAAGCACAAGACAACACAATACCACACAACAGAACACTGCGTTGCATGCACTGCATCCGTCCATTCTCACCCTTTACGTTGTACACATTCGCAGGGAGGTGAAGATATGGGTGAAGATGTGGGTGAAGATGTGGGTAAACATATCGGTAAACATATCAAATGTCATACCAGAAGCCTAACCGGGACCATAATCATAACCATAACCATAGCCACAGCCACAACCACAACCACAACCACAACCACAACGGTAGGTAGGTACATCACATTACTATCCCATACCATACAAACACTCAAACAATCAAACACCGAACCACCAGACTTCTCTTTTGCCAAGCGAATGTTGGAAAAGGTTCTCAGTACTAGGTAATTGCTAGGTCCCTCGTAGGTATTTCTTACTGTGTGACCCGTCCATACGATAGGACACCTCTCTTCCGGTGATATACATAAAGAGGACGAGAGGGGGAGAGAGGGAGAGAGAGAGAGAGAGAGAGAGAGAGAGTCTGGTTATGATCACGTCCACTTGCTCATCAAGGAGGGAATGCAGGAATGCAGGAATACATACTTAGGAGGTACAATTGATTTATTCCTCTCCCTCCCTCCCTCCCTCCCTCTTCATTTCTGGTTTATGAATTTGCCATCTTTTCTTTGCTTGCTTAGCATCTATCATCTATAATCTATAATCTATAATCTATCATCTATAATCCATCATCTATAATCCATCATCTATCATCTATAATCTATAATCCATCATCTATCATCTATAATCTATAATCTATAATCTATAATCCATCATCTATAATCCATCATCTATAATCCATCATCTATAATCCATCATTTATAATTCCGAATTGAAAAATTATAAATCATCTCAATCCTTTTATCAACCCGCACCCAACGCAATTCTCCTCCCCACCAAAATAGAACGAGGGCGAGCCATTCGCCATTTTTCGCTGGTTACCGTTATCATCCATCCATACATCCATACATCCATACATCCATAGGTACATAATATATAATTCCATAGTCGATCAATTAATTCATTTTAAGCTCAATTTCTCGTCCTTAACTTTAATTAATTCACTGCAAACAGTACACCTTTTTTCTAGCTTTTTCGTTTTTTTTACTTTTCATCTTCCTATTCCATACATTCTCTTCAATTGTGTCTTTTGTTTCACTTTCAGATCTTCATTAATTCGCAATTCCGGATTCATCAGATGCTCGTCCAGCATACCTCGACACATTTGCAGCTATCGTAGCTTAATCCGGTGAAATTTCCTACTAAACTCCATATACATTAAAACCCTCAACTTCTGCCGCATGAATGTTCCTGAAGAACCTAATCATTCATATTTGGCTTTGCAGTCCAGCTTAGCAAGAGTTTTTCCTGTCCAAAGAAAAGTTATGAGATGGCGCCCAAAGAATCTCGGCGAAAGAGTTTAAGTCTCCTTTCCAGAGCATCATTTTCAAATCTCGCGCATATCAACACCGACATCAACAATGGCAACACGAACGACAAGGAACAGAAGGATAAGAAGAAGCTGGGGAAAAGAAGTTCGATATTCGGCAGTCTGACTCCTTCAATGTACATCGATACGGAAAATACAAGCCATAGTCCTACGAAAGCCGACGCCCATTCACCAAAACTGCGACCTCGTACACTACAAAAAGGCAGGCCAACTTCATTATTCGGTTCCTTGGGGAGAAGGTCGATGACCGATGTGGATGAGGATAAGGAGGTTACAGGCACAACTCCTGAATCTCCTGAAGAGGAGTATCACTATCTCGCGGCCGGGATTCTCAATGCGAGTAGTGCTGTGTCGATACTTCACCATGGCGAAGTTCAGACGACGACTTCGATGTTTAGAAAGAAAAAGGAATACCTTGTCCTCACGGATACACACTTGACACGATTCAAGAGCATGGCGCGAGCGATAGAGGCATTTCCAAATATACAACCGGCGCACTTGCGTCAATCTCATCGCCAGTCATCCACTGCATCAATAGGGTCGCTACAAGAAGTACAGTCTCAAGCTTCGCATGCATCCACGGAGGGCGAAAATAGAATTCCTCTGGGTCAGGTTGTCACAGTCTACAAGATGGAGGATGGGCGGCCATTTTTCACAACCGAGGTCGTGTTTTTAGACGAGGATTACCATGGAGTAGGATCCATTCAGCTTATGTTACATGACCCAAAAGATGCAGATCTATGGTCCACTTCAATAAGAGCGGCTGCGCAGAAAGCCAGACTTATGATGTCAGAGCCATATCCTGAACGAGTTGTCCGATACCTTGTTCAGACCTTGGAGGGAGTTGACGACTACGATTCGAACCATTTTCAGGTATTCAGGGTTGTCAAACGAGCTCCATTAGCAAAGGGCGCGCGCTCTTCTTCGGATGACCTTCAAAAACTTGGATCATCAGTGTTCTATATGGTTATTGGTATAAATCGATTGCATCTGATACCCCTACCTGATTTTAGCCTACCTTCCGGTGCCCTTTTTCATCCAAAATCAAGTCGAAATTCGTACGGCCTTGTATCCCTAGTTGCAATGAACGTGCAGTATTCTGATGATCGATTTGAGCTCGCATTCAGGTTAGTTTAGATCTCCTAGTGTACTTCATGTTCGCCTTCTTGCGCAGCGTTCGTTGCGTGGTGTGGGAAATCCATGTGTGACATTTGACGGTTGCGAGTGCCGTTGTCTGTCCCAGCATGGCAATTGCAGCCCATTACGTCTGGGATTATTTCTACATTCGCTTTGTGCTGTCACAAGAATCAGGTCTAAACGCCCACATGTATCTAGATAGCCCTTATATCCAATGATTGTGCATCTCGACAATAATTGCAAACGCAGAGATAGAGACTAATTTAAGCGTAGAACACCACTTCAACAAGCCAAGATGCTCGAGTTGGCAGCTTCAGCCACACACGATATTGCTGTGGTCATCTTTCAAGCCATACAGTATCTCAAACCAGCATGGCTGGACTATAACTTCACGTTCAACGGGCCCATGCGTCTATTGGAGTCGGGTGATATCCCTCTAGTTCACGAAGAAGAGGAGTATGGGTGTTTTGATAGAACCTTGGTTGCTTATTGCATGGCCTATAATGTAAGATACTGCGTGTTGGCTTGCGAAATTTATCTGGCTGACATACCTAGTGTAATCCTGTGAACATAAAATATGCAGTTGATTGGAATGTTGAGGATGCTCCAGAATTTCGTCTCTACCCTCCTGCCATGACGGCTAAATATACGATTTACGAACTGCTTGCTATTTTTAGGTCTTTACGATATAACGAATCTTTTCGCTCAATTTCCTTTGCAGATATTGATCTTCATTGTATGCATGGTATTGTGGATTCCTACGGCATAGATCATGTAGCTTGGACTACTCGAGTAGGGATCGCGATAGATACCTACTTCACCATGAAGCCACAGGATGGATCACTATTATATCAAGAAGTTCAAGCACTTGCTTTGAAGTCACTACAGCTTCGAAAGGTAGATTTCAGTAATGCTCTTCCCAGGAGAAGACCGCGAGATACATTCGATGATGAAGGGGGTGTTCTACAGAAAGATCCGGGCTGTGAAATTACTGCAGCATTGATGCCATTGTGCCGCGCACAATTGACCAATGTAAATTGGATTGTTCTCAACGGAATTGAGTTGGGAGAAACAGATCTTGATGCGATGATTCCTGCACTGAATAATCCAAAGGCTGAGATTAGGGCGATCGAGTGCTCGCGCTGTGGACTTAGTGATCGAGGGATAATGCAACTTTTGACCCATTTGGAGCGGCAAAACCAAACACTAGAGTGCATCAATATATCTAACAACCCCGGGAGAATTCTTCTTGAAAGATTTCAAGTATCCATGAGTCGTTTCTCGCACGTTCGCAAGCTCGACCTTTCCATGATCACTCGTACATCTGGTGACCAACCACTTTTTGTTCCTGAAGTTATGCTCTCTTGGAGATTGGAGGAGTTGATTTTGAATGGCATTCCTGTAAGTGTGCTACCCTTGTTCTGGGACTTCTTGCTGACTTGATAGGTAAACGATCAAACTTTGGACACAATCTCTGCCTATCTTACAAGTGATATGTCAAATCAACTTCGCACCTTGCAGATGGATCAGTGCAATTTGAGTGGATCGCATGTTGCTCTTCTCATGAGAGCTATGACTCGAGTCGCTGGTCAACCTCGTGATTTGGAGCTTCACGTAAGTGCCAACCGACTTGAGAAGGGGATAAGTGATTTTGTGAAAGCTATTCAAGAAAACTTCACTCCTACCAAACTCGTGGTTCGGATGATCGAATTTACAAAAGAGGATTACTTCAAACGATTGTTGGAAGCCCTGCGCACCAATACTACGATTCAGGTCCTGGATATTTCGAAAGCGTCCCTTCCATATGATGCAAGTCCGGAGACATGTGAAACCATGCAGAGAGTTTTCGCTGAGAACACCACACTTGAGGACTTGGATATTTCTGGAGAACAGGCACACTTGGAGGTTACTCGATTCGGAATAGGCTTAAATCAGGCCTTAACCGGTCTCAAAAAGAATAATACTTTGAAATCTCTTCGTATAGAGTACCAAAACTTAGGTCTGGAAGGAGCAAATACCCTCTCTTCTGTTTTGGAAGAGAACAGGGGTTTGACGCATATCTTCTGTGAACACAACGATATCAATCTTCAAGGATTCACCATACTCGTCAATGCTATTGCAAAGAACCACACTGTTCTTGAAGTTCCCTATATGCAAGACGATCAAGATATTGCTATGAAACGAATGAGTGCCAGTATGAGGGACACACGCCGCGCCACGAGCTCTTCGGGCCGCGAAAACCACCACGTAAAGAGTTCAGTAAAGCGAACGCTGAAAACCTTTGGGGTTGGGGTTGAGAAGCCAATCAAACAAGAATTGACACCTCAAGATGTTGATCAAGTGGTAAAGGTCTTGGCCGAGAAGTGGAATACGGAGATTGGGAGATTATCTATGTTCTTGGAAAGAAACAGAAACATAGCTATGGGCGTGGAGGGATACGATCCTGTTGAGATTATAGGCGAACGTGCCATGCGTCCTACCACAGCGATGAGTGACCGAGGGATTTTAGAACAGGTTTTAAGCAACACGACGCCTAAGATTGAATTGGGAAATCCAGTCGAAATCACAAATGATCGATTTTCTGGCATGACGCCATTAGCAGAGGTAGTTAATCCTATGGAAATGGAAAACGAGAGGCCCGTGGATGAAAAGGAGAACATTCAATTCAAACGTATACATTACAAACGCAGTAAGGATGGAGGTCTACTGCCTGATTTGCCTTCTTTGGGCAGTGAAAATATGTTTGGATTGGAGGAAAGGGAAGATACTACTCAACTTAAACCCAAACGCATATCTTACAAACGCAGTAAGGATGGGGGCTTACTGCCTGATTTGGGTCCGTTGGGTAATGAGAAGATGTTTGAGTTGGACAATGGGTTGTTTGAAATGGAATCTTGATTCTTTGAATACAGATTTAGTAGTTTGCACATGGTTTATTTGTGCGACCTTTGCTTGCTTTAAGTCGAGTTGCATTTGGGATGGAGTTACGGAATTGGTTTACTACTTTACTCGCACTAAAAGCAAAAAAGTGAATGCATACTTGCAAGCGCGCGTAGCATAGAATACAGCTATATGGCTCGTAACAGGGATAGGGAATACTTCTTACTTTTGTCTCATGGTTGGATTAATGGAAGGGTAGTCGGGAAGTGCAGTCGCATGCATATCTGTATATTGAGGAATGGGCGGATCGGGATGGTTGGCGAGGGATACAATCATTGAATTGGGTGAACTTGACTATATTAAAGATACAGGCAAATGGAGTGGGGAAGGGTGTTTTAGGAGTATTTACGCTTGCATCGTTCATTGATAGGCGTTGGAAGATTGGGTGTTTTGATAAGGCGTTAGGAAACGAGATTTTTTGAGATGTTGAATAGAGTGCATTTACTTGCACGCATAGCTGAGCGATTAGTGAGGAATATTTGTGTTTCGAAGTTTGTGTTGAATATATTATGAAGGGGATGGATTGTGGGATGGGTGGATGGTTAGTTGGTTGCTTGGTTGGATGGATGGATGGATATACCAAATGAGCATTATTAGTAGAGTAATGAATTGAAAATACCTAGATCGAAATCAATTTTTTTCTTACCTACATTCATACATTCATATGTTCATTTACTTTATCTTGCTTCGCTATTCATTACTCTGGGATTTCATGGTCGAGTTGATTCATTCACACACTCACTCTCTGTGCGTTTGGAAATTTGGAAGCTAGAGTGTTTTGAGTGGATCGGAGAATGGGAGTATTGGAGGGGATTTGTTGAGTTGAGTTTCACGGTTGAGTGAGGGTTTGTGGATTTGTGGATTTGATCTGGATACTTGGGTGTTGAGATGAGAAGCTAGATACTTGTTTGTTATGGCGATTGAGATGGGGATGGGGGGGTTCCTTTGTTTCTTTGTTTTATGTGTCGTTTTGTTTTTGTTTTTGTTTCATTTGTCTTTCTCAAGAGTGTATTTGTGAGAAATGTGAGGTGATGTGAGGTGATGTTATGGGTTGATGAATGGATGGGTGAGTGGGTGGATAGTAAAAGCTGAAGAAAGAAAGAAAGAAAGAAATTGAATTTTCTCTGCTTTTCCCTTCCTTCCTTCGTTCCTTCCTTCTTCCTTCGTTCTTGGAGTGATGAATTAATTAATTCGCTATCGCACTATTGATAAAAACAGATTTGAAGGGATGATAAATTTCGATGTATATAATTGGTTTTGATAGAGTGGATTGGAATTGGATTGAATAGGATAGGATAGGATAGGATAGAAATTGGGAGTACCAACATAAAAAGAATGTGATGGAATGTTATACCACGCATACTTTGATTGGGGATATATAAATCGGGTTATGGTCACTTGAATTTTCTTCGACTTCGAAGTTCGAGATTGAGGGGATTTTTACTTCTCTGTTGGGTTTGACTGGGGAAGTAGGTAGGAGGCGACTGACTGTACGGTTTTACTCTGACTCTTACTCTTACTCGCAATATTATAAGTTAGTCACTCGTACTCTCGATTAAGCAGATACGCGTCTTCGACATCATCTTCACCATCACCATCACCATCTCCAAACCAAAACCAAATAAAAAAAAGATGTCCACCCCCTCACCACAAACCCTCTACTTCGCCTACGGCTCCAACCTCTCTCTCTCACAGATGCAAACTCGTTGTCCAGACTCGACATGTGTAGGCATAGGTGTATTGCAGGACTATCGATGGATTGTGAATCAGAGGGGCTATGCGAATATTATTTTTTGTGGGGGGTCTGAATCTGTATCTAAGTCTGAATCTGAATCTGATTCTGATTCCGAATCTGGAGAAGATATCAACGACGGGAAAGATGCTAAGAATGCCAATGAAACCAGAAATACACGTGCAAGCAAAAATCCCTCCACCTCTCCTCGCAGACGCACACAAGAAACAACCACCAAGCTCCTCTCAACCCGCCCTCGGAATCCTCAAAACACCGTCTACGGACTCCTCTACACCCTCTCCCACCGAGACGAAACCCTCCTCGACACATCCGAAGGCGTCCCCTTCGCATACACGAAAATCTCTCCTCTAATCACCCTGCTATCCATCTCGCCTTCACTCGCTACACCCACAATCGCATATCTATTATCTTTATTTCCTGGCTCCATTTCCATTTCCGTTTCCGGGGTTTCGAGCGCGGGATTGGCAATGCCCTCCCTCCCACCCTCTCTCCCGCTCTCTTCTCCCCCCACCGCCTCCCAACCATCTCAACCATCACCACCCCTCCAAATTCGCGCACTAACCTACATCGATGCCCTGCGCATCATCCCCTCGGCTCCCAATCCAGAATACATTACGCGCATGAATCGCGGGATTCGGGATGCGCTTGCCAAGGGATTTCCTCCATCATATGTACGAGATGTGATGCGTCTTTACATTCCCGCTTCCGAAGAGGGGGACGGCTTCTAATGATGATGGTGATGATGATGGCGATGATGTGCTGGATGATTTGAAAAGTTCAAATAGAGAGATGAGACAGGAAGATGGTTTACATAGATGGGTTCTAACTTCTAAGAGTTGAGAAGAGATGACGTATATTTCCATGGTCTCTCTAGAATACAACATTTCAGAACTACAAATCACATTGAAACAAAAGATCAAGTACATTTAAAACGTATGTTTCTGTATAATTTTGAATCATGATGATCATATCGGTTACTACCCTATATTTGTACACTTTGGAATCCCGCGACCTTTTCATACGTATCTTCCATCTTTCCACTTCACCCCCTTTGGATACATTGTTTCATAATGTCCGCTTTCATTTTTCATTCCCTCCTAAAATGCACCTGCTTGCCACCAAAAGAAGAGATCAACCAGTGATGTCATAGCTCACTCCTCCCGTCATCCATGCGTCTATGTTATGTACCCTTATTATGCCTAAATCCATAGGAAGCGTTGGGTATCGTGTTTCGTTACGACATCAAAAAAAAGAAAAGAAAAAAAAGTGTACAAGAAAATGAATATGCTGAAAGTAGAAACTCCAATACGATGCAATGTCCAGCGCTTGCAATGCATTTGGAGCATATACTAACTTAATACAGGTGCCGTAAAAGATTCATTAATAACCCAATCAAGTGATTGGGTTCAAAAATGGACTGAGTAACAGCTCGTCCGCACTTGGTCGTTTAGTATGTTCAACTTCAAAAGTTGAAGCCAAAAAGATCTTCGCATCGGGGCTAGCCTCATCTGGTACAGTAGGACTGATTCTTGCACCACCAATCTTGAAAATGGCCTGCAGTTGAGAGCAATCAGGGAATGGGTGAGTGCCTGTCATCATTTCAATGACAAGGCAGCCGAGTGACCAAATATCAGCTTTGCGTGTATAGGCGGTTTGTTTGACGACCTCAGGTGCCATCCAAAAGACAGAGCCTTGTAGAGAAGGTCGGTTCTTGTTGTTGCCAGGTCCATTGAGAAGATTCGATGCTTCAATCTTCTTCGAGATTCCAAAATCGGAGATTTTGATTCCACCCTTGTTGTCAACAAGGATATTTGCCCCTTTAATATCTCTGTGAATAATATCTTTACCGTGAAGATAAGCCAAGCCAGTAACGATTTGTCGCACAAAACTTCGAATCAAAGGCTCTCCCAATGCTCCATAGGAATTAAGCATGGTTTGGACAGAACCACCAGGGACATATTCGAGGAAAATGTTGAGGTGGTTATCAGATGAGCTTGCTCCAAGGTACTGGACGATGTTGGGGTGCTGGAGATCACGAAGGAAACTGATCTCGCGCTTCAAAGCGTCAATCATACTCTTTTTGCGAGCATCGTTTTTACTATCTGTACTTGGCGAAGGGGTCTCGACTTGCTTGACCGCAAGAAGTTCACCAGTGACAGCGTGCAAAGCCAGGAAAACACTACCAAAGGAACCTTGTCCAATGAGTGCACCCTTCATCCATTTACTGTCATCCCAAGAGTCACCCTGCAGGAAACTCTCTAGTTCCTCATCTAATTCCTCTCCATCATTATTTAGAGCTTGGGTAATCTCTTTCAGAGAATCTCCAGCTTCTGTGCTGCCATCTTCAAAGTAGCTATCTCTCACGCTACTTGAATCGTCAGCAGTTACATTAACATTTGTAGTGTCAGATCCGCTGTCAGTCGCAAATGAGACATAAGATTTGCGATTTGGCTCGGTTGGCGATTCTTCTTGAACGATGTCAAGTAATGAGGAAGCCACCGAATCTCTAAATCGACTGCTAGTTGCCCTTGAAAGGTCCAATGGCCTTATTTTTGCTAGCTGGCTATTGCCCATCAGCCAAGTATCGGCAATCGTTGGCATTGGAGGTGCATCAGCTACGCTCGAAGCAAAGCTCAAATTACTGGCAACGCTCAAACGACTGTTGACCTTACTAAGGCGAGTGGATCTCCGTAGTGAAAGTCTGGCAGTACGATCAATCTCTTCACGAGGGTGGTCAGGGAAGTATGTCGTCAAATCTGATGTGATCAATTCACTTGGAGGCCTTTGTCCAAAGAAGTGGCGTAGACCACCACCTTTCTTGCTCGCCTTTTGTCTTGAGCTCTCCCTCACGTCAGCTGGCAATGGCCTTTCAAGATCCTTCGCCGCATTGTAAACGTTACGTTCTCTCTCGGTAATGGACAAGTTAGATCCAGTAGATTGAAACGAGGCAGGTGATAGTGGATGCTGAAGATTGTCATTCCAGGTTTCTCCGAGCATTTTCTGAACTTTGAGTTGACTGCGTTTGTTATCGGATGTTTCAATGGCGCGGTTATGAGTTGTTGTAGCCTCCTCCAACGCGATGCTAGCGGCTCGCTGTAGCTCGTCGTCGCCAGGTTCACCTGCGTGTATCTTTCGCAGGATAAGTCGGTTTCTCTCTGCCCTCTTTTGATCTTTGATGATACGCCAAAGTTCAGCTTCTGGCAATCGACGGCACTGGCTAGGATCCGGATCCACACCAGCAAGAACCCAGAAACAATAGTTCCGATCATGATCCTCGCGATAGCCGAATTTCCTCAGAGTCAATCGCATCACCTCGTCACAAGAGCTACAATCTGCAACCTTGACCACCTTTGTGACACCCTTGGAAGATATCACCCTGATGACATCTTGGTTTGTTGGCAATGAAGCCATGAGTGAGCCGTCGATGCTGGGATTGGCTCGAGTATGACCAGTAGCTAGCCGAGCTATCTGTGGTTGTGTGGGATCAGATGGAGTGGTAGGACGTCTTCCAGAAATAGTTGCAGCGCTGCCTGGTATGCTAATGTTACTTGAACCATTGAAGTATCCTTGATTTTGGTCTCGCTTCAATTGTTCTGCGGGGCTCATAACACCATATCTTTGTTGTTGTCGTACAGGTCGAACTTCAGAGTTTGTTAATGGTGAGACAGGTCGCGAAACTGCTTTGCTAACGTTCTCGGGGATCGCTGTGGCGGTATTGAATGTATCAAACTGCCTTGAGAATCTCTTATTGGTAGACGTAGACATGTTTCGACTTCCAGAGTTTGTGGGGCGAGGTGAACCAGAGGAAGATGGAGTGTGTGCAAAAGTATCCAAGGTCGCGAAAGAATCCTGTAATTGAATGATCAATATCGATCCGCTACAATGAGAAGCAAACGAATACTTACCCTATTTCTTTTCTTCTGGTTGGCATACGCCTTCGTCCTGAGCTTCTTGATGCCCAAGAATAAACGAACGCGATCTCCTATCTTTTCAATACCCATTTCCTGAAGTACTGCTTTGTCCATCTCCAAGAGATTCTCGCCGTTTATATTGTTTTTCTTGAATAACTTCTCATAGTCGCCACAGTTGATGCTCCTTAGCCAGTCGCCAACTTGATCTTCGTCCCATCTTTTCGCAGACTCTGGGCCATCAACATCTGAAAACTCAGATTCTGTCGGGCTCGCGAATGTTTGATTTGTGGCCAACATGGCGGGCGCTCTTCTACTCGATTGAGTAGTGGCTGTTTGTGAATTAGAAGAAAAGGAAGATGAGGACGGGCCCAGCGATGCGGGAAAGGGATTCTTTGAAGCTAGCATTGCCATTGCGCGGATGTCATTAAATAGGCATGAAGGTGATTGATTAAATGTGCGAGATCGATTTGGAAAAGCAGGAGCGAATTGGTAGTGAAAGTGAATAAACTTGGCGAGATGATTATTTGCGAAAACGAGTCAGAAGATCTGAGGTCCGACGAATGAATATAAAGATCAGATGGCGGTTGTTTGTCTGAAAGATTGGAGATCGAATGCTTCAAAGGGAGTGTCGATAGGTTGGAGTGAATTGAAGTGGTTTGGGACGACTTCTTTTTCAAGGTAGGTAGGTACTTTATGTATGCGAATGAATGCTCAATTGCTCAATGATTGTGTTGCAAGATGTGCCGTTCCTCTTGTATGGACGATATAGATCTTCCAGGATCTATTTTAATAAGAGTTTATAGATATAACACCTGGTAAAGATCTATCGAAGATTCGTGGATTGTGGAGTTGGGTGGGATAGAATTTAAAGAACAGACACTGAGAGGAAGGAGGTGGAGGCACTGGAAAGTTGAGTAATGCAAGTACGTGCGAGCGTGCCCATGTGAGTGGGATTAGGGATTAGGGATTAGGGATTGGGTCAATCAGAGGTGGATTGTTGTTGTGAATTAAGTTTTGAAGTGGAAGTGGAGAGGCTCAGAGGGCTCAGAGGGTTATCCAGGGAAGGCGTTGAGGGTATGGATGGATGGGTGGATGGATGGAGTAGGTCGGTCGGTATTTCTCACTAATAGACGAGAAAGAGAACAAATCGAACAAAATCAAATGGAAAGAGAAATGGAAATACAATTAATAATTGCAAATGGTGTATAATCTGCTGGATACCAGATCGGTATTATAGGTAGGGTAGATCAAGGTTTTTATGAATAATGACCGACCGAATTCTTGGGTCTCTGTTTAATACCTCGATGCAAGTAAGGTCCGATTCAAGGTTCGACGCTGAATGAAGGGAGCGACGACTGGCTTCACCACGAATCCACGAATCCACGATATACGAAGTTTTATTAAGGTATTTTCTGAGACAATTATGGACGCGGCTGCCAAAGTAAGCCATCACGCTATGTTTTGTATGGGTGGATCCAAGGGAAAAAGGGAAAAGAGGCGATGAGGGAGGCCGGTCAGATCAACTCTGATTTGCTTTGGGATGAAGATGAAGGGAACAAGGATTGAACCAATATGCACATGCTAAGGCAAAGAGAGGAAAAGGCGTAATCATGAGATTAACTCAATCTGGTCAAGGGTCAAATGATTATGCATCTTTCAAGCCTTTTCCCCGAGAGAAAAGTTTGATGATGCTGAGTACTGGGTAGATAGATACTTCGCAGATAGCTGTTGCTTTGAGTTACCGCTTGCCTTACCGAGCCTACCGACTCATTACTACTTCCTGCTTAGCACTCTGTAGTAAGCCCATATGCGAGTTGAGAGTGCTATGCTGCTGCTATCTGCAGTTCTGCTTTGGACTCTGCAACTAAAACCATTCTAGATCGCAGCAACTGATGGAGAAGGCATATCAGCACAATCTAACTTTCCATATTGGTCAAACTGCGTCGAAAACTACTGGGGATGCTATGCTCCTACTCGGCAAACATGTAGGATGACTCCCAAATGTTTCTCCGGAGAGCAAAACCGATTCATCTAGATCATGTGAGGTGGGGATTGGATTTGTGTTTCTGTTCCTTATTACGAGGTGAAGACCCAAGAGAGAGAGACCTACAGGCCAGAGGGTCTGGAGATAGACGGGGTCTGAGGATAGAGAAGGTGGCTTCATCAGAATCAATTCAGCGATCATTATCAATCTTTTTTAAATATCATATCAATCACCACTTTCCCCCACGCTTTGGATTAATCGACGGATGAATGAGGGATGAGCCAATGTTTGAGGAATTTTGGTACCGGCTGTCTGTCTATCTGTCTGTCTATTTGTCTGTCTATCTGTCTGTATGTGCGTTTATCCCCATCTCGAGAGAAAAACAAGGAAAGACATAGCGGTCCCAAAGGCTGTACATGCACTGTACATCCAGTATATCCTGCCAGATTTCTACCTTATGCGCTGGCAACAAATTTTCATGCAACCGGTAGTCAGGTAGTCAGATCAATATAAAAAGTTGAATACTTTCATAAATCTTATTTGTCGAAAGAAATCATTTGCCTTTTTGCCTCTTTGCCTCCTCTCTTCCAAATATCGCACAGTCTCAACCTTTGGGTCGTCCTAGAGATGACCCTGATCTTCAACTTTCAATTGGTTCTGACATGGACTCACGGCGTTTGATAGTCGCTGATTATCTTTTACCTAGAGAGATATGAAACGACCCAAAGTCGGTTGGTCAAAACAGCTTGTGCGCGCGAATGGTCGGGGGAGGCGTGGCTCCGGAAAATGGCATCATAAATCAAATAGCCTTCGAAATCTTAGCTGTCAGTGCCAAAGGGAAAAAACTTAAAAAAGAAAGTCGGAAAAATACTACGGAGTAAAGCGTCGACTAGTTTGAAATCGTAATCTCAACAATTGGAGTTTGGTTCCAAAGTACGGATCATCTGAATATTCCAGACTTTACTTGCTATGTCATACCGACGTACATGCCATTGTCGCAATAAGAATAATCAATTCGAACTTTGAAAGAACACAAGAACGATTCGCAGGATCGTATCAACAGCATGAACCTGCCGATGAGCTCTCGCTAAACTACCGTATGGTTGTGGCTAGACCATGCATCACTTCAGTGGCGGCGACATCCATCCTGCAACTAGGTACTCATTACAACAAGTTTATCTTTCGTTCGGCCGCCAACCAAAAGCTACCCACACTTTCGTGTAATCCACAACGATACGATGATATATGTCCTGATGGCAAGTAGCATCGAGCCCAACATGAAAAAGGCCCAAGAGTAATCGCCGAGTGATCAAACAATATTGATAGATACACAAACCTCCTTGACGGTGAGATTCTCTATTCATTCGATTTGCCGCTGTCAATGGGCATGATAGAATAACCGGTACCATTCAGTTGATGATCTTGATGATGATTCTGTTTGATGTTTGAGAATTGGTCCAATGATTGAATCCTAATGACCGTAGATCATTTATGAAACTTCAAGGGTCGTGAAAGCATTGACAAAAAATAGGAGGACGTCTTCTGACCAATCAAATTATTCGCTTGACTCTTGGTCTTCCAATCCGGATTTATTCGAAATTCTTGGACTACCGGAAAAAGGAATCATGTCGTGAACACTTGTACATATGTACTACTTTCATGTACTATCCTATTTCTTGGAAAATTCAAAGTTTACGTTACTCTCCAAAGCCGCAAAAGATCCTTCCAGATTCAGATCCATAAAAGATTGATATTCGGTATGTCTGTTTCAACTCCTCTTTCGCTTCATCTTTTGTTCGTTTGACAAAGATTTTACGCATCATCCGTCTCGCTGTCTTCCTTTCTTTTGGCCTGGCTCAGTGGTACAACACAAAGCATCATTTCCTTTTCAGCATGATCTACACTATATCTGAAGATATGAGCTCACCTGTTTGAGTTCATCTGAAGAAGAAATAAGATTCTCCTTATCAAAACTCGTTTCATGCATTCTTAATCTCTTTTTCTCAATGCTATCACTGTTGCCTCGATATTCCCTGTCTTTCAATCTTTCTTAGCCTATCATCTTTTCAAAAACCCTTTTCATTCCTACTGATCTAAACATAGTATTGGTAGCATGTGAAGCCCCCACAAATCAAAATATATTATAAACATTGTTTTCATACTTTGGCTCAGGGGTGGTGAAACCTCCGCCCCCATTTGACACCTTGACTTTCCAAGAGCCGGAGGAATTTCGCGACCTTGCCCATGGAGATATATCTTCAACATTGCTGAGCCATGATACCCGGAAATTTACTGTGCTCACAAACTCAATGCCCAGACCAAGAGGTTTTCAAAGTTCCCCTGCTGACGTCTGACTTCGTATTCATGATTCCGCACAGATGGACAAAAATCGGCAACTCAAGAAGTGGACTGAATAGTGGGTTCCATACCAAGTCGTCCCGACGATACAGATTAAGATCATGCTTCACATTGAGATCTAGGACTGCCCCAGTGGGATTAGTGGGAAGACCGGGAGAGGAGGGTATTTACTCTCTCCCGGAAACCTCGAGACAGTACGACAGATGCTAACGACCTCGGACCACGAGGGTTGTAGCTACCAACACGTACCGGTACCACGAAGAGTGGTCGTAAGCTTCAGGAAAATGTATCCAAATTTGACATACGAGATGAATTATGCTGTGGGTTCCATATCTATTTCACGAGTACGGTGCTTCGGGGTGACATCAGAGACTTCTCGCTTTGGTTTTAGATACACAGCCTCGTAGAAGTAGAGATCAGCTACAACAAGCACTGGCAGTGTTTACAGTAGGAGAACAGAAAGTGTCATTTCTACATGGAGAGGGTAGTTATATCATTTGTCATTGTCTAATCCTAATCGGACTTGGGTAGAAGAATTATTCAGCCTGGAGGGAACTCCAAGTTGTATGTTGTAGAACTTCAAATTAGATACTGCATATAGATACACCGCATTCAGGATGATGAAATGCTATTACCCGCAAAATAGGAAGCCTCGTATCCCTCACTTTGTACAAGGACGATATAGCCCCAGACATGTCGAAATGGCTCAGAAGTCGATTATTGTGTAGCTGTAAATCACGTGATATTGATACGGCCTACTCTTAAGGCATCAAGTGCAATTCGAAGCTATGGCTTGCCAGCCTTGGACAGCGAATTACAGCCTTGGGCTCAACGACCATGAGGTAGCTCATATAACAACGACGGATGGCTCTCGACCCGTCAAGCGGCTACGTAGCCGCAAGAAATCTGCAAGATCTCAATCTCAATGAGATTGCACTTCCTATATTTAATGTCGAAAAGGTACAACTTCAATTCTCTATAGCCTCCGACTTCGTAGCGGCGCAGGTTGCAAATAATGTCCTGGTTTTGGCACTTTCGAATGGCAGGATTCTCCGAATCGACTTGGACAATCCTGCAGATATAGATGGTGAGGCTTTAAAATGTTTCTGTCTCTTTGACCGGCTAGTTGACTGTTAACCTAGATATTGATCTTCCCAAAAAGACCTCAGAAGTTGGAGTGATACGGCGCATGTTTCTCGACCCAACAGCTTCACATTTGATCATATGTACTTCGCAAGGGGAAAACTATTACCTTCATACACAATCCAGGCAGCCCAGGCCCCTTTCACGACTACGAGGCGTATCGATAGAATGTATTGCTTGGAATCCCTCGCTACCGACATCCTCGACCAGGGAAATACTCATTGGGACTTCGGATGGAATGATTTATGAAGGGTATATCGAGACAGCTACGGAATTTTACCGTAAAGAGGACAAATACCTAAAAGCACTGATGAGGCTTCCAGATGGACCTGTTACCGGATTGTGGGTGGATCTTGTTACTGGTAGACCCGACGCCAAAGAAGTTCGACGAGTAATGGTAGCTACACAAAGTCGGGTGCTTCACTTAATAGGCAAGATTGGCCGGGTAGCACATGAAGGAGGTGCATCAATATTTACACGGCTTTTCGAGACGGAACAACCCACAGTTCATGAGTTGTCTAGGATATCTACAACTGCAGCTTCTTCTCTTGTGGTGTCTCCAAATCATCCCGACTCTGCGTCTATGGAAAGTTTGACCCCAGATCGTACCTTTGCATGGCTATCATCGCAAGGTGTATACTACGGCACATTAATGACTACGCCAGCAACCTCGGATTTGGGTGCAAGATTGTTTACCGAGGCGAAATTGCTACCTAGATCCCAATTGCCAGCTTCAGAGAACTCGATGGGTCGCAAGAAGCCAGTTCCAGATTCAATCGATTCGATCGCGTTGACTCAATGGCATATTCTTCATCTGATTGGGGGACGTGTTGTTGCCGTCAATCGACTGGATGATAGAGTGATATTCGATCAAGTGGTCTTGGAACCTGGTCAACAAGCACTGGGACTGTTCGCTGATCAAGAGAAAAACACATTTTGGCTCTTCACCACACAAGAAATTTATGAAATTGTTGTCACAGACGAGGATAGAGATGTATGGAAAGTTATGCTGCAGACAGAACATTTTGATGCAGCCCTACGTTATGCTAAAGGGCCAGCTCAGAAGGATGCTGTTGCTACAGCATCTGGTGACTATCTCATTAGCAAAGGCTCATATCTTGAAGCTGCGGGGGTTTATGGAAAGAGTAGCAAACCATTTGAACAGGTTGCTCTCACATTCGTTGATAACGACCAGCAAGATGCCTTACGAAAGTATCTTCTTACAAAACTCACAACTTACAGAAAGGCCTCAATTATGCAACGTATCATGATTGCAAGTTGGCTAGTTGAGATTTTTATGTCGAAGCTTAACTCTCTTGACGATACGATCGTCACTAAGGCAGAGTTATCTGAGAATTTGAATCCTACAGAGACGAGAAATCAATTGGACACAATTCGAACTGAATATCAGGATTTTGTCACAAAATACAAAAGTGACCTTGACAAGAAGACCACCTACGATATAATCAGCAGTCACGGCAGAGAGGATGAACTTCTTTTCTTTGCTAGTGCTGTAAACGATTACAATTACGTTCTCTCCTATTGGATTCAGAGAGAACGTTGGAAGGAGGCGTTGGACGTATTGAAGAAGCAGACAGCACCCGAAATCTTTTACAGATACAGCAGTGGACTCATGACACATGTGGCCACTGATCTTGTAGATATTCTTATAAGACACTCGGACCTGAAGCCTCGGAATCTCATTCCTGCCTTACTGAACTACGACAAGTATTTTGAAGGGTCTGTCTCTCAAAACCAAGCCATTCGTTACCTTCTCCATGTCATCAATCACCTAAACTCAACTGATGCTGCCGTACATAATACATTAATTTCAATTTATGCCTCTCATCCATCAAAGGATGAATCAGCCCTCCTTTCATATCTCGAATCACAAGGTGATGAGCCGAGTTTTGATTCGGACTTTGCTCTTCGACTCTGCATTCAACACTCGCGAGTTCAATCATGTGTACACATATATAGCACTATGGGGCAATATCTACAAGCAGTGGAACTCGCTCTCGCACATTCAGAGATAGATCTCGCCTCACTCGTTGCTGATCGCCCTCTTTCAAATCCCCCATTACGGAAAAAACTGTGGCTCGCCGTGGCAAAGAAAGTTATTTCTCAATCAAATGGCATTAAAACCGCCATTGAATTCCTCAAACGTTGTGACCTCCTCAAAATTGAAGATTTAATTCCTTTCTTTCCAGATTTTGTCGTCATAGACGATTTCAAAGAAGAAATATGCGCAGCGCTCGAGGATTATAGTCGTAATATCGATTCCCTCAAGAAAGAAATGGACGAATCATCTCAGACGGCTACTAATATTAAAATCGATATCGCCGCTCTCGATCAACGCTACGCAATTGTGGAACCGGGAGAAAAATGCTACGTGTGCACCTTGCCGTTGCTGAGTAGACAGTTCTTTGTATTTCCTTGTCAACATGCTTTCCATAGCGATTGTTTGGGCAAGAGAGTTATGGATCAGGTGGGAGTGGGTAGGGCAAAGAGGATTAGAGAAGTGCAGATGTCGATTAGTAAAGGTATGGTTATGGGTGCGAAGAGGGAGGCGCTGATTGCAGAGCTTGATGGTTTGGTAGCTAGTGCTTGGTAAGTCTATTTTTTACATGCTTGTGGCGTGTCTTGTCTTGCTAACTTAGGAAACAGTATCCTTTGTAGCGACTTTGCTATCAAACGAATTGATGAACCATTTGTTACGTCTGCGGATGATAAAAATGAGTGGGCATTATAAGTGGATATAGCATCACATATACTTAATATGCTAGTTTGACTGAGTTTGTGCATTTGGGAGGAGTTTCTTTTGAGCTATTAAATAGATGTTTATTATGATGAAAATTTCTACCATCCTTACACGGCCTTAAATTTACCAAGACAACAATAAATCAAGTTAGGGAAACAATAACAAATTGACCAGCCATTACACCACCATATTCGCAAAGATGATACTAAAGCTTCTGCTTATTTGCCATAGCTCTTGACAAATCAATAATAGGACAAAGTTGTTAACTCAACGCTACCAATTCCATCCCCTCATCAAACAACATTACTTCCATACTCAACCTCCCATCTTTAACCTCTTTCGCCTGGGCTCTCATGAACAACCACTTCGTTCCTCTCGGCGGCAACAATTTCTTAATCTCAATACTCGTCGCTAGAGGAGTAATCATCGCGGGAGCTCGGTAAGATCCAGATTCCGCATCCACAATCTTCGTAACCCCCATTTCTCGCGCTCTCTTCTGTTCTAGTCCTGCTTGCACCGTTGCGGCTTGTCCTCCGGACGCTTTTTCCGGGTCAAAATTATCGAGGATGGGAAAGGAGATGTCGAGGAGGAAACTGAGGGTTTCGTTTGTGGAGGTTGTGGAGGGGGTGAGCCGTTGATCGTGGAGACGAGGGGGTTGGGGGAGAGGGGGATGAAAAATTTGAGATACGAGTGGGTGCGTCGGAAGGAGGAGGGGTGGTAGGGGGTTTGGTAGGAGATCTAGTGTGGGGAGGTGTTGGTTGTGAGGTGGGGGATGCTTGATGGAGGGGACGGGGGACGGAGAAGGAATAGTCTTGGGTGTGGGAGAGGTTTGTGAGGCTGGAGGGGAAGGGAGGGTATGGGTTAGTTTTCCTTGGTTTGGTTTAGTGAAGGGAATGGAGAATGAAGAATGAGGATGTGGGAGGAGTGTTTACTTCATAAAACCCATTATGCATTCTTTCCATTTTTGACAAATGGTAACGAGGATAGTGGAAGAGGATTTCCCGAGATGGATATCCTTAATACTTAGCGTTGTGATGGAAGGGAATAGCAGCCGGAAAAATTGCCATTGCATGCTTGATACGTCGGGGTGATTGTATTCGTGATGTGTTTCGGTGAAGTGTTTTTGGACTGCTTGGTGCGTCATGGACATTACTCGGCCTCCGAAGATTTTTGGGGGCAGGGGTTGTGAGTTAGGGTTGAGATTATGGAATACAAGATGGAGAACTTGGAGATACGTCACTTACGTGGACCAAAGCTGAATGAGCTGGGTAGGTCGAGTTCGTATTCTCCTTTTTTGATGAATTTGATGTTTGGGGCCAGGACGTCGGGGAAGGAGGGTGGTGTCTCGATGGTGTTTCGCGCCATGGTGAAGTATGTTGTGAAGAAGGGATGTGTATTTGGATGGTTAGTTAGGTGCTGCAAGAAAATTTGAGAAAGGAGATTAGAAATTAGTCTATTTATTAGAACTTACGGATACCAGTGTCGGTGAAAAGGTACCAACATTTATCGTGGATTCCAACTGTTTGATCGATATCTGTGACTACAACAGATCCGAGATACGTTCGGGGATTCTTTGAATAGCCCATAGCTATGATGGTAGGAGAATGAATGTTACTTTTACTCAAGGTGTCGTCGTTCGGACTGCAGCTCAAGGGTCAAAGGACTTCAATTCATAAATATCATTGGTCTATTTATATTGTATGAAATGGAACACTCCATCTATCTTAAACATTGAGCTCCATTCAAACGTTGAAGGAGCAAATCTAATGCTGCTCCTTCTTCCCCTAGGTCCTAAAGAAAACTAGCTAGGTATGCAAATGAGTTATAGTGAAAGTGAAATAAACGGCATTATCTATTATTATACTTGCTGCATTCTTCCGAAGACTGTGTCCTAAACTTAGGGATAGTAATATGAGGTACCTCATATGACGCATAAATCTTCTACTCAAGTACAAACAATGCCACGTACACTCTCAACCGTCTGTTCAACACCTTTGATATCCCGGCTATTAGTCTCGAGATCGAATCTTCTCAGTCCTCTCAAAGAACTAAGCTTGATGGCATCCAGTAAATCTTGCAAAGACTTCTGGAGCTGCTCATCGCTGTAAATGACATTAGGGTAATGTCCCTGTAGTTCGAACTCCACCCTTAACCTCAAGTTCTGCAACCCCTCCAACCGTTCCAACATCTCTAAACACATTTTCCATTCTGAAAACTCTACTGTTGGGTCAGCTAGCCTCGTATTGATACTTGAACCCATGGATGCATTAACGTCTATTTGTAGAGATTTTATCGATTTGAATCTTGAGGAAATAACGGTCTGTGAAAGGTAAAGTAGTGTCTCGGGATTGTTGATATCAAACGTGTTGCAAGAATACAAAATGGGAATTCCTTGGTTGTATACCCGACGACACGTAAGAAGAACAGCGAGGCAAGAATCAGAACGTGTGTAGAATGGAGAGGGCCTTTGATTATAGTGGCGCATCCATTCAGATGTCAAGTACTTTCGTCTTTGGGCGCTTAGAATGCAGGAGCGCTCAATGTCGTATTGAGAATTGGCTGCATGTTCGATGTCATGAGGCTCCTTACAGCGAACGTGCCCTAGTCTTCAACGACATTGGAGTAGATGAAATATGTTCCCACCTAGAACTTCTAGTAGAATTTTCTCCACAATCTCGGGTGGCAGTTGAAGGAGGCTTGCCGGTGTCTTTCTATTTCTCTTCCAGGTCGAAAATACATTCGCTAAATCCCTCCTTCGTCCGGTGGGCTCAAGAGACAATTCTCGCTTTCTCCTCTCTTCCAAGGGCTTGGGTTGATCTTCGATCTTTCTTTTACGAGCTTTGGCAATTTCTTTTCTTTGTGCTTTCCGAAGTCGATCGAAATTACCTTGACCTCTTTGTCCGTAGAGGACAAAGAAGGTGATTGGAAAACAGACGACTGCTAGTAGGATAATAAGAGCTTTTACGCGAGGTTCGATTTCCTTCTTGGACGTCATAATGAGCAGTCTGTATAGGTGAGTAATCGGATAGGATTTGTGTTCTGCCAATATTCAATACAAGTCAAGGCTGGAAGGTATTAACATTCGAAAAGATGTGAGTTTCTTTCGAACATGAGTTAATGACAATTACTTATGTATTTTGGTATATAGAATGATTTGAATGTTTCGACTCGAAACAGGTTGTAAGATTGAACGTATCCCACAGATTCCAGAGCCTCGCGGCCTGAATGTTGGGAATTCTGATATAGGTATGTTATACGGGAAGCCTTAGAACGATTGCTGAGCGAGACGATGTAGTAATGTGAGGATGTGGCACAGTACATATTTACACGAACACAGCAAATTAACCAAATGCTTTACACAAGGCAGACTGACACGAGGCAAGTACTGGGTGACCAATGTCAAATATATACATACCCAGTAGCTAAAAAAGAAACCAATAGGCAACGAATTCGAGCACTTCTTGGCTTGTTTAACGACTTAAAGGCCGGCTCGCTGGCAGCGAATACATGGTTGGAAATCCGGTATTAATCACGAAAGCTAGGCTGGGTAAGAGTTGTGCTAGTGGCTCACCAGGAGCAGGGGGGTTTGTAAATAAGAAGCCAGTATAGGTTACTGACCCGGGTCTTCTCGACAACTACTCCCTCAACTAATGAGGATGTCTCGTACGAGACTTGTGTGTGTTGTTTGGCGTCGCTGAGGAAGAGGAATCCTTTTGAATCGTCTATGAATATTTCAAATATCGATGCGATGTTGTTAAGTTTTAAAGAATAAAAGTAAATACCTGGGCCTGGTAGTCTGGTCTGCATCCTAGCTTGCTAGCCTACGGAGATGTGTGGCGTAAAAGTAAACTATTGTGGCGGTGCGTTGACCTCAGCCTTAAACTTTTCGAAGCTCTCAGTCCCATCTCAGAACGATAACAACCACATCCATCATTAAAATGGCCGAAGTCGAGATAACAAGTCCTCCAACCATGGCGCCAGTCACTGAAGTTCCGGAGGAAACTTCTACAGCCCTTACCACCACAAACAATGAAGCAGGCGCACCCGCCGAGCGCAAAGTTAAGAAAATCATCCGTCGAAAAAAGCGTCCAGCGCGTCCCCAAGTCGATCCCTCGACGATGAAGAGCGAGCCTCCTCCACAAACTGGTACTATATTCAATATCTGGTATAACAAATGGTCGGGAGGTGATCGGGAGGATAAATATCTATCTAAGACAGCTGCTGCGGGACGTTGCAACATTGCAAATGATACCGGATACACTAAAGCCGACAAAGTGACAGGCAGTTACTTCTGTTTATTCTTTGCAAGGGGAATCTGTCCAAAAGGTCAGGAATGTGAATATCTACATCGATTACCAGGGATTCATGATATGTTCAATCCGAACGTTGATGTATTTGGCCGCGATAAACACTCGGATTATAGAGATGATATGGGAGGTACAGGAAGTTTCATGAGGCAGAATAGGACGATTTATGTAGGAAGGATACATGCCAGTGACGATATTGAAGAGATTGTCTCGCGGCATTTTGCGGAGTGGGGTCAGGTTGAGAGAAGTAAGTTCTTTCTCTCAAATGAGGCAATGAATATATGCTAATCTGTATTAGTCCGAGTTCTGAATACGAGAGGTGTCGCTTTTATCACATATTCGAATGAAGCTAATGCGCAGTTTGCGAAAGAGGCAATGGCACATCAGTCTTTAGACCATAATGAAATCTTAAACGTACGTTGGGCGACGGCCGACCCGAATCCGATGGCGCAAGCACGAGAAGTACGGAGAATAGAGGAGCAAGCTGCGGAGGCTGTTCGAAGGGCGTTACCTGCAGAGTTTGTGGCTGAAATAGAGGGCCGCGACCCGGAAGCACGAAAACGTAAGAGAATAGAAGGAGGGTTTGGATTAGCAGGTTATGAGGCGCCTGATGACGTCTATTTTGCTAGAGGTGCCAATGCGGTAAACCCGGCGGGTAGACAGGGTCTCGAGTTAGAAGAGGAGCAAAGACTCATGCTCGAAGCGGACGCCTACGAACAGACGGAACAGAAAGAGGAGAGTGGAGGTATATTTTCCAGTAGTACTTTGGCGGCACTAGAAAGTGCCAAGGGGTCAATTGCGACGAAACCAAAACCCACAGCATCCGCAGGGCCATTGGTAGCTTATGATAGTGATAGTGATTAAGCGGGGGATAAATGGAGTTTAGGAGCCGGTCAACTATCGTAGTATGGTCATGTATACTGTATAATATTCGGTCGCTTAGACGAGCCAAAATCATAGGAGCATTGTCCCAGCTTTGAACACAGAAGCTATAAGGGAATAAAATGGAAACAATATACCAGTGTCCCGTGATTGGTTGTGTTTCCATGATGTCATTATATAACCATCAGCTATTGAAAATTCTCGAATACAACATTTCATGCCTTCCAATCCATAGATCCATAACCGGTACACTTTGACCCGCATCCTCAATCTTGGTATTCCACTCCCTCTCAATAGCTTCTTTGATTCCTATTTGCACCTCTTCACTCGCCAAAACCTTCTGGGCATGATAGGGCCCAAACATACTGGCTCTCACCGCAGCTGAAAGCAGTGCTTTCACATGACTTAACATAAATACATAAGCTGTTTGTTCTAAACTCATTCCCACAGTCGACGTAATGGCGCCAAACAAAGGAGCAAGATGAGCCGATACGGGCGGTATTTCTCCAGGTGTCGTTTTGGGTGCGGAAGATATAGATTTTAGCAGCATGGAGAATTCCTTCAATGTATCAACTCCATCGACCGGACCGGAAGTAGTCAACCCTGTAGACAAAGCAGCGGAAAATGATCGATCCCAGATAGACAATAAAGCTCTTCCCTGCGCAATCGAAGCACGTCTTCCTACGGTACACATGATTGATGCGTCTTGAGCATCATCTAAATCAACTAAATCTCTAGGGTTCCGATGCGCAGCGAGTACGAATGGGAGGGTAGTAGATGCATAGGAAGATAGTGAGAAGGCCAGAAAATCTGGGAATGATGATCTGGGTTTTGTGTGCGCGAGGTAGGATTCTAAACCACTACTGAAGGCAAATGAACCGAGTGGGAGGGCGGAGTCGGAGAGGAGGAGAAGGAAATGGTTAGACTGGGGAGAGAGAACTAGGGGTTAATTAGAAAGCTTTTCATCCAAAGAGACGAGGATGTTCTCACCATTGTTGATAGCAATAGGATCTTTATCTTCAGATAATGGAGAGGATGTAGTTCGATCGCCTAATCGGGCTTTTGCGGCTGCTAGTTTCCTCTCCAGTTCTTGAATCTCATCCACTATATCCCGAGATTCATTCCCTTTATCCTGAGACCTATTCTCTATATCCAGAGACTCCACTTGAAGACTCATTGGGATATCGTTCCACGAGATAACATGTGTGGTTGAAGTGCGTGCCGATAGCCATGTCAATTCGACAAATCAGATGTGGCTTTAAACACATTTTAAAGTGTGGCTGTGGCGGTGACTAGGCTATCCCCTAGACCGCTGACTAGCGGCGCCGTCGCTTAGCAGGGATCTAATAGACCAATCAGATCATCAGGATTTTGAGAATTCTTATGATATTCGGATTATATTCTATAATAACTATTGAAACATCTATTATTATTATATAAATAAATATTATATTCTTGATATCCCTATATAATCTTATATCTATTATCTTTTAATCTAAAATTATTCGATATTTCCCTTAATATAGCTCTTTTTACATCAAAGAATACTCCTCTATATATACTATAATTTCTTTTATTTCCTAATCTTATAAAATAATGATTTATAGAAGAATTAAAACCTTTAATTATGATTTATAGAGATTCAAAATAATCTTTAGAATAATACTTAGATTTAAATTCGTTAATTAATTTATTAGCAAAAGATTTTTAAAAAACATTATATTTAAGAGATTTGATTATAAAATGTTTTAAAATAATTTCTTTATAAATCAAATAGTAATTAACTAAAACAATAATTAATAACTATTATTCTAAAGCTTAATAATCTTTATAATATATTCATTAACATCCCGATATAGATATATATAATTGATCCTTTATATTAATAGTATTTATATTGATATTTGTTATATAAGTATATATATATAGTAGTAAGCTATTAGGAACCGATCCCTGATACTATGTCTTTTGAACAGATTATATGCGTAACTAGTAGTAAAGCTTATAACTTCTGTTATATTCAATTACGTAATAGTATTATTATTATTATAAAAGCTGCCTTTAGAGTTATATAGAAGTATCTAGAGATCTCTTGAAATGATTTAAACTGAATTTCAAATAGGGATTCAATAAGATTATAATTAATTATAATTCTTATAATTATAGTAATAAAATTAATAATTATTTTTGAATATAAAGCTTTATATTGTAATAAAACCTATTCTTTATATAAACCTTTATATTAAAATCAATTAATAAGTTAATTAGTAAGTTGATCAATAAATCAATTGGCTTTTGATTATATAATATTTATTTTGTGATTTCTATTATTCTAATTTATTCTTTTATTCTAAAACTAACCCTTTAGAATATTATTAATTTTAATAAAGCTTTTCTTACTTATTATATTCTATCTTTCCTGGGATCTATTATTCTAAAAACTATATTCTATGATTTAGAGTATCCTATAACTAATACTATATATATGCCTAAGGTTTTCTTGAGTGTCTAATATTCCTTGATATACTATAACTGAATCACTAAGGCCTATAATATCATTATAGCCTATACATTAGTGATTCTACAGCCTGTTACTAATCTGTTGTAATAATTATGTTATAACGGATTAGTAATAAACTATAGAATCACTAACTTATAGGCTATAATAGTATTATAAGCCTTAGTAATTCAGTTGTGGTATATTAAGGGATATTAAATACTTAGAAAAGCCTTAGATATATATATAATATTAGTTATAGGATATTCTAGAAATATAGAATATAGTTTTTAGAATAATAGATTCTAGAAAAAACAAAATATAATAAACAAAAAGAGCTTCACTAGAATTAATAATATCCTAAGAAATTAATTCCAGAATAAAAGAACAAATTAGAATAATAGGAATTACAAAATAAGTATTATATGTGACGATCTGGCCTCAGGCCTAGATTAGTCATTCATTTGCCCCATCTGGCAGAGCAAATCTCGCTTCGCCTTAATTCCCTTTTAGTCTCCTCCTGGTTCCCTCTAGGTTTATAAAAGCCTTTTATAGATTCATTCTTTGTATAATAGTTTGTTATTCTCTAGTTATAATAATTAATTCTTTTTTATTATACCTTAAACTTGTTATTGTTATATTATAACAAATTCTTAATACTTCTATAAAAAATAGAACATCTTTTTAAAAAAATCAAAATATCTATTTATAATTATATTTATTTGAATCATTGAACTACCTATAAAAAATAAAATATTAATTTACATTATATATTCTTTTCGAGTTTTTGAATATATTATACTTTCAAGCTTTTGAATAAAGAAAATATTATATTTAAGTTATATTCTTAAAATTATTAAATAAAGAAATAAAAACCTTTTATATTTAAAAAACAAATTTATTTTTATTTTTTCTAATATAAAATATCTCTTTACAAAATTTAATTATTATAAAACCAAACTTTTAATAAAAATCTAAATCTAAATTAATAATTATAATAAGAATTTAATAATACCTCAAATATCAAAAATGAAGAGATAGAATCCAATTAATTTGATCTTCTTACTTTCTTACTTTTCAGTTTATCAAAACAAGATATTATAAACATTATAAACACTAACAATATAATTATAATAAATAGTATTCAGAAAATACTAGAATTAAGAATATACAGCAAAAGCTGTTATTATATATAAATAATAATTGAATAGATTATAGAATTGAATCTATTAGGACCTTATTTATAGCAAAAAAATACCTCTGAAAATCCTATAGAAATTATTCTTTTAATTAAGATATATAACAACTTTATAATTTTTCTAATTAATAAAGCTAGGTTGAATATTAAAGTGAAAAATCTAGAATTCTTAAATAATGGGGTTAATTCCATATTCAAAATATAAAAATTACTTGTTGAAGATAAACTTTTAGATAATATTAATTATTATTCAAATAAAGATTTATAAGTAAAAATAGTTTTTTAATAAATTATTAATAAAATATAAAAGCATTTAAAGCCCAAAATATTATATAAAGATTTCTAAATCTTTAATAATATTCTAAACTATTTTAAAAGCATATATCTAATATCTAATTGCTTAAAACTAGTAATTAAGGAATTTAGAAATCTAAGAATAGAATCTTTTATATTTCATTAATTCTATATCTAATTCCTAAAGCTAATAATAGAGTCAAATCAATCTGAAAGGAATCTTTATAGAAAACTAATTATCAAAATATTTCTTCCCTTCAAAAATACTATATTAACTATTATAAATAACTATTCTAATTTTTAAATATATATTACATATTTAATTAATATAGATATAAGAATATACATTATTTATCAAAAGAGTTTATTGGTTTTAAAATAAATCTTGTTTTAATATTTAAAAAAATTATTTTTGAAGTTTTTAAAACTAAATAGAATATTTAATTAAGAAAAGTCTACTATTTTTGAATTTATTCGAAAACCTTTTATTACCCCTAAAGTTCTATTTAATTAAAAATCTTATCCCCCAAAAAACTCTAGAAAATGTTATATCTATAAAGTCTCTAATTAAACAAAAGATTATATATATCCAATAAAGATTCAAGAAATTAATAAGATACAAAAAAATACCCCTATTAATCTTAATTAATCAGAAATGAATTTAATCTTTAATACTAATTTATATAAATTGGAAAAAGACTAATCTTTAGCAAAATCTTTTACTAAGGATTTTAATATATAAAAAATATTAATCTTAGGAGTTTATAGAAGATAATAGCTTTACTATTATTTACTACCTATAAACCCATAGCTTTCAAATTTATTATTATATATTAATAAATATTAGCATTAATACCTATCTTTTTATTAATATTTGATTTATATAATAAATCTTTAAATACATAAATATTCTCATATTAATTTTAAACTATTATATTAATATTTAAGGTTACAATGAATAACTAAGGGCCTTTATTACTCAAATTATACATCTAACTCTACAACTAAATAATAAAACTTTTATTTAAATACTATTCTTATTAATTAATATAAAAAGAGATATAATTCTAAGTAATAAATAGTTTTGATTTTACAATATTATTCCTTAATCCTACAATCATATCCTTATCTAGTCTACTAACCTACTAGCTATATTCAATTTCTTTAATAAAATTAATATTTTTTATAATTCTCTAAAAAACCTTGAAGTTTGTAATTATAAAGAGTATTAAGTAAATATTAATCGAAAAAATCAATTCTTTGATATTAATTTTATTAATCTCTCTTTTATATTCTAAGCTAAGTTTATTAATTAATACAATTAGGATATTAAAAACAATCTTAAAAAGATAAAAAAATTAATTGAATAATATAAAAATGAAGAAATTTCGATCCCCTTTAAGAGTACCAAAAAGGATATCTTGATTCTTTCTACAAATATCAAGATTGCTATTCTCAATTATATTCTTATTAACTCTAATCCTTTTGAATCTCCTCTATATAACTTAATAAATATCACCACTATTATTATCAAAGCTTTTAAAATATATATTTGTTATTATAATAATATAGTTTTTAGCACTAGTATATATAAAATCGATAGTATTCTTAAAGATTATATAGAAAATATAGAATTTGCTGAATTCGAAGAACTCTATTCTCAAATTCCTATTATTTATTATAACTAGATTAATATCTTCTTTAAAATTAGATTTAATAAACTATTTAAATATACTTCCTATAATTACCATATTGAAATATCAAAAGATATAATCTTAAAAATAAGTTCAATTTATAATATATTGATTAAAGAACTTTTAGTTATTAAAAAATATATTATGAATAATTTAAAAAAAGGTTTTATAAAAACCAATTCCTCTTTATTCACTACACTAGTTCTATTCATAATAAAGCCTAATGGAGGGTTATAATTCTATATAGATTATTAATATCTCAATATTATTATTAAAAAAAATAAATACTCTTTATTATTGATTAATAAAATATTAGTTTATATTTCTAAAGCTAAAATCTTTATCAAATTTGATATTCATTAAACTTTTTATCGAATCCGAATATACCCTGATTCCAAAAATCTTATTATATTTTGTATATAATATAGAATATATAAATATAAAATCTTACCATTCGATTTAATAAATAGTTTGATTATTTATTAAAAATGTAT